CAGGAGACTACAGCGCCATCTCTTGACCATTGGTGTAGTAGAACCAAAAACCACATCTTTATTTTTTGTAATAAAGTAACAGTTATAGGTATTCATATTTATAATATTTATCCACATTTGTATATGTTTGTATATTCGGAATACGTGTTTGAGTTTCATACAAGTGCAAATCACATATGTTCTAATAAATTATATTCAGTAGCGATTTTAATTGAATATTTTGATTATTTATTTATTTTTTCAAATTAAAACTGAAATTTATTGACTGTGTCCTTTTCCAGACTTTTTATTAATTTATTGTAATTAATTATTTATATGCAATTAAAAACTTATTTTAAACGATGCCAAAGAAGGATAACTTCTCACGCGCCTACATAAGTACACGCACCCATTTTTTTATACGTCCATGGTAACATCATATAATAAAAAATATTTTTGAAAATTCAGGTTTGTACGTAATCCTCGGTGCGCGAGTCCGACTCGCACTTGGCCGGTTTTTTATTGTTGTTCGCGCATATCTTTGAGGTTTGTTGACCGATTGTGATGATTGTTTTTTTATTTGTAAGACTTTGTTACCGAGACGCCTAGTCAGATCTATCAATGCAAGGCATCGACTCCAAACGGTAATTTGACTATAAATATAATATGTAAAGAATATGCTTTATTTCTTACTTTTTAGAGCCTGCGCTGCGTTAAGGGCACAGAGGGTGGGCGTCCGTCGCGGGACTCGCGGGAGGAGAGTGCCTCTTGCAGCGCCGCCAGTACAATTTTGGACAAGCGGGTGAACAGTCGATAACGGAGTATTTTAGTCGATAATACTACCAAGCCAAAATACGACGCAGACGAGAGCTCAGAAGACAGCCAATTGAACGTGCCTTATGTGTGCAGATTTATGAAATACATAACACGAAACATTATAGTGGTTTGATTTTTATGAAGACGGTTTTAATTTTTTGATATGAAAGTTTTTTAAAAACGACCATATTGAAACTATTAGGCCAGCTCCACACGTTGCACAGTGATCAATAATGAGATGTTAGGTGGATAATATTCAAATTTGACATTGTGAGGGTAGTTAAAACAAATCACCGCGATGTGATTGGGGGTACTTACCTCATATTCTTGTTTAATATGAACGGTTGAAGGTAAGTCATTACTGAGATTATCAGCTAGTAAATGCAGTGCTCTCGCTAATTGTACTGATTTGTTCTATTTATTTCCTGTTTTCGTGCACAGTTATTCGTTTGTTGTGACTTATACAGTGCATTATTGCATATTAATAAATATGGTGCACATTATAGAAGGTATGTACTTCATTGTCCATAACACTTTGTAACTATTAATGGTTATAGTAATTTAGAAAAAATATTCAAAACTTAGCTTAAAGTTTAGTTTATTTTATTTTATTTTAAAGCCTGTATCTTACAAGGAACATACTAGAACATGGAAATTTTTATACTGGTAGATCACTGGAAGCCTGTTTTATGGTATTCAATAAAAATTTTTACCCCAAACTACCCCTACCTGAACAAACTTTTCATTTTTGCAGGAAACAGTAGTACAGTTACAAATTCAGATTTATTTAATTACCTCAAACGCTCTTTGGGTCCACCTAGAACCCAAAGAGCAGCACCTTAATAAATTGCTCCTGGAATCTCGAGATGGTCCCAACGGCCAACAGTTCAAAATTTAAATAGGAGTAGAACCGACTGGCGTTACATAATGTTTACGTTAAACTAAACATCATTTCAAGGATCCCCCCTCTAGAGATCAAATGTAGGTAGCTAGCAGCAAAGCGACCAAAGTGCGAGCAATTGACTACCTTACCTATTATATTGGCCAATTGCCCCCCCCCCCCCCTCCTTACTCATAAGCTGGTGACCCTGGACAGTACCCCGCCACGAAGCGAAGGATTTTGCGTGCTAAAATGCAAAATCAGGCTAATACTACTAAACCAAACTAACTATCGTTACGACCACCCACTTGCATACTTCACGCACACATTATTCTTAGAACACTGTCTTCAATCTATCAACAAGATTAAAGACCTATACAGACAGAGAAACAATTTGATATTCATATAAGGCCTATATTCACGTACAACGTTACATACGTTGGCAATTTGCTCAGTCCTGTTGTAACACGAATCGAGTGCGTACGTCGAGCGAGAATCGCTTCCTCATCCAAAAAAATCGCCACCGGCGGCATGGACAAATGTAAAAGCTGTAGAATTTATAGAACTTTACCATGCACATCCATTAATATGAGACGCAACTCGAAAGGATCATATAAAATAAATGCTTGGCGCAATTTAGATTTCCGTATTGGACATCTTCACATTGGGCCTGATGGGACAGAACTAGTATAATGCCCAACATTTGTACGCCTCACTAAATTTACAGTCCAGCGTTGGTAACCGCGTGTGGAGCCGGCGTTACAGTTTTAAAAGTTTACGTGTATCAAATCAGCCTTCTTTCAGATTGAACTTAAAAAAACAATAGTGTCAAAAACTCATAGCGATTCTTGCAGGCGCAGCGAAGCTTAGTTAGATACTATGTATATCAAACAAAAGATACGGACACCAATACAAGTTACAATGTTAATTTTTTCAACAGTGAATCTTATGTCCAGCATGATAAAGCTCAAAATCAGTCGGAGTAATTAGTCAGTTGTGTGGGTAATTGGATTGGTGGTTGTCCGCACATTTCTTTAAAAACTACTAAAATAATAACTTCATAGAGTAAGGTACTATTTTTTTTTTCTCGATTTATTATCTTATCATTTAAAAAGGCACAGGGTGTTACCAGTCACATGTATAAAATCTTCATGTCATTGTAAAACTTTATATAGAAACATTTGAAACAGCAAAAAGCTAAAACTAGTTCACAGTTTAACAATTATATCTGAGAATACCTTTGAACAAAACATGTTATAATCTATCTCATACTATTTACAAAAACAGATGCCTGACAATTATTATTTTTTTGACATTCTTCTTTGTAATAAAAAACATCATTATAGCATCGATTTGACAAGATTGAATATTAGATATGAATGTATCAAAAAGACAAATTAGGTGATTGATTTTGACCGAAAATTCTTACCATTAGACAATTAGAAATATTAACAATAACTAGAATAAATACATAATTGAATGTACTTACAATTAACCATGATCAATATTATCAAATACCATTTACCCAAAATTAGAAAAAATCGGTTATAAAAAAGATAAAAAATATGCAACAACTCTTGTTTTTTTTTTTGCTATGAAGATATAGTTTCGTCTTAGTATTTACCTATTCGTATGTACCCACCTATTTTTTTAGGGTTTTACCTTAGATTAAAACAAAAAGGGAAGATACGGTACGCTCATACAAGCATCAAATAAAATATGGTCCGACTCAACTACATAAGCAACTCTCACACACGCACACGTCTGTATATAAACATTTAATCTTGCGAGCGAGACAGAACTGTACGTTTCAACGTAGCGCGAGCGAAACGGCGAGTCCGCTTCCGAGTCCGTACGACTGCGCTGTGTTGTTGTCCTTTTCTTGATGACAAAATGGCGATTACGTTAATGATATTCCCGACAAACCGTGATTCTTGAGAAAAAAAAGTTTTATGAATGAAAGTGTTGCCGATGCATTTGTTATTTGATTTTGAACTATTTGTGTATTTATAAAAGCATCGAAGGCATTGTTTTATCTTTATAACAAAGAATATACGCAATATTCTTATATTGAGTGCACATACAGCGTGTTTGAATGTCAAATTGTGACTAAAGCGAATTGTGGTCATGCACCACAATTAAAGCGAATCACTTTTGAGCCGCGAGTGCCGTATCTTCCCTTTTGTTTTAATCTAAGGGTTTTACAAAATTCAATATGTCAAATATTGCAACTTGTGGAAACGAATTCAAACAAAGAGTGCCTATAAATCTTAAGATTTTACTAGTAAATAACACACTATTATGGTTTTTATACACTACAATTTAGTCTGCACTCTTTTTAGCGAATTTAAACATCAAATTAATAATAATAACATGTAGGTCCACTGATATATTCCATAGTCCCATTTATATGATATAAAATACCTAACCTATAAAATATTAAAATTAGCAATATATGTAACAATAGGTACATACTTAGTAAACAGTAACAACGAGACTACTTATTTATATAATAAAACATTCTCAAATGCGATATAAATGTATGAATGCAGTTTTGTGAAAACGTTGGTTACAGTTCCAATCGCCACATCAACTTTTCACTGTAAAACCCGTAGGCGTTTTGGGTTTTGTGGTGCTATCAACTTGGAAATTTGTTATCGGATTGCTTTGCAATAACTCTAGGTTAAGGCACATTTTTTGCACACGCTTCTGAAAGAGGTTATAAACCCTTTTTTCAAACAAATGTGTATAATCATTATTGCCACTTAAACAAATTACATAAATCTACCTGTATTATAAAATTATTTAAAGTATATTACTAATCATTTGATTGCTTATAACTTATGTATGTAAAACTATATAATCCCTAAGCTACATTTTGTATAATATAATAAAACAAACATAATAACGCTCTTGTTAAATAAACGATTATTATAGTGTAAAAACCTCGTATTGTATATTATATACATCTCATTTTGTCCATTCAAAAAAAATATTAAAAAAACATAATAAAGGGCTCAATACATAGTAGGACGTATGATTTATAGAGAATCATAATCCTAGAGAATCCAAGCCATTGCAAAAACATGTTTGCGGTGTGCAACATATTGGAACCTAATTATTTGTTCAATACCTTTGGCTTAATGAACTAAGGATCGTTGGTTACGAAAATTTAAGACTTACGTAACGAGATGTGGTCGGAAAATGAATGTACAATCTGTTTATTTTTGTGCGTGTGAGCGAGCATGTGCGCTTTTTCGTATCTTTGACAGAAGTAGACAAAGGTGTCTCCAGCCCATGGGTTCCCAAAAGTTTTTGACCGCGGAACCGTTTTTAAAATAAAAACGGTTCCGCGGTCAAAAACGCGGAATACAGCGTGTTGTCTTTTCTTTGTTTAACATCGTATTTAATCAATATATTTTTATTCTGCGGGACCCCTGTTGCTTATTTTTTTGTTGTATATCCTATATGATACATCAAAATATATATTATACGTAAAAAAATATTTTTCACGGTACCCCAAGATGGGGTTTACTGAACCTAGTTCGTGAACTACTGCTTTAGCCCATGTTTCGATCATATGAAATCATTATACAAGTGTCCCCTAGTAAGCGCGTCAAAATGGAATGGTGGCGCGTGTCGCTCGACCTTAGAGGTATAAGAATAGAGTAGGGGAGATATAGACTCTACTACAAGTGGAAGTGTCCCTCTAATAGAAAGAGAAAGAAGATGGGAGACCGCTAGCTTTCTCTCTCTAATCGCACATGCGCATTGGCAACCGTAAGCATCTTACTATTTCGACGTGATGCTTGGACCAACTATTGGACAGACTGCGTATGCGTCACGAGAGAGAGAGATAGCTAGCGGTCTCTCATCTTCTTTCTCTTTCTACTAGTCCACACTCTATTCTTATACCTCTATGGGCGTGTGTCGCTCGACACTCCAAAGGATCGCTGCACTCGTGAGCAACGCACCCTGCGGCAAAGGCTCAATTTATACAGACTTGGAACAAAAGCGTCTATTTTGCCTCGTTGTGCGAATTCGCGGGAATGCTCGAGAATTCCTACGACTGCGCCTTGAGGGACGTTCAGCTATTTAATCTACATCCTATCCCATAGAACCTAGACACCACACTACCGCAACCGACCGACTCTCCGACTCCCCATTTGACGCGGATTCCATAGACAGCATGAAGGGGAATTCTGGCGAATGCGTGAGGATTTCGACTTTTTTTGGTTCATATGCAGTTTGTTGACACAACAATTGACATAAAGTTCAATTTTCTATGCACAATTTCGTTGAAAATAATCGCTTTCATTCCATGCCGCGGCGTTCCATTCCATGGGGTCAATAGCCTAACGGAATTGCAATGGCTATCGCTATCGCTTACGATTTAATTTTGTTATTTCTGACAGGCGAAGGCTTTCAAATGCCCCGTGCCCTTTTATTTTCGTTCGCTCTAGTAAAAACAATATTAAAGAAAATGAGCGTGAGGTATTCGATATCCTTCGGCGGTCGGAAATAACAAAATAAAATTGTAACCGTAAGCGATAGCCATAGCAATCCCGTTAGGCGATAGGCGCCCTGGTCGATGGTGACGGTGTAAATTTTAATGCAGGTTAGTTGTAGGCGGGGCCACGGTCAGCATTCGTTGGTATCGTCATCCACCTGCACCAGTATGTGCTGCACGACCTGATCGATGGTGTGTGTGTCGAGCATACGCGCGATGTTCTTGTCCTCGATGGCGTATAGGAACAGGTGCTTCGTGTTCTCACGTAGACGTTGTACGCGCGTCCAACGGGTTTTGTCCGCAGCGCGGGCGCCGCAGTGCTCGATCACCTTTTCCAACACCTTGTAACGATATATTGTTTTAAACTTTCATGATCACTAACATTATAGTAATAAATAAATATTTCCAACACTCAACACCAATTAGCCTAGCCCTAAAGTAAGCGCTGTAAAGCTTGTGTTATGGGATACTAGGGTAACGGATAGAATACATCAAAACAATCCTAGTATTAATCTGTGGATAATGTTGTTGGTTGTACAATAAGTATAACATAATTGTAAGCCTTTCACTTAACATATATTGTACAACTGTTTGTTATCCCTAATAAAATAAAATACATATATAAGTATATTTATATAGAAATACTTATTAAACATCCATGACTAGAGTACAAAACCTCGTATTCATCACACAAACATCTGCCCCCACCAGGATTCGAGGAGGTCGTCAAGTAATATAAGTTATTTACGGGATTGTTATTACGGAATTGGATTGTGTTGGGAGGAGCTCGATGGCGCAAGTGGTTAGCGCGTTCGGCTGCGATCGTTGAAGTTAAGCAACTTTCGCAGTGGTTGGTCATCGGATGGGTGACCAAAAATTTACTATCTCGAGCTCCTCCGTGCTTCGGAAGGCAGGAATAGACTCATGATGATGAACGGGATTGTTACCATGTACCTTGTTTTTAGCGAGTTTACGATACGCAGAAATCAGCCATCGCAGAATATTTGATTTTTTCTGGTCCTACCCACTGCACTGGATTGAGTTTCATAACCCACAGATTATCTCGACAGAACGCCACTACATACCAAGATTGGTCGGTCAAAAATTTCAATCGTGAGGACGGGTTTAAATTGTCAAGTGTCTGGAAACCTGTGGTTTGTATGTGTAAGGGGCCGTTCAAGTATTACGTGAGCAGATTTATTACAATTATTTACCCCCTCCTCCCCCTCGTCAGCAAAAGTAAGCAAAGCTCTTACCCCTCCCCCCCATCCTTACGTAAACATTGGTACCTATATGCATTTTTCCTTTAATGTATTCTGTTTTTTTATTGATTCATGAGCTTTCATGAGCTTCATTACTTAAAAAGGCTTAATCTAATCGATGACGCTGACGTAATCACCATCTCTACCCCCCCCCCCCCCCCATGTCATCAAAAATAAGCAAAGCAAAGTGACCCCCCTGCCCCCTATAGTGCTTACGTAATACTTGAACAGCCCCTAAAACCGGAAATAATAAAAAAAGTGTCGCGTCGCGATCTGACACTGTAAGTGTTGTGTGTCGAGAACAGTTTCGAATGAATTGTGAGAATTTGAACAGTGGTACGGGTATCGAACGCAATAAAAGACTTCGTCGGAGGGTAGACCGATATATCTGCCAATAACAGCCTACCCGCAATTACTTCAGTTGCTCCGAGATCATGGCGGTCGCAACAGTGCCGAAATATCGGAAACTCGCTAAAAACAAGGTACATGGTAAAAATCCTGTAACGAAACGCAACATCAGCCTATTCCAGTGCAACAAGGATTACTATAAATGTGAGGGTAGGTTAACACATAATCGGGCCGGCATTAATTGACACGGCAGGCGATAAAATGGAATGTGTGTAAATGAATGTTCGGCAGTAATAGGCTAGTTTACTCATGTCAAATTGTATTAAATAAATGTTTATTTCTTAAAGTATTTAGTCCAAGAAACCTTAATATATCGATTTCACTTCATAAAAGCAGAAGATTGCTGTAGAAGTTTAATTTTAAAAAATATTTTTTAGTCTATATTTTTTAAACACTAAAAACGCTGTTCGCCACATCCGCCATGATTTTGACGTCTCTTCTGGTAAACAACTAAATGTCATTCGCGTGTTACTGTAGGTGGATTCTTTCGTCTGACTAAATTTATCATAAAACACTTTTAACTTTAGGAAAGAAAAAAACAGTAAACTTAGTTTTTTTTTGACAAAACTAATTATGGATGCCGGCTCTGTGAAAGCAGAAAGCACAAATCTGCCAAGAATTGATGGTTGGTGAATTTGTTGCACTAAACCCCGATTTCTGCTCTGCGGAGCAGAGAAACGACAAGGCATCTATGTAAGTACAGTGCATTTAGTATTACAATGATGTCGATTCTGGCATTATTCTCTAAAGCTAAACTTAAATTTGACAACAGTGCATCCCTGTCATTCTCTATACAGAATGAAAAGGAAAGACTAATGTTAAATTTAGTTTTAAGTTTAGAGAACCACGCCAGAATCGACACCAATGTAGTAATAAACATAAAACTGATACAACATATGAATAAGTGTAATAAAGTTGCGTAGGTTAATTTCTTTCGGCACTTTAATCGACAACTTTCCTGGAGTCTTCAAGGATGTGTTTTTATATTTTCGTACAATACAGTAATGATAATTACTTTATTTTTCGTGGTATTTATTAGAAATCATGTTTTTGTTTATTATAAACTCAGTTAAAAGTAATTTTCTACGTGTTTACGAGTTTTTGTTTACGACAGTTCACGTCATAGCATAGATAATCTATAGACTAAAATGGCCGACAGCGTTTTTGTATGTCCATGAAAAGTCTATTTTAAAATTAAAGATTTGTAGCTTTCTAGGTTTAAAAAAAATACAATACATTTTTTTTCGGTCTAATAGAACATTAATTAACCATTTAAAACCTTTTTCCAAAAAGGGTCAACTAGCCTATTACTACGGGTCGGCTTTGTTGTTCGACAAATACTACCGAACCGACCATGCCGGTCCGATTATGAGTGTAGCTACCTTGAGTGACAGTTCACTGTCTACGTCATCATTATCCTATTAATGTCCCCACTTCTGGGGCTCAGGCCTTCCCTATGGATGGAATAGGGAGATTGGGCCGTGACCCACCACGCGAACTCAGTGCGGATTGGTGGGTGCTAACGACTGCAGATGCATTACTGATTAATAAAATAAAATAAGTCTTTTATTTACCATATTTGATTTAGCATACCAAATTTGTTAATCTTACATACTAATATGGTCCACTGAAAAGGTGAAGGATCCTCCATGTCCTTCCAAACGTCACTGTTGCTAGCTTTTCTGGTCCAATTCTGACCAGCTATGCTAATTATGTATAGTAGTCAGAATTTATTTTTTTCCCGCGGGAAAGTTAACAGATATACTCGTCCAGTATAGGCGCACAGGAAAGGTATCATCAGCCTATTAATTTCCCCACTGCTGGGGCACAGGCCTTCCAGGCATGGAATAGGGAGATAAGAAAAGGTATATTGAAAATAAAATAATACTTACTGTATCCACAGATTCATCTGGCCATCCAAACTCCGCGAGAACTTCTTCATCAACTAAGCGTTGCAACAACAGCTTGAGACTTTCTTCTAGGTTTTCCTCGGACATCAATGGGTTATTTTCACTCTAAAATTATTCAATAGACCATATTAACTAGTCATTCACACTTAAAAATAATAATTTACACATTAAAAATACATAAATGTAGAAATGATTAAAAATATTAGTAACGTAATATATAAAGAATTGAAGAAGCATGAAGGAAATAAATTAAATTGTAAATCACAAATCGTATGAAAGATAAGAAAAAGAAAATCTATTCTGTCCACCATATTGTGAAACTGAGACAAGACAATCCTACTATCTGAAAGAAATAACACTAAAGCAGAAAATGAATACTTCAATAGGTAGGACCAATTTGTTTCGAAAACCAGATAGCCTCTTTTCAAAAATGCCTCTCCATATGAATGGGGAATATGCATGTTTTTTTTAAATATTTTCATTCGGTATATACATCAAGAAAAAACAGAAGTGTTCTAAAAAAATTTTTAAAGTACCCACTTCGCACGGAAGTCTACCTACCTTAAGAACGAGGTTTTTCATTATATTATTCTCTAATACTCTGAGCTTAGAATGAGGGTTTTCTGGAGACAAAAGGCCTTCTCGTCCGTCAAATCGCGTATGTCTACTGATATTTTTAAATGCATTTGGATTATCTCGCGTCTTAAACTTCATATAAAAGTTCCGTCCAGTGGTCCCAACTGGTGATGTAAATTTTTATAAACACCTTCGTTCTTATGTATAAGAACACTAGACCTTACTGAATACGGTACCTTGACAGTTTCATCCTTGACGTTAGGGGTAAAATCAACTTTCTCCACTCCACCATAGAGCACTTCCGAGCCACCGCTGTACGCCAGAATTCTTTCAGATTCTGCGTCTAATACATTCAAGATGGAATCCAGCTCAGACTTCTTGACCCTCTCTGTGGTGCTGGCTGTACCCTAGGAACGTAAATTATTTGTAAATATCATGTTTGATATTGATGTCGACTAACCCTTGCGTAATCTGTTGATAATAATAATAATAATAATAATAAACACTTTATTGCTCACATACAAAACGACATAGGTACAAAGAATACATTTAACAATAATATGGGCAAAGGCGGTCTTATCGCTGCAAGCGATCTCTTCCAGACAACCTTTGCGGTATAGGTAAGCTAAACGGAAAAGAAGATGTAGTAAGCCAGCAGAGTCGATAAGAAATGTAAATATGTAATTAATATAATATACGTACATATAAGTAATTGTCTATCATACACTTACATATACATATACACATACATACCAAATATAAATATATATCATTGAACATAAATATATACCTACATACTAACAACATATGTAATGTTAAAGTAGACTAAGTTCGCAGCAGAAGGAGAGTATGTAGTCTACTTTTAAATATGGGAAGTGACTTTGAACTCCGGATTTCAGATGGCAGCTTGTTCCAAAGTTGAGCCACTTTGACTGTAAAGGAATCTCTATAATATTCTGAGCGAGTTAAAAGGATCTCCAACAAATTATCATTTTTGGAGCGCAACATGCGGTTGTGGTCCATACCTAGAAATTTGAAACGTTCCTTAAGGTAAGGGGGAGTGCGAGGGTCATACAACACATTATAAAGCAAAGTGAGAGCATGTTCTTCACGGCGCAGTCTAATAGGAAGCCACTTTAGCTCCCTCCTAAATTCGGACACATGGTCGAACTTGCGGAGGCCATAAATGAAACGAATGCAAAGATTCTGGAGACGCTGAAGTTTGTCTAGAAGTACTTCATTTAAGTCAATGTTACAAACATCAGCGTAGTCCAAAATAGGTAAAAAGAGTGATTGCGCAAGTTCAATTTTGGTTTTTATAGGGAGAAGATTTTTCCATCTGCGCAGTGAACTGGCAGCAGCAAACATTTTCCTACTGACCTCAGCAACATGAGGAGACCAAGAGAGTGTGGAGTCAAAGATAACACCTAGATTTTTAACGGTGTTGCAATACGGCAGAGGAGAAGAATTAAAATGGAGCTGAGGAAGACTAGCAACATCCAGCTTGGAAATTTGTTTGGACCCCCCAATGAGGATGACTTGGGATTTGCTGGGATTGATCAAAAGGCCGTAGGCAGAACTCCAGTCGTATATGACCTTGAGGTCGTCCTGGACAAGTGCAATCAGGTTATTTATGTCTCCAGCAGGAGCCTGACGGTAAATTTGTAGGTCATCAGCATACAAATGGTATTGGCAGGTAAGGAGAGGAGTAAGGAAGTTGATAAAAATTGAGAAAAGGAAAGGAGATAGGACTCCACCCTGGGGCACTCCAGCAGCCACATCACAAAACCCAGAGCGCCTGTCATCATAACGGACACATTGCTGTCGCCCAACAAGATAATCTCGGAACCAATCTACTACCACATCCGACACAAAGACCGACCCCAACATTGATAAGAGGATGTCGAAATCAACGGTGTTAAAAGCATTACTGAAATCAAGAAGTACTAGAAGTGTCACACGTTGATCAGACATACCTTCGCGTATATCGTCGGTTATCTTTGTCAAGGCAGTTACCGTACTATGGGCTGGGCGAAAACCAGATTGAAGAGGGCTCAGAATCTTTTCAGTGTTAGCAAATATATTGATCTGGTGATGGACAAGTCGCTCAAGGATTTTGGAAAGAAACGGGAGAATAGAAATAGGTCTAAAGTGACAAGGTAAACTTGGATTGGATAACTTTGGAATGGGAAGAACAGCTGCAACACGCCAGCAGCGTGGAAATGACCCAGTGCTAAGTGAAAAGTTAAAAATGTGACAGAGTATAGGAAGAAGTGTCGTAGAACCTAATAAAATCATTTTCCGGCTAATTCCATCCAACCCTTCAGCGTTGGACTTTACAGCCGAAATGCATCGCTCGACCTCACACTCGGTCACGGGTCTAAAAGAAAAGGAAGAACTCTTCGGATAATGATCCGCGGACAGTTTTTGCAGCGTGGATAGCTTTACGTAAGAGGGGATGGAAGAAGGTGTTGTGAAGTAAAGGTTCAAGGAATCGGGATCAAGTTTCAAAGAAGAAGATGAGTTAACCTTACCAATACCAAGTGATTTGAGGAATGACCACACCTTCGCAGGATCACCGTTCGATACAGAGGCATGAATATGTTTTCTTTGTGCATCTCTGCAAATCCTGCTGCATCGGTTACGGAGCTCCTTATATTTACGAAGTGTAGAATCACAAGGATTCCTTCTGTATCGCAACTTTGCTTCATTCCGTTTGGACATTAAGGCCTTTATATCTGGTGTTAGCCAGGGAGCAGGAAGGTGTTTCAGCCGCACAGGACGCAGAGGCGCATGCTTATCGAATACTTCGATAAGGATCGAGTTAAATATCTCTATTTTCTCATCAATAGTTGAGGCGTTAAATACCACATCCCAATCAATACCATAACTAATACTTGATCTGCTCTTATAAAATATCTAGAAACCAGCTTATCGCTGGCATCAATTTATAGTTGCTCTATCCGTTGTTTGGTTCACCGCGAATGTAGCGCCGCTACCATAGAGCATGTTGCCAGAGTCCACATTACTATTACTAAAATTTTTGTTTGAAATCATATTCGCCAAAATTGGCGGGGCTTCGCGGAGAGTGAACTGCGTTTTAATTGGACACGTCACGGTAGGATAACAAATTATAGTCTGATTTTTAAATTGACGGAATCCTGACATTTCAGAAGTGTTGCCAATGATAAAACAGTCCTAACAGACAAAAAAATCTACCTTGCATTATTTAAGATTTCAATTAGAAAAACTGAGACTTAACAATCACATTATTGACGTAATAATAATTACTAAGGTTATTATTTTCTTCCGCAATATTAATGCATAATATGGAACAGGGACTGTGGAAGATTTTGTTAGAGAGATCTACGCTTTTGTTGCAATATTGTCAATGTGTTTCCTTTATAATTCGAGTGTATGATGGGGCGGGGGAAGTTCATAGCGGGGGCGGGGGCTGTACTCACCTGCACGTCCCGCACGTGCGCCAGGTGCTGCCGGAACAGCTCGGGGTGCAGCTGGCGCACGTGCCGCAGCAGCTGCTCGCCGCGGATGTAGGCGCGCGCCGACACGTAGTACATGCAGCGCCCTCGTATGGGGTCCCACGCGGGGGCTGTACTCACCAGCACGTCCCGCACGTGCGCCAGGTGCTGCCGGAACAGCTCGGGGTGCAGCTGGCGCACGTGCCGCAGCAGCTGCTCGCCGCGGATGTAGGCGCGCGCCGACACGTAGTACATGCAGCGCCCTCGTATGGGGTCCCACGCGGGGGCTGTACTCACCAGCACGTCCCGCACGTGCGCCAGGTGCTGCCGGAACAGCTCGGGGTGCAGCTGGCGCACGTGCCGCAGCAGCTGCTCGCCGCGGATATAGGCGCGCGCCGACACGTAGTACATGCAGCGCCCTCGTATGGGGTCCCACGCGGGGGCTGTACTCACCAGCACGTCCCGCACGTGCGCCAGGTGCTGCCGGAACAGCTCGGGGTGCAGCTGGCGCACGTGCCGCAGCAGCTGCTCGCCGCGGATGTAGGCGCGCGCCGACACGTAGTACATGCAGCGCCCTCGTATGGGGTCCCACGCGGGGGCTGTACTCACCAGCACGTCCCGCACGTGCGCCAGGTGCTGCCGGAACAGCTCGGGGTGCAGCTGGCGCACGTGCCGCAGCAGCTGCTCGCCGCGGATATAGGCGCGCGCCGACACGTAGTACATGCAGCGCCCTCGTATGGGGTCCCACGCGGGGGCTGTACTCACCAGCACGTCCCGCACGTGCGCCAGGTGCTGCCGGAACAGCTCGGGGTGCAGCTGGCGCACGTGCCGCAGCAGCTGCTCGCCGCGGATGTAGGCGCGCGCCGACACGTAGTACATGCAGCGCCCTCGTATGGGGTCCCACGCGGGGGCTGTACTCACCAGCACGTCCCGCACGTGCGCCAGGTGCTGCCGGAACAGCTCGGGGTGCAGCTGGCGCACGTGCCGCAGCAGCTGCTCGCCGCGGATGTAGGCGCGCGCCGACACGTAGTACATGCAGCGCCCTCGTATGGGGTCCCACGCGGGGGCTGTACTCACCAGCACGTCCCGCACGTGCGCCAGGTGCTGCCGGAACAGCTCGGGGTGCAGCTGGCGCACGTGCCGCAGCAGCTGCTCGCCGCGGATGTAGGCGCGCGCCGACACGCAGTACATGCAGCGCCGCGGCCGGTCCAGCCGGTGCGTCGCCACGTGGCGCTTCATGTTCACCTCGGAGAAGAAGCTCTTGTTGCACACCTCGCACTTGAATTCTATTTAACAACTATTTAATTCAGTATGCTAATAAGTAAAAGGCAGCCTAAGTAATGCTAGAAAATATTTGACACGACCGTCAAGGTCTCGGAAGCATGATGGTTAGTGCATCCGCCCGGACAACGCAAGACGCAGATTCCAGTGCTTACCTAAAACCTTGACTGAGTAGAATTCTTCTAGTAAAAATTTTCTTTAGATTTATAAATCGAACAGATGAACTTAATCATTAAAATAATAGATAATTTGAAGAATATTGACCTTTACTGTGTAAATGAGTCCTCAGATGATTTCTTAAACTTGAGTCTTTATCGAATTCTCTGCTTGAATAAACACAGTCCTTATATGGACACAGTAAACGGTCTAGCCCCATATGTACTCTTTCATGTACCAGGAGTCTGTAAAATGAAACATGATCCGATTAATGTACATTGAAAACCAAAGCAAACTCTTTATATCTTTGGAATATCAGCTATATTCGTGATGTGTGTAACGGGGAACAAAATTTTAGATCTTCCATGCATCATATTTAATCCCTGCCCCCACAGCATTCTGCCCCCATTAGCATGAGCACCACGATATGCTATATAGCACGTTTTTATCACGCTCAATTGTCAAATTACTATGGAGATTGACAGTTAGGCGCGATAAAAAACGTGCTATAATGTAAATTGTGGTGCTCATGCTACGGGGGCTGGACTTGAAATATAATCGTATCAAATGAAATGTATCTGAAATATCTAAACTTACCTGAGTTGGGAGGTGAAAGACTGACCGCATTGCTTGCAGATGTTACCGACATGTCTCTGCATGTGACGCTGCAACTGCAGCTTCTGGATGTACGACTCGCCGCAGATGTCACACTTGTGTGGTTTGTTCTTCAAGTGCGTGAACAAGTGGCGCTTCATCACTTCCGCCGTGTACGTCTTGTACCCACACTGTTAGATGTTGGTGAAATTCAATAATAAGTAAGTTCCATTATGTAAGAAAGGCAGATCCACACAGACATGCTGCAGGGATCGCTTAAACGGGCATACGTCAAAATATGTTAGTTATTATCCCTCTACCTCTAATCTGATGTTAGATGCCTCAATTTTTTTGTAACGTTGAAATTAGTGCAGTAATTCATTACTTATTATTACATTTTTATACATTTGAATAGAGGCTATTTGACATTATGAAAATAAAATAGCAATTGGTGGCATCTGTATCTGATATGATATAAGCAGCGATCTTACTATTCTGGGAGAACAAATAAGAAATATTTTTTCTAAAAAATCCATAAATGTTTTTTTTGGGTCCATGGTCACGTGACCGAGAACGCCTGGGATTGGCGAAGACGAAGACAAAAATAACGTCACGCGCTAGTTAACTTCCGTTCAGTGACATCATATTCTATCGTTTGACATTTAATAACAGTCGTGTGACGGCAGATACGCATACGAGTAAGACGCCATAATGTCCAGCGAAACGTTTTCGCGGCAACATGAACATGGAATTTTTGATTGACCTCAGACATCAACCAAAGCAGTAGTTCTTAACCGGTGGTCCCAAAATGGTCCGCAAAGCCATTTTTGATTTATATTGTTTGATTGAGTGGTGGTCCGTGGCAAGACGGAAATTGTAAAATAATATTGATTAAGAACCACTGACCTAAGGAGACAGAGTGCAGAAGTTGTCTGCAACGGAATTAACAGTTTGACTCTCTTTGAGTAATTTCTATGAACTATTAGGATCAAACATAAGCGATTAATGCTAAAATGATACCACATTGTTGACACGTGATATGGATTAATGAAAGATTGAATGATGGATCACATTTGCAAGAAATTCATAATCCAGAACTACTTACCGTCAATACTTGGCCACGTGAGCAAAACAGAAATAAATACACATGAGAGCAAAACAGTAATTAAGGGTCATCAATAGCGTCGAACATTTTACATTTAGAAATTATTAAATTAAAACAGAATTTAATTTATTTTTTATTTTCATTAAAATTATCTAAACAAATCAAACAATTGAAAAAAAAAACATCTTGACAAGCACCAACCAACCAACAGATAAAGTTGGTAAATATTTTTAAGAAATTCGTTAATAGTACTTATTATGCATTTTAACCTTAGATTAAAACAAAAAGGGAAGATACGGCTCCCGCGGCTCAAAAGTGATCCGCTTACATTGTGGTGCACGATCACAATATTCTGTAGTCACAATTGGAAATTCAAACACGCTGCATGTGCACTCAACACATAACAATAAAACAATGCCTTCAATGCTTTTATAAAGAAGACAAATAGTTCAAAATCAAATAACGAATGCCTTGGCAACACTTCTCATTTGTAAAACTGTAAAATATATTTTTTCTTCAAAATCACGGTTTGTCGTGAATGTTATTTACGTAACCGCCATTTTGTTATCAAAAAAAGGACAACAATACAGCTCAGCCGTTCGTACTCGGAAGCGGATTCGCGGTTTCGCTCTCTCTGCGTTGAAGCATACAGTTCTGTCTCGCTTGCTCGATTGAATGTTATTTACAGACGTGTGCGTGTGTGAAAGTTGCTTATGAAGTTGAGTCGGATCATATTTTATTTGTTGCTGGTATGAGCGTACCGTATCTAACCTTTTTGTTTTAATCTAAGATTTTAACACTTGCCGGGTCTACAGCGCCTGTTTTGCCCTATACAATCAACAAGAATATATCAACATTCAACAAAATTGTTTGTTGTGCCTGCATTTCACTTGGCTATTCGTATCTGCTTTTTGTAAAATTGACACCAGTCTCTCCTTTTTTTTTCTTATAAAGCATGATAAGGACAGACTGTGGTCAAGTTAACAAATACGACTAGCCAAGTGAAGTGCCGGCATTTCGCTACACAAATTATTTTGCATCAAAAAGGTTTTGCTTTCCTTCCGAGCCCGATGGAAAACACATAGACAAATCCCCCCCAAGCAATGTGACGAAGTATGACACAATGACACACTTTGTCTGCTGCAGGGTTGTGGAATGAAAATTCTGTATACAGGTGGGTTCATACAGGGCATTGAAACCAGTTTAAAGAAAATCTGGAAATTCCTGTTCTGGGATGTTGTAATACAAAATTATCATTTTTAAATAAGAATATTTACCATTTCACATGTATGCTTTTTCTCTCCATGTATTTCCAAATGCTTGGCTATTGAAGTTCTAGAAGAAGTTGTTTTCCCACAAATGTCACACTCAAATTTGAGGGGACCTGGAATTATTAGTAAATTATTACATAAACAATAATAAATCAGTTTTTTGTTTCCCATCACATTATAATTAAGCTAAACAATTATGATGAAGAGTATCTACTTACTTAAATGGTTTTCTTGCCAGTGTTTGACATGTTTTGAAAAATTCTTAGTTGAATATGTGCAATATTTACACATATAACTTTTTCTTAAAATATGTTGAGACCGTAAGTGTACAAGCAAGTTATCCTTTCTAGAGAAAACAACCCCACAGATCTACAACAAAAAAATAAATAATTTCTGACAAATATGGAACATAATATTGAACTGAATGGGCATATTACTTCATAAATCAAGATGTAGGGCGGAGTTATTTGCTTGTCCTTGTCTAACAAAAAGCAGCAGCAAGGTACTGCAAAGTAGCCACAGGATAACTATTTAGAAATTCTTAAATTTAATGTACAGCTTATATAATGGAAATTCTTAGTTAATAAACACCATATTGTAAGCAAAGGGAGGAGAACTCCATCAAAGTTAGAATGGGATAAATGTGGTGTTGTATGTTTTATGTTTAGAGTTTACTATCTTCATACAATGACAATCTTTATCAGTGCAATGATTTTTGATCCATCAATAATTTCTATATTAAAGGAGAAAGGAACTTTACCTCACAAGGAAATGAAGCTGCTTCTGTTCCATCACAACCGCTTTGCAGTAAATGCCTTATAACATGAGCTTTCCTTACAAATGTTTTGTTGCAATAATTGCATGCATACTCTTCTCTATTATGAGTCGAACTTATATGTTTACTTAAAACTATTTTGTTAGGACATCGTACATGGCATTGGTCACAGGCCACACTCCCAGGTACTTTGGAATGTTCATTCACACAATGTTTAAGAAAATTATTTTTAAATTTGAATATTTTAGGACATTCGTTACATTTTATTGTTGTCTGAAAATAGATAAATGATGGTTACACAATAAAATATGTGATTCATTTAAGTGACCTAAAACAGGATAACAATAATTCCAAGTGCAAGTCAGACTCGTATTGTATAATAATTATGTCTGGTAGTAATAGATTTTTGTAAGTATTGCAAGATAAAATATTAGGTCTCTGCAAAGTATACTAAATATATATATATATATATATATATATATATATATTAATATTTAAAGATAACAAATAGAAAAAAAAAATAACTAGAAAAAATTCCACACGGACCAGGCAGCAGATGGGACAGGCAGAAATTAAAAGAATAAAACTAAATTTTAGATAATTTTAAATATTTTGCCTGTTTACTATTATGCAGTTCTACTCAGATAGCTAGTTTTACTGATAGATGTATAGTTGGTTAGACAGGCAGAGGAAACTTAGGATTAGATGCACTTGTGTCGATACCAGCATGATACTCTATTCTACAACATACATTCTTGACAACAGTGCCTCCTTGTTGGTCAAAGGATGGTCAAACAGAAATCTTGAAACTCAAATCCTTCCTTGATGATGTTCGGCAAAGGGCATAGGGAGTAGCGCAAGTCGCACAAATCCCCTATTGAAGGCCCTCTGGCCAACAACGGGCGGCAAACTTCACGAGGTTGCTGGCCGTTGTTGGTCAATTACCTTCTGTAATTGACATAACAGAAATCTCTGGCCGTACCACAAATCCCGCATAGCCGAAACGTGGCGGCGCATATCCACACCCGGGCCCACATAGCCTAGGGGAACTTAATACCCCCTAAAAGATTGTTCCACACACCCTTGGGAAGGAGTAGTAAGCGTTCCTTGGCACTTTCCGCCAAAGCCCCAAAAAAATATGGGTGCTGCGAAAAGAGATACAATACCCTTCATTCGCGAAAACTTTATCACCAAGCCTAGCTTGGTCTGCCCCACGTATTCTGGGGCGGACAAACAGCGCTCAGGGAAAGGCGCAAGCCTGGACCTGTCTGGCCTAGCTGAGGATATAACTACAGCTCACAAACATCCACAACAACAACAACTACACAATGTGTGTGGTCACCCATAAGCGCCCCTGTAAAAAGGAGACTGCTAATGCAGCAGCCACCCACATAAAAGCTCGCAGGGCCAAACGGAACGCAGTCGCCCCAACAGTCGCGCGAGAAGGGAAGCCCTGCAGTCCACAACAAACAAAAACAAAGACAACACAGACGGCCACCGCAGCAGTGGAAACACAGCGCAAACCTGTAGAAATCCAAAGAAAGAAGACCCAAACCAAACACAAACCAACAACCACAGCGGAGGCCGAAACCAAGGGGGTTATCGGCGGGTTATCGGGGTCGGCGGACTGCTGTGCAGGCTCCCATTGCTCCTGAAAAGGAGCTACCGCTGCTCCTGAGCAGCCTGAGGTTGGGTGTTGCTTTGAAGAGGCAGTTTCTGCGAAGCGACCACTCCTGGACGACACACATTCTCCAAGGGGGATGCCAAGCACGCGAAAACCGAAGCGAGGACGAAGCGGACTTTAGTCATAAGTTTAGAATAGGCTGATAATTTAACTCTTACAATAATCACCAAGTAAATACATTTTTTTATGTGACCCCTCTCCTCTTCAATTTAATTTATTTTCTTATACAGAAAATTAAAAAACTATACTCTGTGACTATTTTAACTGTCTACCTATCACAAGATACAGCCTGCTGTCAGACAAGACTTGGAAATAGGGTTTTAATGACACACTGAACATTAAAATATTAACTGTAAAAAGTGTATCTATAAACAGTAAAACAATCAAGTAATAGAATTGAAATAATAAAAGAATTTGGATTTTTTTGGAAAAACCTAAATAAAGTAATTTTTACTGTACAAAATCACATCATTCTTTTGCTCAAGAAATGTTCACCTACAATACTAGTATACTACTAGTATGTACAGTGCCCGATTAAAAATACAAATATCCAGGCAATGCTGTTTTTTGGTTACATTAAGGAGAATGATAACAGGAGTAATAGATTGGGAATTTCTTACCCTCTCAACAAAATCGACATCTATCGAGGATACTACAGATTCGTTATTACATTCCTTCTTGTGTTTTTCAAACTCGGACTCTTTAGCAAAAGACTTTTCACAATTGCAGCAGATGTATTCAAATTTATACGCATCCTTCTGAACTATCACATTCTTTTTTCTGCCTCGAGTTACACCTTTCTTTTTTTTCAACCGCGTAGTTCTATAAGCTTTTTTACGTTTAGGTGGCATATTAATAATTCACAAGTATTTACAAATAAACTTTACGCCTTTCAAAATATACAAATTTCAAACGGAACTACTACGAAGTTTGATGATAAATTTATTAAGGCGCTTTAGTGTGGCATTCCTCAAAACTGAGTTCGTCGGCCACGTTGTCATTAGGGTTGTAACGATATATCGAAAAATCGATAATATCGAAACCAAAAAATCGATTTTTGGAAGGCTAAAGGAGATTGTTCAACAGTGGTAGTCGGTTTCCGGCAGCGACGAAACATATATCATTTGAAAGCTTGTTTTATATTTTTTATCTCCGATTAAAACTTTAGTATTTTTAAGTATGCTGGCCAGGGTAGCCATAAATAACGTCATATTTTTAGTGTGTGGCAGCTTAGAACGTTCACACAGTCACTATGATAAATGTCAATCAATCCAGTCATGTATGATATTCGTGAAATCGTGGTAAACTTATTTAACCAATTTACCATTGATTTTTCTGAATAAAAATTTAACAGAATAATTATCACTGCCTTAATGATTAGAATATATTTGATTCTTTGGCAACAATAAATAGATAAATAAACTTGTCATTTGCCAATCAATAATCGCACCATTTTGTGTTATAATAATCGACTCCAGTGTGTTATTATTTTTATTGAAAAAAGCGATTTTAGCATGATTATCTAAACTTAAAACTTTTGGCATCAGTCTCTCCTTCTCGTTCTGTAAAGAAAATGACAAGGATGCTCAGTAGTCATATTTAATTTGTTTTATTTTATTAGGTTTAGAGAATCATTCCAGAATTAATACCATTATCAGAAATTTAAAAATCGCTTTTGTATCAATCGATAGGTAGATATTTTACCTTAGTGCACATCCCTACATGTCATTAACAGCAAGTTTTTTTTTTGTAATATTGTAACTTTAAGCAAAGGAAAAGGATACTGAATTCATAAAGCGTCATTTACAGAAATAATAATCTCGGGCTCGGGTGTATTCCGAAATATACATCAGTATACTGGCCAGTCGTAATGACGTCACGAATCCGACGCCATTTTGTACTGGATGCTACCATATTTTTACTGGGAAAACGAATATGACGTATGACCGAGTGTGTATGAGATGCATTCGAATTTTGTTTCTTTTTTTATATAAAGAATAATAATGGCATCCGGACGAAAAGAATTCCTTTTAAAATTGATGAGGTGAATAAAAAATCTTCTTTATTCGCACTATTTTTAATATTCCGTCGATTTATGACGTTAGTGCACTGGCCAATATATTTCGGAACAATTCACCAGTATAGTGTCAATTCATGACGTCATTAGCACTGCCCAGTATACTGGTATATATTACGGAATACACCCCTCGTGTCCTTGGTCAGATGTAGTACGCAAGATTATTTCCATGGCAACGATTAGCTGTAAACAAATAGTAGTCAATATTGTCATTTTATGTAATTTTATCAGAGAATTTTATGATAATTCCGTCCAGTTTTTGTAAATATCATAAAATCGTGAGTCAGAAGAAAAATATGTGCCATGGAAAAAGAGTTGGATCCAGTTGTGATAAAGGCTACGCAAACAACACTTGGAAAATATGTGAAACGTCCACCGCTAAGCGAAAAGTTGTTAAAAAAACCACCATTTAGGTTCTTACATGATATTGTTACAAATGTGAGTTTAATTATAAGTAAATTAATATTACGGTATGCCTTACGAATCTTTATTGTGATTCATATTTGCCTGTAGGAGGCTATGAAAGTGAAATCGTTTATTACGACCAGTGCTCCGATCCCAAGGTTCTCGCCCTCACAAAACTCGATATCTACTACTGACCTGACCCCGCTTCATATCTAATCTAAAACTTCAAAAACGACGATGACAACAAGTCGTCGCACTTTTCTCGCAATCATGAAACATCAACTTGGGTTTCGTACTACCCAAAGGGGGATAGCTCTGTGGGCTGTAAAATTAAGATGTAGGTAATAATAATCTATATTAACAACAATTAATAAAAATACCTTCAAGTGCGAGTTGTTCTCGCGCAAGGATTTCGCACCATTATCTTTACAAGATTAGACGCTATTTTATAAGGATTTCGAGAAAAACCGAAAATGGCATAAAAACTATTGGTTAGGGGAGGCCCCTTAAACAACTGACCGGTGTAAGCTGAACTGCGGGATAGAAAAGGTACGAAAACCTTTATTTAGAGTGCATTTTAGCATTTAAAATATTGTATTATAATGTAACGCAAAAGTTTTAAAGTTTACTTTGTTTATCTTGAAAATATATAAACCAAATAGATAAAGGCGATACTAGAAATACTATTTTCTATTGAATACTATTTTACATAATTTTCACTATTAATTGCCGGTTCTTCTCAGTACAAGGTCTCCCATCATAGCTTTGCGAACCGATGGCGTATCTTTCGACTTTTACATGTGCTTGTAATGGCCTAAACTAAATTGAATTTGAATTAATCCTTTACCTCAGACGTCGAGACTCAAATAGTCATCGAAGCTATTCTGTAAGAAAAAACTCACTTTTCACTTCGAAATCTGCGGTATGAAATAAAATTAGAACACTAATTTCAAATAAATTTCAAATCACACTGGTGATTTCACACACAGCGAAAAAATTCGTTTGTTCTTTGGTACTGAGCCGAATAATTATAGGGCGTTATTATTCTTAGTAAAGAAGTTGCAAACTTGGAATACAGACGGGGCATGGCTTGGTGTCCTCTTGAGTCTGAGTCTGAGTCTGTGTAGGTTTTGTGTAATCTTTTTTTTATTTTTGCTTTCAATGTGCGCAGGTTTTAAAGACTACAGGTTTCTTTGAAGGATTATTTGAAGAAGAAGAGTTGATATCCGAGAATGTCAAAGATAGAGAAAGTAAAATTTTATTTCTGAATAAAGTAATAGCAGTAGTGGGTAAGTAAAATATCTTTAAATTCAGTAAAGTAAGGCCTAAAACCTAAAATCCATTTGAATTAATTTGTATTAGAATTTTATGTAGATATCTGACTGAAGAGATGTCTGTGATGTTATTTTATGTATTATGTTAATGTTAGTAATATTAATGAGAATAGGTGTGTAATTAGTTGAGATGTAATAATTGAGTTTCTTTTAGGTTCAACGACAGGCAGAGCACTTTCAGTTAAATCTTCTAAAATTGTAGCAGGCCAAGAACCCGAAAAGACGAATGAACTACTGCAGTATTTAGCACAGGCATTAGACAAAAAATTATCGTCTAAAGATGCAGTTCAAAAATACAAAGAAAGTGTTAGTATATCAACGAAATCGGAGGATAAAAAATCGAAAGAACCATCCAGGACACAAAAAAAAACTAGCGATTCTAATAAATTAACATCCAGAAGCAATGAAAAATTAACAACTAAAAAGGAGCCTAGCACTCGAACCTCTAATAGAAATGATGAAAAAATAAATGTTAATAAATCAAAATCAAAAGAGAAAAGTAATAATATGACACAATCTCCTCCCAAAAAAACAACCAAATCTGTTTCTAAGAAGCCATCAATAGAAAAAATAATACATGAAAATAAGAGTAATAGTGAATTACCCAATACTACTGAAAATGAACTGAAGTCCAATAGTTCTAGTGAAATCACTATTGTAGCGAAGCAAGATGAAATAAATGAAAATCCATCACTAAATTTAAATCATAAGGCTTTAACGGAGTCAAAAGGACACAATCTTGATATGTCTTATTCAGCAGTAGATAATTTGAATTCATCTCTACCGTCACAAGATTTAGTGGAAAACGAAAATAGTAAAACAAATGAAGACTTTGTTAATAGTAATACTAATGTAAAATCAGAAGTAGAAAACATTGAATTTCAAAATGAGAAAACGAATGAAAATATCAGTTATGATATTAATATACATGGTAGTAAAAACAGTACTCTTGCTGATACTGTAACTGATAATCAAGTAGAAAGTACAGATGAAGTTTTAACAAAAACTAACACTCAGGAAAATATAGCTCCAGTAAAAGTGAAAAATATAGTTAGACCCTTAAGCGTCCGACCATCTTCATCTAGACCGGGCGCACCAAGGCTTAGAGATAAATATGACAATATTTCATCTGAAACAGAAAATATCCTCGTGGGTAAAGTGAATATAATTGTTGAAAATGCAGCAAATGAAGATGTAGGTATTTTAGTTATTACTAAATTTTTCGGTAGATTTATCACTATTAAATAATACAAATAATTGTTAATACAGGAGGAAGACACAAGTATAATGATTGTTGATCAAGAATTGGATTCTTCCCAAACTGGACAAGATGAACAAGAACAGATGCAAGCATCGTTTAATCATCACGGCCACTTAGTCCAACAAATACTAAATTCACAAAAAGAATATTCACAATTGTCGGGAAAAACTGAAATTGCAAGTATCAAGTCGACTTTTTAAGTATTAATCATGAAGACTATAATATGCTCTTTATCAATAAAAAAAACTTGAACACATAAAAAGTAAAAATTTGTTATTTATTGAAATAATTTTAACATTAAGTATTGATACTTGTGTTATTATTGATATTGAGTACTCCTACTAATATTATAAATGTTTGTTACTCAAACACGCAAAAACTGCGTTAGGATGACATAAAAAACTCTCATTTGACATTTGAAATCATTACGAAGATGGTTACTAGAAATTGTTTTCTATTCTGTTGACAAATATTTAAATTATAAATGACATTAATAATATTATCCTCAAAAGAATTGATACATGTATTGGTTTTGATTATTACCCTATTGGATATTAAAGTTTTGAATTGTATTTTCTAGATTATTAATGTTTTTTTTAAATAAGTATAAATGGAAATGTTCGTTTTGCATGCATTTAAAGGCTTAAAGCTAAGTTTATATTTTTGTCAACATCAACATTCTAATGTACACATCCTGTTTAATGGCAAATATAGTTTCGAATTTAGAAACTACTACTAACTATTTAGAAGTTTGTTAAGAATGTAGTTTATGACCTGGATTGAGACATAGGATACTTTTTATCCCGGAAAATGAGAGTAAAGGTAAAGTAGTATAGGTACCAATATAGTATATATATATATATATATATATATATATATATATATATATATATATATATATATATATATATATATATATATATATATATATGTATATAGGTACCAATTAAAATCACTATACCGATATTAAAAATTCGAAAGTTACTAACTTACCTACATCAGATTCTCTACTACATCATCAGATACTAATGACAGTTGTGTGACGTCACATACTACAGTAAGGCTCCATATTGTCCAGAGAAACGTTTTCGCGGCAACATGAAAATGAGTTTTTTATGGACTCTATAAACATTAGTAAATAACGTGAGGTCGTTTTATTTAACTTGACAAATACCCTACTGTACGCCCTACGGATTAGGACATAGCTGACCTATATGCACTTATGTAACTCCCCCATAATTGTATCTATGCTCCACAATAAATGAATTATTATTATTATCGATTTTATTAAATATTTGTATGGAGATAGAGGACCAACCCGGTTCGTCATTAATGTGCTAAGTAAGCATTTTTATTGCACTTCGGCCCGACAATATGTGCGCAAACCTGTAGGCACGGAACACAGGAAAGACGTACGGGTACGGCCAGAGTGCACTCAGATTCAAATTCCGAAAACAAGCGCGAGAAATAAACAGTGTAGTCTAAGCAGGTTGTCTGCTTTTTATCGCGCTTGTTTTCTCAGTCTGAATCTGAATCTGAGTGCACTCTGGCCGTACCCTAAGGGTAGACACACGCCGGCGCTTCTATAGATCCTATTGAACCGACTTCAAAAACACGCCTTAGGGTACGGCCAGAGTGCACTCAGATTCAGATTCAGATTTCGAAAACAAGCGCGAGAAATAAACAGTGTAGTCGAAGGGTACGGCCAGATTGCACTCCTGATTCAGATTCAGATTCAGACTCAGAAAACAAAGCGCAAGAAAAAGCAGGCAACCTGCTTAGACTACACTGTTTATTTCTCGCGCTTGTTTTCAGAATCTGAATCTGAATCTGAGTGCACTCTGGCCGCACCCTAAGGCGCGTTTTTGAAGTCGGTTCAATAGGATCTATAGAAGCGCCGGCGCCGTGTCTCGAAACATATAGAAATTACGTAAGGCGCATTTTTGAAGTCAAGTATATCTGTGTTTCGGTAGACACGTTTAGTTCCGCATTAGTTCCGGCTGCATCATATGCATATTATGCACTTAGAACAAACTAGATTGAAGTTCTTTTTATGCCATTTTAAATATTAAACCCATCAAATAAACAAATATAATTTATTTTTTAAAAAAACCACCGTAGTAATTTCCAGGCTAATAAAAATAACAATTGGTAACTACCTATAAATTAATAAGTAATAAACTAATAAAACAATCCAATTTCAGGAATGGGAATTTGGAGCTCAAAAGGCTAGAGATGCTGTAAATAAAGAAATAGAACAACTAAGATTTAATATCCAAGGTCTATCGCGAGTAGCCAACCCGCTAGGCAAGCTCTTGGACCATATTCAAGAGGACGTTGAAGTTATGCGACAGGAGCTACAGCAATGGACAAAAACATATGAAGAAGCTTCCAAAGAGCTTTCAAAACAGAAAGCGTAGGTTAATTTATGAAATTTAATCGCTATTAAAATCATCGCGTGGCATGGGTATTTAGTCTGAGGCATGGTTTGGTACGAGTGTTTATCAGAATCCTTTCAAGCATGCTAACCTTTGCCAAACAAATACAAATACGAACAAATATGCAATGACAGGTTGTCTGGTTTCGAAAACTGTTACAGGCGCTTGTTTGGCACTGATTTCCAGACAAAAACTTAAACCAGCAATGTGAAAAATATGGTCAAGCGTGTCATAGATATATCGCTCCTGGCCTGAGACCCGACTGCTTTAAGTGCCACCATAATAGGAATCTGGGTACCTACCATACATATCATAGTACTGGGTCCCACCAGTCCCGCCAAATGGAAAGCAATTACGCCGCCTAAGAAAGAGCACGTTTTGCTTGCCTAGGAGGAACTTCCTTAGTCGAGACACTTATAACGAATCATTCCCAGCCCAACCACAACGATACAGTCATTACTCAGAAACTGGACTGATGGCACTAAAGTCGGGTTTGCGCCAGGAGCCTCCGTCAAAGCTAAAGAAAAAGTGTAAATGTGTGTGACATAATATGTTTTTGTCTCTTTTTTCTTACTTATAAGGGAAAACGAAAATGTTACACAATTCGATTTAGGAAAAATTCGTCTGATTCCTTTTTCGTCCGTTTAAATTATAGCCTGTTTTTTTCTAACGACAAAAGAAATCCTTTTTGGATAAAAAAAACTTAGGTTAATTTTCATAACATTGATTTGTTACTTACCTATATCTACAAAAAAATAAGTGGTATCAGTAAGTTGAATCTAACGCGTCTAATAAATAAATTAAACTATGTTATATTAACAAAATTTTCTTTTCGCTTTTTGAACGCGCGGAATAGCCTTGTGCGTACTTTCTTGACTCCCTACATACTATTATTTATCTGTCTCCTTTGTCCCAATGGTCCCTTTCCCACTACAAAGTTGTACCACTGGCATCCATCAGCTATTCTTCCACTGTTACTCCCTCCATTTTTTCTTCACCTCCTTCAAGTCCACTCCGCATCCTGTGCCATCTTCGCGCGAAGTCCCGCAGCTGCCTGAAGTTTGTCGTCTATCCCACCAGGTTAAGTGCATATTTATGTCCTTTTCCTTATATCTAATTCTATCAAAAGAGAAATACCGAGCATTTCTTGTTTCTATGATCTTAAAATCCCTTCCCTTTCGCTTCTGTATACTGACGAAACACACAGGTCTATAGGGCTTTTGCCTTTAGTTTTTTTCTTAGTTCCCGAAGCCTGAACGCTGTGCATCCAAGCGGGATTCAATGAGAGATACCGTATACGTACTGGTCAAACATTTTAACTGATGTGGGTACACATGTTTTCTCCATATCCATATCGCTTTGGGAAGCACTACTAATATTTTCGAGCAATGTGATAGATTCAGATCTTCCAAGGTCTCGATCATAAGAACTACATCATTTTCGAAACGAAGGCGTATAAGTTGTTGTTGATGCCATATCCTTTCTATTCCAGAAGCTTAAAAATATCTTCCAAAAGTCCACAAACGCCAGGCAATGGGGCAGATTTATCCTCTTTAAGTTTTTTGTATAGGCTGCCGCTGTCTATGCTACGTACTAAAGCCTTTTTAAAACCTGGCATGTTCGGGGGATGGTGGTCTTCGAACCTGTGCGCGAGGCGATTTTTCATGACTCTCCAGAACAACATAAACATGATTTAGAATTAAGATTTAGTAGATAGTTCCTCAAGAGTTTCTTTCCATCCGTTTTGAAGAACAGGACTATCTTACTTATGATCCACGCTTTCGGCATTCTGCCTTCCAGGATGATTAAAGTTCCTGGGAGACTATTATTCTAACTTTGTTTGCAACCAACCGTGGGCGTACCCAGGGGGGGTAGGGAGGGGCAACTGCCCCCCCCCCCCTGGAAATCTCGCAGAACATGTATGAACTCGCCTAATTACTCATAAAAGTGTAAACGGGGCCTTATGGTCTAACTTTTAAATAAACCGGGCAGTAGACACTGGCAAAATGCACGGTGCAATGGAGAAGTATACGCAAAGTTTGACATAGATGGCGCTGCAAACGCTTGACCCTAACCACTGCCGAATATAGCAGCTGTCATATTTTAAACGTGTTTTTTTGTTGTGAAAAATAATAAATAAGTGGTGAAAATATATTCAGCATGGTCTGTAATACAGCTGAAAACAGAGTTGAAAAGGCAAGGCAAAAAAAGCTAATCTAGTAGAAAGGAACTCTTTCTATTATTATGCTAGAATGCTCATTCTCGGTACATAGATGCATTTTTCATGATAAATTTAATAGTTCGTGGATCTTAGTAACTTCAAGCAGGCTCATTCAAATCTATGTCATTTTTGCATCAGTCAGACATCTCATAGAGTTAGGTTACCTCTGGCTAAAATGGGAAGTAAAACATTGGGTTTTTTTACAGACTTGATGCCTCAATACGGCATATGACCGCAATTTTAATTTTGGTGCAGTTTTTTCTGATCAAAATGAAGACATCCAGATGCAATTACCTGCCGCAGATACATACCATGATGTAAACATCAGCTCGGTTTTACCCCCCCCCCCCCCCTTTCAAAGCAACTTATAAAATTATATTTTAGTCGGTAAGCATGGAGTATTCTCACAACGATGACGAAGATTACCGAATCTAGCCGAGCGTTCGAATGCTCGGCTGTATTCGGTTAGGAGTTGCGAGCTGAGGTCGATGATTTTATAGTAATAGATACGTCATACTCGCTTCTAGTTTGGCAATACGAAAGTCATTTAGTCGGGCACGCTCTCGCGCAGCGGCTAATCTTCGCTACAACGTGTATAGGTACCTATATTTTACGTTTTTCTAGACAAAAAGTGTGTTTTTTGATAGTATTCAAATTATACGGGAACTATTAGCGAAAATAAAAATGTAAAATTTATAAGTAAGTACAGTTTAAAGAAATTAATGTAAAAATATTTACTGGTGTCGATTCTGCCATGTCAGTGCAAAGGAGATGTTGATGTTAAATTAATTTTAAGTTCAGAGAATCATGCTAGAATCGACACCACTGTATACTTATTTTGGCAGTTGGTGACACAGTTGACACGAGATAAAGAACGAGATGAGAGACTTTAGTGAAAGGGAGCTTGGGGCGGGGACTTGTGCCATTTTAAAATACGATAATTTTGGCGTCTTTTTATTACACGTAATTGATTTGAAGTAGCAAAATCAAACGTAGGTTACGTAGGTGATAGTGTAGGTAGTGAAGGTATCTGATTTAAAATACATATCATATTTTTATTAAAATACATCTTGTATGGATATTTTTACTAGGTAAATATATAAAAAGATAAATATTCAAAATCTTTTGATTATATACGTTTTTTCTACTATGTCCCGCTTTCGACGAAAGAATCCCGTTTTTTTCCAATTCATTTTGTCTTTAATTTGCTGGACTTTTTATATGCATTTATTACTTGTTATTTCTCATGTTAGTGGCTGTGTGGTTTTTAATGAAAAATAAATATTCTTTACCCTTAAATCACAGTTTGGCAACTGAAATTATACCATAATCCTACATACTCGTACCTTTCGTTTCAGGGCTAATGAAGATTCTTTGTTCCCTTTGACTACAAAAGTGAAACAACTCGATGCAGACATAGTGGAGAAACATGACAAAATTAATGATCTCAAAGTAGTAATACATAAAAACTCAACTAGAATCGAAAAATTACTAGCTAATGGGAATGTGCAATGAATTGTATTCTACTAAACATGTATCATAGAAAATAAATATATGCACATTATTATCTATCTATACGGTGTTTACCTATCCCTTTATACCCACCAGCTAACAATTCTGACTGTTTCTGAAATTCAATTAAAGTCCTTGCTTGTCCAGCCCCCTTAGCATGAGCATCGTGATATAATTTATTATGTATAACGCCTTTTTATCGCGCTTACTAGGGCCATTCGTATACTACTGAAAAAAATGGACAATATTGGAATGAGATGCTTTGAATTAACTCAGACGGACAACTTTCTAACGTCTACGTGACTACGAAACAGCAGTCAAAACCGACTCCAAGCGACGGCTTTTCTCCAGTCGTTTCGTGCGACTATCCAACGTCTGCCGTCTGAGATGTCTTACCCACAGATTTAGTACTAGTTAATATGTGTCTTACTCTTGAAGTGGTTTCGGAGTTAACTAAGCGGCGGGCGTCGATGCGGGTGTGCGGGCAGTCTGCACAGGGTACCGCAACACCACCCGCACTCCCGATCCGCATTGCTGAGACTGCGTCCTAGCAATGCGGATCGGGTGACACGGTGCAGGGGTATTGTCTGGTTTTTAGTGGCCTGTACAGGGCGTAGGCCTCAGGGATGGCTGAAGTGGACAGGGAGGAGTCCCACATACCTTCTTCTCGCTCCCCCAGTGGTTGAAGGATGCGTAATGCATTTCTCAGACAGAAAAAAAAGGCGTCGATGTGTGAGGGTGGGAGAGTTTATCAGGGACGAGCTGCCTGTGTGCTTCAGTATCCCTCAGGGCAGTGTATTGGGTCCAATACTATTCTTTACGTTTATGAATAGAATGATATTAATAAAGTAACACCACGGGATGTCGATACTATTGCCATTTTTCACGTCAGAAGATGCTGGTGGCAGTGTTTCATAAAGCTTTGATAGATTGTTATTCTAAAAAAACTACATGAATGAAATCTGATTTTGAATACCTCTCAAGACGAAGTAATTGTTTTCCTAAAACCACGGAAGTTGAATCTCCCCCAGTTCCTCACGGTTTCACTTGGAGTGTCTCACTGAATATTATAATTAGTATGCTTTAGGAGCTCGATGGCGCCTGTGGTTAGCGCGTTCGGCTGCGATCGTTGAAGTTAAGCAACTTTCGCAGTGGTCGGTCATTGGATGGGTGACCAAAAATTTACTATCTCGAGCTCCTCCGTGCTTCGGAAGGCACGTTAAGCCGTTGGTTCCGGCTGCATCAGCAGTCGTTAGCACCCACCAATCCGCACTGGGCCCGCGCGGTGGGTCATGGCCCAATCTCCCTATTCCATCCATAGGGAAGGCCTGTGCCCCAGCAGTGGGGACATTAATAGGCTGATAATGATGATGATGATGATGTATGCTTTAGGTTTTTTGGTAAGAAGTTCCTCGTCCTATTAAGTCATTGTGCAACATTAAATACTTTTGTACTTTAGTTTAAAAAACGCTGTTTGTTTGTGCACAATTCCTCTTAAAAGATATATTATTATTCTGAATTGAATTCATTTAGCAACTGTAATTTGTGAAGTGGTCTGTTTAACATATTCACTACAAAACTGACACATTTGTTTATGTTGGCAAAATTTAAAGACAACATAATTAGCAATAAGTTCTAAAGAAAACTAATAAGCAATATGTTCAGAATGCCTTGTTTGACAATATTACTAGATTATAAGAGCTTGAATTTGCAGGAACCATAACTTATCAACCACATAAGTTATGGTTCCTGCAAATTTATTAAGCTGAATTAGCAAGGTAGTGCATTCCTTTTTAATAATTTTTCAGGAGCCAAACATGTGATACGGAATTATTTTAAAATTGATGAATAAAAAAATATAATTCATAATGTACGAAAAATGTAATGACACCAGAGAGTTATTTACATTGTTTTTCAATTTTTAATTTAATTATTCCAGTTGAAACAACCAATTATGGGAATAGTCCATTTCACATATTGTATAAAAGGAATAAGATAAGTAGTTATAAACAGTGGGTAACAATAATTGTACAGGGGTACAGACATTGTATAAAAAAAATTAATAGGATACACCACCATACTATGAAATCTGAAACAAAACATCCAAAAAAACATGAAGATAGCTAGATTACTAAAATAATATTCATTTCAAACTTTTCTCCCAGTTTACCAGATAAATGCTGTCCTAAATTACTTACATCAAACTCCACAATAATCTGTTTGATGTCAATGATTTTTATAACAATACCTCTATTTTTTAAAGACGTAATAATGGAAATGCATGATTTGTTTCTTCATTTTTATATTTATCAATAAAGATAATTATATTGAACCATGTAAATTCATGGTTTTACATTTTAAATTCTTATGCCTAAAGAGCAGCATTATAGGGAAAAATGAAATTATCACAAAAAAAACAAATCAAACAGAATTTACAGAGATCAAATTTACCAATACAATAAAAAGAAATAACTTACTTAGATAAACTAAATATAATTTCATGAAAGAATGTTTCACTATACTGTTAACCAGAAGTGCAACTATACAATACTAGTTAGTTATGTGTTACTATGTACTGTATAGGTACATTAAAATTATTTGTATAATAACCAAGTATATGTAACCTTTGAAACAATCTCAAAGACAAAAATATAAAATTTTGCTGGTCACTTATGTTATGGCTAACTTAATCTAGATAAACTAAGAATTAACTAGTTAACTGATAGTTATTGTTGAATCTAGCTCGCCTTTGACCCTTCAGTAAGTTTGCAGCTTGCTCAATCCTCATAACCAATCGATGTTGGTTCTCCAATCTCTCTAAGCAATTTTTACAAATGGTCTTAGGTAGTGGATCTGAACGTGATACCTAGAAACCAGAATATTATATGCGAATTATGTTTATGGACCAAAGAAGTAATCTCGAAAATACAAAGTTTGTATCAGAGATCAAACAATTAGCACGTTGTATACGTACGTTTATTGAAAGATATCTATTGATTTTCTCAGATATACTTAAACGTATACCCTCTTCACCATAGATGTGAATAACAACACGGTGCATTTCTGAGCACAATCTGCAAATAAAACCTGTGATTACACCTCTGTCTAAGCTACCCATGATGCTTCAGTTCCAATTCATAGGGGGATTATCAATAATTTATTGAATTATGTAGGTTTTCAATTAATTGTTCCAAAAAATTCACAACAAAATACAATTTTACAAAGACTCCAGATTTTGACAAATATATATTTTTTTCTATTCTTTCTTTTAGAAAAGGCAAAGGCAAAACCATGCAGCCATCGTCTTATTTTTGTATTTATTTTCTTTTTTTTAACTTTAGAATGTGGGTGTGACGATTTCTAATTTTTTTAAGAGTGTTTGGCACAGTATGTTCCGAGTCAGCTTTCTCGATAAGCTTCTGTGAGGTAGTCAACGTAGAGTTGTAAAACATAGTAACTATAGGAGATATAGTTCTCACGTCGTTATAAAGATTCCACTAATTCTAAAGTTGCGTAGGACTGTACTACGCCGTTGCACGGAACCTCCAGCATCCAAAGTCTCCGAGGTAAAAATCTGCGCATTTTTCCCGCTCGCGAGACTGCCCGGCGCCATTCCGCGCCGGCGGTGACTGCCGCGCCCACAGCCGCAGGCCTTGAGCGCGCCGTAAGGCTGCGCTCGGCCAGGTTCGCGCAGGCGTAGCCCCCAGCACGCAGCATGGAAGACGACACCACGTACACGATGCCACAGTACCCCGACCCTCCAGAGAACGCAGGTTATGCCCAAACCAAGGCCCTTTTCTCGGCCAAGATGATCGGCTTGAGATCGAAGCGCGCCCAATATGAGTTGGACGCGGCGATGGCGAGCCGACTCATGCAGTCTGGCCTACTTTCCAAAAGGATGTCCGACTGGATTTGGGCTTTCATGCGAATCCTGGACGAAGAAGATAGCACGGTGACCGAGCTCAGCCCAGATGACTACAAGTTCATCGAAACTTGCAGATCGGTCAACGCACAGCCGCTCACGCTCCCGCCGCCATCGCACATCTACTACGAACCCATACAGACGCAGCCGAGACAGCCCCGCGCAGTGCGACCGCGCGATACCCTTCCGCGCCGTTCGCACAGCTGCGATGTGCTGCCGTTCCTCGACGACGAGCCCTCCGAAATAGAGGTAACAACCCCCACAGAGGAGCAAGAATCCACCCCCGCCGCCCCAGACCAGCCGCAAGACGACACACCGACTGCTTTACCGACGCAGCCGAAGCAGTCGTACGCGCAGGCCGCCGAAAAATTCGCGCCTACCCCCGAAGCTGAGAAAAAAAATCCGCCTACCGCCGCTTCAGCCACAACCGCACAGAATGCGCAACCGGCCTCCAGCAGAGCTCCCACGTCCCAGCGGGCCCGTAAGCCCCCGCCGATAGTGGTTGAGCAGCTGCAGGACTGGCCGAAGCATCTGAGCGAGATCAGAGAGAAGCTTGGACGCTCGCCCAACGTACGCCCGTTTGGCTCGGGTGTACGTTTCTTGCCGAATGACGACCACGAGGCCCAGCTCGTCCAGGCCCACCTTTCCGGACTGGAAGGCCAGGCCGGACTTAGCTGGTACTCACACGCCCACCCCGAGGACAGAAATCTGAAGGTGGCCATCAGAGGACTGCCCACCAATACCCAGCCGCACGTCATCGCTGAGGCCCTTACCGCAGAGGGCTTCGCAGTGGACCACATAAAGGAGATCCGGGCGCGAGCAGGCCGCACCGGATGCCTCTACTTTGTCTCGATACGTCGAACCCCCGAGACCATCCCAGCCATCTACGCTGTAAGTACTCTGCTACACATGTCCGGAGTACAGATAGAGGCCTGGAGAGGAAGGAAGACCCCAGCGCAGTGCCACCGCTGTCAGGGGTTCCGCCACTCCAGCCACGGATGCCACCGCCCGCTTGCCTGCGTGCGCTGCGGTGACCCGCACGCTGCCGCAGACTGCCTCCGCCCGCTGCAACCTACAGCGCGTGCCCCGCGAAACACCGCGAGGCGCGCAACCGCCGCGCCACTACAGTGGCCCGCACAGGCCGCCCGACCACCGAGCCAATCCAGCAGCCCACAGAGGTGAGCGAGCACGCGCCGGCCACACTGATGGCCCCCGCAAACGCTCCTCCCTCCCGTACCAGCCGCCCCAAGCGACGCAACCGCAAGCCCCGTCGAGCGAGCGGAACATCGCCGACGGACTCACCCACCGCAGCCCCACCACCCAATGAAGGCAACCAACCCTCACCGGCACCGCCCGCCCAAGAAGACGCAACAGCCAGACTGGTTCTACAGCTCACCGAACTGCTAGCGGACTTTGTGAAAAAGTTCGGGCAGTCGGAGAATTTTTTTTCCGCACCTACCCTCGCACCACCTACCCTCGGACACGCCACTACCCCTGCCCGCTGAAGTCCATCGCCCGCTCGCAGGTCGCTCACTGGGCCTCCCTCATGGGTCTCACCCGGTGGGCTTGACCGCGCCGAGGGCGATGAGCGAAGAAGCGGAGGCGGGGGTAACAGCCCCATCGACCGTCTCGTTCGAAACGAGATGCGAACCCGACACCTCCGCAGTGGCTCGCGCCAGAACGGATTCCCCGCACGCCGCGGCGCCTACGGCGCCGGCGACGCGCGAGACGACGACGATGAGATAAAGTTGCGTAGACGGATGTAACACAAAATAGCACTAATTTTATTTCACGATGCTATCGATTCTAGCATGATTCTCTAAACCTAAACTTGTCATTTTCTATACAGAATTAAAACGAGAGACTGATGTTAAATTTAGTTTTAAGTTTAGAGAATGACGCCAGAATCGACATCAATATCCGATATGAACGAATTAAAGAATAATTGAAATAGAATGCCATTCACACAGATAAAATCGCCGCCGATGAAAAAGTGAATAGGCTAGTTTACTCATGTCGAATTGTATTAAATAAATGTTTATTTCTTAAAGTGTTTAGTCTAAGGAACCTTAATATATCGATTTCACTTCATAAAAGCAGAAGATTGCTGTAGAAATTTAATTTTAAAAAATATTTTTTAGTCTATATTTTATAAACACTAAAAACGCTGTTCGCCACATCCGCCACGATTTTGACGTCTCTTGTGGTAAACAACTAAATGTCATTCGCGTGTTACTGTAGGTGGATTCTTTCGTCTGACTAAATTTATCTTAAAACACTTTTAACTTTAGGAAAGAAAAAAACAGTAAACTTAGTTTTTTTTGACTAAACAAATTATGGATGCCGGCTTTGTGAAAGAAGAAATCACAAATCTGCCAAGAATCGACGCATTGATGGTTGGTGAATTTGTTGCACTAAACCCCGATTTCTGCTCTGCGGAACAGAGAAACGACAAGGCATCTATGTAAGTACAGTGCATTTAGTATTACAATGTAGTAATAAACATAAAACTGATACAACATATGAATAAGTGTAATAAAGTTGCGTAGGTTAATTTCTTTCGGCACTTTAATCCACAACTTTCCTGGAGTCTTCAAGGATGTGTTTTTATATTCTCGTACAATACAGTAATGATAATTACTTTATTTTATTGATAATGATGATGAATGATAATTACATTATATTAGAAATCATGTTTTTTTTATTATAAACTCAGTTAAAAGTAATTTTCTACGTGTTTACGAGTTTTTGTTTACCACAGTTCACGTCATAGCATAGACAATCTATAGACTAAAATGGCCGACAGCGTTTTTGTATGTTCATGAAAAGTCTATTTTAAAATTAAAGATTTGTAGCTTTCTAGGTTTAAAAAAAATACAATACATTTTTTTTCGGTCTAATAGAACATTTATTAACCATTTAAAACCTTTTTCCAAAAAGGGTCAACTAGCCTATTGCCGCCATGACAGACAACACAAAGACCCAGTGTTGCTGATCATGAAAATCAGAATTCAGTTGAAATTTGAAGCATCGGTATATTGAAATAAAATCGGTAGTTTTGCATTAGACTTTTATTTTATGTGTCCATCATGCTAGCGTACACCAGATCAAATTCGAGGTTGTTCAATGCCAATAATAAAATCGGGAATGTTTATTTGACGTGTATAGCCAGCCTTATTCTGGCACTGACACAGCCACAGACTATTAAGAGAACAAGCCACAGAGTGTAGTGTATATTTATTATGATATACACAGCAGCTGTCAGTAGCGGGTTATTTTCGTAGGTTATTTTGTCTGTAATGACCCTGCTCAGTAATTAATTGGGACTAATTTAAATTGTCTTCTGTATTAATTTGAAACAGAAGAGTTTAATTTTTCAATATGCCTCGGTTGGACAAAAAACCTAGGGTAATGTTGGACGAATTTCGTGTAAAAGTAAGTACAAGAATAATAAAATTTATAATCAAATGCAACTCCTGGTACTGTCCCCTAGTAAAAATGTAACGTCTTTAAAGATTCACTAGCTTTTATTCATCAGACATCACAAATAATAACTCAAAGGTGTACGAATATTATTTTGCTACAGAATGCACCGGATGATTATGGGATGGCTGACGAAAAATGGAGTTTTAAAAAATTTGCGAAGTCCTTCAAAATTCATATAGTACGATTAGATAATACTGAAATGGAATTTGATTTAATTGGAATTCAACCTGCTTTTGCCAATGCATTTAGAAGACTCATGTTGAGTGAGGTACCAAGTATGGCTATTGAAAAAGTTATGATAAGAAATAATACTTCCATAATACAAGATGAAGTTCTAGCCCATCGTCTGGGATTGATCCCATTAAAGGCTGATCCCAGATTATTTGAATATAAACCTGAAGGTTAGTTGTGTTATAAACATGGGTACACTCTTTTTCAAATTGATTGTGTTTTATTATTGAATAACTTGATCCAATATTTTACAGATGCAGCAGAAGCAACTGAGTTTGATACTTTAGAATTTTCCCTAAAAGTCAAATGCACTAATAATAAATCACAGCCTAAGGATTCCTACCGCCCAGAAGACTTGTTTGAAAACAACTGTGGTAACTTCTTTATACTATTTTTCATCTAAGGGCAACAATATTAAATACGGAAAAGGGGTATCTGCTGCCAAGATGTTCTTCTACATAAACACTATACCATTTTGTACCAAGACCATGTTATTAATAGGACATAATAAAAAAATTACTAATATGAGAGAGCAGTCCGATAACCTATTGAAATAATCAAATTATATAGGGCAGAGTAATTAAACCAGGTTCTATTACTGTGTTTCATTCTTCAAGCAGAATCAATATTTAAATTAGAAACTTTTTTACAAACAAATTGTCAACATAAATGTTTAAATTTCAGTATATTCATCACAAATGAAATGGCATCCAATAGGCAACCAAGCGTCTGTACACAAAGAGGCAGATGTGGGCCCGGTCCATGGAGACATCCTCATATCAAAGATGAGACCTGGACATGAGCTAGATTTACAATTAATTGCTGTAAAAGGAATTGGGAAAGATCATGCAAAATTTTCACCTGTTGGTTAGTATCCTACTAATATTATAAAATGTGAAAGTTCATATGTTTATGTGCATGTTACTCAATCATGCGAAAACTACTCAATTAACTGTTAATACCCGAATTGTGACATACAATATTTTATATCCCTAAAAATTTTGTAGGATTTATAAAAAAATAAGTAAATGCAGACAAAGTTGCAGGCGGCCTCTAGTAATAAATAGTATTAAACATTATATTACTTTCAATTAACTAACCCCAATTTATATATATGAACTATTTTTGTGTGAATTTTATCCCTTCAGTCCCTTTTGTGAGACCAAACCATTAACAAAACCTTTGTCAGAATGTGGAGGAAAGTGGGATGAAGCAAAAAATATAAGATCTTGTTTTCTGCCTTAAAAAAATATTAAAAACATGTCTTGCACATAGATAATGAACTTTATGCGGTGCAACACTAACAAAACAGTTAGTGAGCCATTTAGCTGACAACTGGGACTCTTGCCAGAAATTTGCTAACCAACAACATAAAGAACTTTAAATTTCAACCTAGCTAGATGGAATAAATTGAGTTTGGTTGGGCAACAAAATATTCTTAGTTCATGGGTGGGATGGAAATAACTTAGTCTGAATAACTTATTTCGTGTTAGAGTTTGGTGTGGCACAAAGTTTTCGGCGGACATAAGGTCATAGCCCACTTATACGACTGCTCCAACACCACCCTATACTAAGGCGACTACTCGCAGTCCACGCGGCGACATCTAGCAGGCTCCCAGCTGTCCATGCGCCGAAAGCTAGCTGTTAGCAAATTGCTTGGTCTAAAATACGAGGGTGGCCTACTTAGTAGTCAGTGCACGGACACCGTGCAGACAGCTTGCTTGCAACGCGTGGTAAGCGAGGCGTCAACTACCGAGTAGTCTGACGGCGGTAGCTGACAGCGAGCTGTCTGCTAATCTTCTTTTCCAATGTAAAGTATATCTAAAGACCAAAGCTCATATTTTTACATTCTTTTTGCCAGGTGCGAGAGGAGTCGTGTAAGTGGGCTAAGACCTATAGTGCTAGCGCTCATTGAGCCTCTAAACGCGGCCACAAGTGGCTCAGTCTAGCCACTAGATACAGCCACCGATCGCCGCCGCTAGTGGCCAAGGCTTAGTTTGCGCCGATACTACACGCGATGTTTGAAATTCGACCGCAGCTTGTGGGCGCGTTTAGTGGCCGCTACTAATGGCTTAATGTGCGCTTGCTCTCATAAATAAATATTCACACCAATTAGCCTAGCCCCAAAGTAAGCACTGTAAGGCTTGTGTTATGGGATGCTAGGGTAACGGATAGAATACATATACTGTACATATATAAGTATATTTATATAGAAAAACATATTAAACATCCATGACTGGAGTACAAATGTTCGTATTCATCACACAAACATCTGCCCCCACCGGGATTCGAGCCCGGGATCTCTCGAGTCGGCGACACCATGAAACCCGGCGTACAAACCACTCGGCCACGGAGGTCGTCAACGGTACGTAAAACACGTAACCAAAGTATCTTTATTTTAGTGTGTGCTGTTGGTCGCAGATGACTTTTACAGCGTTTTTGTTATGGGTGGGACGTTTCAGCGACGGCTTCGTACCGCTTGCTGCCCGATATCCGGCTTACGCGCGAAGTGAACGGCGGCGAGGCGACGTTGCTGCAGAGCTGCTTCTCGCCGGGCGTCATCGCCATCGACGAGGACGGCTGCGCGCGCGTTGCTGAGCCGCGCTACGACACCTGCAGCAGGAACGTGTACAGATACGACGAGATCAAGGATGCCGTCGAACTCAGCAGGATACGAGACCATTTCATATGTGAGTGCTGCTTTTTGTAATTTTGAACAAAACCTACTATGAATGGGATTTTAGACAATGCAGTATGAAACTCGGAGAGTGAAAGGGAGGACCGCGCTATGACACCTGCAGCCGGAACGTGTACAGATACGACGAGATCAAGGACGCCGTCGAACTCGGCAGGATACGAAACCATTTCATATGTGAGGGCTGCTGCTTTTTGGTATTTTTGACAACGCGGTATAAACTTGGAGAGTGGAAGGGAATGCTGCGTGTGCGTCGCCGTCGTTACGTCTACAGATACGACGAGATCATGGACGCCGTCGATCACAGCAGAATACGCGACCATTGTATATGTGAGTGCTGATTATTGTCTTTTTACTGAAACTCGGAGGGAGGAAGGGAGGACTGAACTCTACAACAACTGCAGTTTGAACATCTACAGATATGTAAAGGTCAAGGACGGCGTCGAACTCAACAGGCTATGGGACCATTTCATATGTGAGTGCTACTTTTAATCATTTTACACAAAACCTTTTATGAAACTCGGAGAGTGGAAGGGAGGACTGAACTCTACGACAACTGCAGTCGGAACGTCTACAGATAGATCAAGGACGCCGTTGAACTCAGCTGGATACGGGGTCATTTCATAATATGTTGATTTTTGTCATTTTACATAAATAACTATGAAACTCGGGAAGGGGGAAGGATGACTATGACACCTGCTTTCGGAATTTGTACAGATACGACGAGATCAAGGAACCTCGCGTCTGCTGCCTGAGCCGCGTGGAGTTTTTTCTAGTAAAAATTTTATTGGATTTAAATTTAAATATAGCAATTAAATGCCTTAAAAATAAAATATGGTTAGGGAATACCTGTATGCTCTTTTCACATAAAAAGACAGATAAAGAGCTGTGTTCGTATCACACGGTAAAAGATTTTAAATAGCAAAAAGGTTTTGGAGACAGATTAAAGTTGAACCCTTTCTGTCTGGCTCTATTTTGGCTCGCAATTTTTTATTAAATTAAAACAATTTGTAGTAAAAGTACCTGTGTATATTCCTTGTGATCTCACATGTTTTTCTCATTTTCAGTTAATGTGGAATCCGTCGGAGCTATGGCGCCAAATATAATTTTCGTAGAAGCTGTCAAGATTTTGCGAGATAAGTGCAAATCGCTATTAGACGAATTAAATACGCTATAAAATTCTATTGTAATAAAAATTGTCATGAAACTGTTTAATTGTGTCGTTATTTATTACGTTAATATATTTAGGTATCTCCTTTAATATTTTCAAACTAGCGTGTGCACGCGACTTCGTCTGTGAAAATGTTAATTTTCCATCCCTTATTTCACTCGTTCAAGATTCCCATTCAAATTCATCAAAATGGTCTCTTGCCTTACCTTACCAAGTACGATATAAATGCATTACCAATAAACTTAAAAAAAATAGAAATGGTCACGCATATTGCATAACTAAAGAAATACTTTTTGATATACCTGTGTTATGTACTTAGTATTATCAAGCTATATACGACGAAATTGTCAATTTCCGGTTGGTGAAAGATAACAATCAGCAAAAACATTCAAATGTTCTTTTAAACTTTATTGCCTCAATTATCAGCAACTCGCTAATGGTGAAATATTAGTAATTATACCAAGTGTCAAGATCAAGCTTAGCCTATCGTAACGGAATCAGTTCACATCTTGTTGTGACTATTACCTACAGACTGCAGTTCCAGTTATAAAAATATTTGTCGTGAGATCAAATGGGTTTGATCTAAACTGACTTCCCTTATTCTGGACTATTAGATTAATTTACTTAAATAAAGTTAAGAGTGAAGGAAAATCATAGATTGCGACAACTACGTCTGAACGGAACGGACAGGCTTTTGGTCATGAAGTCGATATACTAGCCAACAGCCTAGGGGAGACATTAGTAGGTACTATAAAAGTCTTATGGAGGCAAAAGTCCGACATCCTTTTTTTACTAGGTAGGCGACAGTTCGAGTAAGTAAATTAATGATCACTCATCTGTTGTCCAACCATTGCAGTGCAATTACTTGTTTTTATTGCTTCCCCGCAGGGCAGTATAATAGGCCCTACTTTTTTCTTGGTCTATATCACCACCTTGGGCCAACTCAACCTGCATAATGGTAAAATTTACACATATGCCGACGATACTGCCTTGTTCTTGGACCGGATGTTAGTGGACCGGATAATTGGGTTATGGAGGGAGACACACACATCCATCTAAAAATATCTCACAATAATTTTAGCCTGGTAGATGATGCTTGCTGCTCGTTGACTACACTTCCTGTGGGCACCCTAACTAGCCACGAAGATGCGGCCAGGGTGCATCACAAAAATGACCAATGTGAGCAGCTGAGGGTGTTGAGAGGTGCGGGTCGGGTTTCTCCAACACGGGGCTTATCCCCGAGAGCGGGTTTCCTCGTTATTACGCCATTACGTGCAATACGCTTCCACCCTGGAACGTATGCTCTGCTCTTGCGACTCCACTCTGACCGGCCTGTTAAGGCAAGACAGAGGCGCGGGGTGTCTAACTGTGTGTGTATTAGCGCACGTGTATGGTCCCCCCGGAGGTAGGGTATGTGGTGTCGCCATTCACCAAAAGCTGCCACAAGCTGCCCTGCGTTGACTGACTGCACTGGGAATCCAGTGGGCGATGGGGTCGTCACGTCCCGACGCCTTATTATTATTAGTGCTGCCGCTTAAAGTAACATTTCTTTAAAACTTTACCAAAGCCTGATAATAATAATTAATCAATATTGTGAAAAACTCCATTAAAATTCTAAAGAACATACTTATAACTAGAAAAAAATCCACGCGGACCAGGCAGCAGACGGGGCTCGAACCCGCACCCTTCGCAATCCGGGCGAATGCACTGACCAATTATGCTACCGCGGCCCTCACGGACCGCGTCGAAATTCTTCTAGTCATTCTTAAGCTGCAAGGCAGCGCTATCTCTTCGCATTATAGGTAACCCACAATGTCAAATGAATACTTTTACAAGTATTAAACATTTGAAAGAAGAAATAGCAATTATAGTTATAATTTTTTATTATTTTAAAGCATGTAACTGCTTGATGTTTATTTCTTCTTTAGATTTAAACATCAAGCAGTTACATGCTTTAAAATAATAAAAAAAAATATATCCATTAAAATTGATTAATTAAAAATATTGTTTTTATTATTTTGCCACCTAGGTACGTACTTATTTACATTCCGTACTTGAGATACACTCTGCCTGTCAATCTGCTTACAGAGAGTACCATCTTTTGAGTACCTACGTAAAACTAGAAAGAATATTAGTAATTTTGAGCTAAAAATCGAGACGTCCTCTCGCCAAAATGCACGTCTTGCATCGCTGCTCTTTTAAATTTGAGTATCAAAGAAACACTAGAATTTGAAAAATAATTTCAGAATGAAATAACCTAGAATGCGATTACCTAGGTACCTACACCTCAGGCAGTACAAGCAGGCAACAGATTCAGTGAAAAAATAGGAAGCTAAAGCATGATAGAATTAAAGAAATGTATGTCGTGTCGCGTGATCTTAAGGTGTCATTTACGATTACACTGGACAGAAAAAGACTAGTTAATTCAAACTGGACGCTGTGCAACCGTAGCTTGGAAAATCCCCTAGCCATACCAATGTCGAAATCATTACACTTCTTTTTTGCGCAGTCATGCAAAAAATATCGCTAACATTCTCATAATATTATTGGATTTGTAAAAATGATATTGTTACATACAATTTTCCAGCCCTACATCTTCAAACTAGCATCTGTCTACGAACAATCACCGCGTGCGCACATAATCATTGGAGCAATAAAGAGTAGCGAAAGTACTGGTGTCCCCCAAATGATAATCTGTATCAACTAAACTTATGCAACAGCCCGGCGTCGGTCGGCGCAGTGCTCACCACGCACCCGCCTGCAGCACTCCACTCGAAACAATTCATCAACACACCAATATAAAGTGCCATTACTATAGTGATCGAATGTGATAATTGCCTCTAAGTTTTAGACGTGTTTTAAAAAGACAAAATGAGCTATATACGAATTCTATCAACGGCCGTGCTTATAGTGGGATTATTAGAATCGGGTAAGTGCATCGTGTACCTACCTATTTAACAAATTACTTTAGATTCGATTTTAAGTATGCAAATTCCGCAACCTAGCTTTGATATTTTTTTTAAAAAAATACAAAAGCTTTACAGAATAATGTTTCTGAAAAAGTCAATTCAGGCAATATAAACAAGAAAAATTACATATTTTAGTATATGAAAATCAAAGGTTCGATAACCTTTAGCAATAGCCAATAAAATTATATTCTGTCTGATATATTGTTAGTATATGGTAAATTAGGTATTTCGTAAATTATATTTTTAAGTGTGTTTACAGAAATCGACAATTATGGTATAAATTTTACAAGTCTGTGAAATCAATTAGCTACAAAAATAAATGAAAACAAGACAGTAGCCATTACTTCTTTTTGCGAATTATTGAGAAACTATAAATGGTTAGGAAATAAAATCTCCAGTTCTAAACGAACTGCGTTGATGTCTTTTACTGCGTTTAATCACTGCATTTCGTGTTTAAGACGCAAGAAATTGTGTTATTAAACATAATTATGTTCATGCTTTTTATAAAATGCTAGTGTAAATTCTCCATGGTTTTATATTAGTAGTGCTACTCTTTTCTAAGCTAAGTTTTATGTATAAATGTGAGTGTTGTTAAAAGGATTCTTTGCGGCTTCTACAAAACATTTAATATCTTGTCATTATGATTATGAAAGAGACCGAGTGGAATAGTTAAAGTTACAAAATATATAACAATATAATATGAACACAGTTTTATTGATGTGTTTCTTTTTCTCAATGTGAGTAAGAACAGCAGATCTCATTTTTTACCAAATCATTTGAAGTACATCAATATCTGAGATCAATATGTACTTTAGGTACTTATTCTGAACAGACAACTATTAGGTACTTATTGTTGTAGCACAAAGTACAAAGATAGAAAAGGTTTTTAATTATGAAAACTTTTGAAACTTAATGGTAGCGAAAGGTTATGCTTGTAATTAATTGGCTGACTGTCGATTTGTAGCTTGCATGACCCGTCACAACAAAAACAATTTTTGGTTTTTTACACTCTGTAATTAACTAACAATCATAATAATACTTACCAATTAAAATGTTTACAATGACTTCCCAAGACTTCGGCAGCTTTGTATTAACACGCATTTACCTACGTCCTGCAATCAAATATAAATTAAATACGAAAACTATTAGTACCTACACTACCAAATACATAATTTACGCAATAACAAAATATTTTCTTAGATAATATATGAATTTCTAAAATAGCTAACATCACCATAAAGTTTGTTCTATTCTTCAAATTCTTAGAATAAAAAAATACGCGCCCTCAAGTTAAGCAAAGTGGAGACTTAGGTACCTACCCTTATTCCCACTATTGCTCGAAGCAGTTCCTAAGTCTTAAAAACATATGATTCCTTAAGGATAGGGCTGCCATCTCTAAAATGTAACAACCAGGATAAGACGCGTGATAACCCCGGATTTTGGAGCCCAGAACCCGGACAGACCAATAAAAAAAAACAGTTAAAAATGTCACAAATCAACTTTTTTTATGTGTAAGCAAAAGAGATAGCGATCTACCTCATAATAAGTGGTCACTGCTGCCCATGGACACTTGCAGCACCAAGGGCCACTCATGCGTTGCCGGCTCTGAACGAAAAGGTTCTTCCGCCTTTTTAAGATTAGCATATCATAGCTATAAGAAAAAAATACTGAGGAAAGTTCATTCTAGATTTTGCTGGTACGCAAAAGAAAGGAACACATGGTGCTCGAACGCCAGGCGTCCAGATGGTGGGCGTGAAACTTCTCTGCGGTGTGTGGTGCTGTGAAGAAACTTGGCCACTGGCATCCGGTTGAATAATTCCTCGGAACACTCCCCATTGATTGTATAGACGGTACGACATGTAGAAGGAGTTGCGTCCTTTTACGTGTTGTACCGTCTGTGCATGCTAAGGGGTTGCAACGCGCGAGTGAACTCAGGATTATCAATATGTTTAACTGCCCGTTTTTGTAACCGGTCAAGAGAAAGGAGCTAGTATTGGGGTGCTCCAGCCCAGAGGACCAGTGCTTTGTAAACTAACACCCGATATTTAGGCTTGAGGTACTTTCTAGATCTATTGAACACACAAGCTTTTTCACACACACTTGTGTCTTTGCTGTGTAAATCCAATCAAATTTTGTTGGCTCCAATTTGAGACTTGATCCAGTAACATCTCAATCTCGGACACAAGTTTGTCTTTACACCCTTCTTCTTCCATCCGAGGGATGTTTGACCGGCCAGTGTAAAAAGTTTCAGTGCTGTTATCCACATAGCAACGAATGCTGTTATTGCGGACAGTGTGGGCGACAAAGCTGATCTTTGTTGGAAGTCAGCATTTATGGTTACAATGTAAGAATAGATTTATTTATTTTCAAAGACATTTAAATTGACGGATTAATTGGCGACCCAAAACAGGAAATTTTTAAACCCGGACTACAAATGAAACCCCCCCCGCCCGGACGCTCCCCGGACGCCCCGTAAACTAGGACAAATCCGGGGAAACCCGGACGGATGGCAGCCCTACTTAAGGATCTCCATATCGATCGATCCAGCGCTGGCGGCATCCTTCTGCTTCCCACGAACTTTACAAGATTGTCAAAGATGTGGTAATAATGGATCATACATCAAAAGTTGTGGGCCTTAAGATAGATAAGGTAAAAAACATGCCGATTAGCTATGTTGTACCCAGTTATCAAAGGTAATGTTGGAAATCATTACACTGTAGAGCTTTAAAGCCTGAGCTATTATGACGCAGTTAATTAGCTCACTCCACCTTATGCTAAGTGTGAGTAGAGTCCAGTTTCGAAAATGTGATAGGTACTGCAGAAGTATTTTTTAGTCCAGCCATCCCTGGCTTGCTGACCTAAACACGATCATGTCTCTTAAAAACAAGTAAAAAAACTGAAAAGGCACATTCTCACTATATAATAAATATGACATAAAATAGCTAGGCCTATTATAAAAAATGTTGGCTTTATACCGAATGCACCATTGATTTGCTCCATTAAAGCGACAGCCAGTTTATCTTACCTTGGGCCAAATTCAAAATTAGAGTAGCTTAAAAAGAGGGCGCAATACGCTAAGATGCAAGACGGTGCATCATAAAATCCTGTTGTTTAAAGTATTTCATCTTATTTATGAGGCTACAGAGAGGACTAAATAAGTAGGTTAGATTACTGGATGCATTCTGCAATACCTATGTTAAATTCTGATAAAAACAGCCGCAGTTTCCGCAGTTCCACATGTAATGGACCGGTCCAGCCAGCGAGCGTTGCATAAACAAATTAAAATACGAAATGGGTGGTTGCATCAATGAATATTGCAAACCAAAGTAAAAAAATGCATCTCACCTTTGCTCTGTCATGTTAATGTTGTGGTGCTGGTGTGCTTCTTTTACAGAAATATCAACGTTAATTAAAACGAGCCAAAAATAGATTTTTCTTCGAACAACATCTTCTGTATTGCGAAATGTACGTGTATATTGGTATATCTTTCTTCCAAACATATCGGGTTTAAACCGAGTCAATGCTAAAACTATCTCCAATAAACACCCGGCCCTGACTATCCAGCTTCCGGAACATATTTAAGTAAAGCACAAGAAAGTAATGTAAAGTCGCGCTGTCACTGCTTGCAAGAGAATAAAAAAATACAAATGGTTATTTAATAGCAATGAAATGGTCTACGTGACAGTTGTTAACGTAAAGTAAAGGATATTAGAATATTTTTTTACATGAAGTCATTACTATAATATTATATTATCAAGTACATGTTAGTTATGTCAGATTATAAGCGTAATGTATTTTTTTGACCTTATGAATTTAACGCGATCAAAGGTAAACAATTTATCGCTTAATTCTTGTAAGGCCAATTTGCCACGTCTGACAATTACGGTGACAATTTCCAGAGTATTGGGGTCGGTACCATGACCTCTTAATATTGCGGTAGTTATGGTGATTGTTACATCGCTGTCTGCATCATACTAAAGTGACTTGCAGACTGCATCTATCCCAACTTCAACCATCATAGAATACTGCAATCTAAAGTACCTATACCCCAAAGATATAAGGGTATATGCCATCGTCAAAGCAAAGTTTCTATGGAAGGAGCTAGTTTTGTTATTACTTCCGGTAGCGGCAGTACTTATAGTTTCCATAGAAATTTTGAAGATATATGAATACTTTCTCGCTTCTGTCTTTGATGCGTATTTTCGTACTTTGGGCTTGCTATTGCAGATAATTTTAATTATGTTATTATTATACAAAATTTTATAATATGTATTTCATCCTCGTAATTATTATTATACTTTGTTGCATAATTAAATTAGGTAACGCCTTCGTTATTTTCACTAATCAGTATGTATAGTATTCTAATTTAAAATGTTTCCTAATCATAAAACTGCATAATAAAATGTTTGTTATCGAATTGCATTAGTAAATCAACAAAATAGATTGTTTGTTACATATTCAACGGTTATTCCTTACACATCTTTAGATTGGCTTTTTCCACACGACCTTTACAAAAACATCAGCAATTTGGTTGCGTGATCGTTCTCCGCCGTTCTCTGCCGACACTCTGTATGCAATGATGTTTTATAGTTATTATAAATCTATTACACGTCATTGGCTGTATGTAAAATTTTGCCAGTTTTCTTTTGTCCGAGACATCGAAGCAAGCTCCTTTTAATTTTAAGTCATAGTTTCCGGTTTCCAGAAATTCTCTGTTTGCCACTGGCATTCACGGTACATTACGTTTATAACCCTTTGCTTAGGCTGTCTTACTGAGGGGCAGGGTTGCGTCGACCCCCGGCAGCGCCTGTATGCGAAATTTATGAAGCGCCTCTTTTACCCGATGGGTATAGTTGTTGTAAAGCAAAGATAATTTAAATGAAATTGGCACTGATCAGCTGCCAGCTGACTTCCCTATAGCAAGTGTACGTACAGAGCGGGCGGCGCGGCGCTGCCGCCCTGGGGGCCTACCGCCTGGGATTGCTATAGCTTATGATTTCATTTTGTTATATTTGACCGCCCGAGGTTATTAAATAAATCACGCTCATTTCCTTAAATATGGACATTCCGGACAAAAGAAAACTGGCAAAATTTTACATACAGATTCATTAACAAGGCAAAAAAAGTGTGCGAGGCATATGAAAACCTTCGGCGCCAAACCCTTGGCTTTCGTATCTGTTATTTGCCATTAAGGCTTTTATGTGTCAAGCATTAAGGGGATTTTCAACAGCAGATCGTTGTGCACTCTAGGCATGGCTTTTGAAACAATATGTTCCGACTGGTGACTAAAAATTGGATCGCATTAACCTCGTTTCAAGCTTTCACTGTTCTCTCAATATCAGACATACAGAACAGTATATACTCCCGGACACATGAATCGGCTCACTGAGTGTTATAAGTTTCATCGTTCTGTAGCAAAAACATATGTTAGGTTTAGCAATAATAATATATTTTTAAAACATACGATACAGATGAAAAATATTCATCTTCACATCTTTTTTCTCCACGTAACTTTATTTTTAGCTAGGGACCGGCAAAACTTAAAATGCAAGGTGGACCGATATATGTGTCCGGAAGTATATAAGTAAATATGAATAAGACTATTTGATAAGCAGGTATTAGGTAGGTATCCTAAAAAGTATAATGGATACAATAACCTTGTTTTGTCTAAATATTAAAAGGAAAGCCGTAGGTTATATAAGTAAGTATTTTTTCATAAATACTTTATCATATTGCGATCAAGGATAAACCTAGATTTTAGTTTCGAGACGAGCTTTGTTTCGTTCTATACTTTCTTAGTGGTCAAGGTAACGAACCAGATTTTGTGTAATCTTCCTTCGCTTACTACACAATATAAGTCACCATACGTGCTTGTGCATAGGAAATTGGTATTTTGGTTTTGCAAATGCAAATAACGCACATCTTCAACTGGATGACATCTGACGCTTGTTTTAAATGTATATTAGTATACCTACTAAGTAGATACACAAAAATATCTTTTCTCTTAAAATATTTAATATTTCTTTTTTTGTACTAATCGTAGGTAAAATTTATGTATTTTCAATAATTTATATTTTAATATGTATTAGCAATAAAAAAAATATCACAATAATTATATAATTAGGAACGCTGGTGATAACCAAGACTAACTTAACGAAAAGGTTATAAAATAAAATAGTTTTTTTGAATTTGCACTTAAATAATTCAAGGTCTTAAAGAGAAATCTTGAGAGCTCAATTTAATCTGCGACTGATAAACTGACCTTTAGGACGATTTCGTAAATACCAATGAAATAATTATCCGATTAGGTTAACTGAAAAGTTGATAGTAGATACCTCATCTTTCTATGACTGACATTCTCTCAAGGCAACCGATATGCGATTGATCAACTCTAGAGGTAAATGTGATTGCTTTTTTCCAATAGTTCAAGCATGTTGGATTAATTTACGAGTTAACAACTTCAATCAGTATACATATATAGTAGGTATGTGTGCCAGTATGCAGGCTTGTTAGTTATGGCTATGGCACAAAATCTATTTAGTGCTTTTGGGCAGCAGGTAAGAATGAAAGCATGTCCTCGCTCAAAACTACAAAATGATTTTTCAATTATAGGTACGTACCTACCCCAAAAACATTGTTACTTAATTGTGATAATCTGCTACGTCACCGTGTCAGTAACAGTGAGTGAGCCATTCAGTTTATGCAATTACAACATTGCCTACAATAAAGGTGTTTAACCTACTTAGCTCTTAATTTTCATTGACCTTCTCTTACGTTTTGATAGGTCTACGTTCAACTACCATCTTGCTAATTATTTTTTGGATCAGTTTGAGTTAAACAACATAGCAATAATCATATTTGATACTATACTAGTAAGGTAGGTACCTACGTAAAACACGTCACGTAAAAGGACTTTTGTGTTAATATTCCCAAAATAATTTATTTATTTCAATAATTTATCATAACGAAACACTTGATGTCGAGAAAACGTAAAAAAAACATGTATACAGGAAAAAAACAATTCCCCTCAAAGTTCTAGTCGTTAGTCCAAAACAAACGACCTCCGAATCGGGCGGGTTTCCTAGGTTTGCAGTCGGGCAATGAGGGTGTGGGGTCAGGAACAGGGGAATGGCAAGGGCACGGCGGCGCCGCTGGCTCGGGGCTCGAGGTGCGGTGGACACGACCGCGGCAGAAATATCCAAAATGAGGACGACGCAACTGACACTTTTCGAACATGCAACCATCGAACACCATTTGAGTTTTTCGGCAGTTTTTAAAAACAAAATCACCAGAACTCTTTTCAACACAATTGGCATACTGATTGAACTCTTCTAAGCATTCTGCTTTGATTCTACGAAACACTTGCATAGCACATGCGGTGACCATTTTCCCTATTTTAATACAAGCCCGAGGGTCATTCAACTCTTGCCTGCATAGCATGTACTCGCTGTTGACGTTCTCACATGACTTACCCAGATATGGGGCAGCAGACATAAGCGTCGCTGTTGAAACATTGACTTCCTGTGTATCTAATTCTTCCATTGTGGGAAGGTGCACTTCTTTGGTAACAACCATGTTTATTTTACGTGCTTTTCTTAATTCCAGAAATGTAAAAGAACTTTTTTATTCAGGGGAGAAACTGCAAAGCACTTTTGATCACAATTTTTGTTGACAGTTACCAGAATACCAAATGTCACTTAATATTCGAACCTTTGATATCTTATTTAGCGACATGTTTATTCTCTTCCCATTATGTGACATTTAATATCAAACATTAAATTTTTAAAAGAAAATGTTATAAATTATATACTTAAATGGCCTATGTGTGGCTTTGTATAATACAGAACTGGGATCACAGAGTACTTTTACATAGGATTTCATTAAGTACCTACATATATCAAATATATAATGTATATTCAAAACTAACGGCCGCCCGCGACATTGTCCGCATTAACCTTAAATTTTTGAGAATCCCACAAAAACCTAACATTTTTCCAGGATAAAAGTACATATCTTATGTCTCAATCCAGGTCATAAACTATTATGCCTACTACAACCAAATACGTTTTTATAGTTTTTACGTAATTGAGAAACAAACATACAAACTTCTATATTTATAATATTACCAGGATTATCAAAATTCACATTATTGCAAAGAAACAGCTTTAACTTTAATGAAACATAAGATTTACTTGACGTCTCGCTGTACCGCTTATGCCTCCCCATACCCCTCTGCGCGTTAATTGCCACGAAGCTTCGTCTATTAATGACAAACGCGGGTGTGGTCAGTAAGTCATTAGCGATTATCGTAACCTCAATTCTAACGATTCGTTTTTAACGAAGAATCGAGCTGCGTTATGCTTTCTTTCGTCATTTAGACACACATCAAAGGGGTTTATGTGACGATAAATATGTGCAGATGAAGAAGCGTACACCCGCAACTTTATCACCGAAAATTTGGACGTTTATTCTAAACGCGCGACGTAGTAAAAGCACGGTAATTATACTGTGGTTAAAGCTTCGTCGCGCAGGTGTGGGAGAGCCATTAGAATAAAGACAATCGCACTAGCGAGGTCTAGGGAATTACCTGTTTCTGTGTTCTGCGACATAAATAGAAAAGAAAAAAACCCCGTTAAGAATAAAGGTTATTGTCTTTAAAAAAACTAAAATCTACATTTCGTACATGGTATATCTACAGTTAGATAATTAGCCATCCACTGCGTCTGGGTCGTTTCTCTATGACTCTGCACATTCTCTGCACTAATAAATATCATCACGTTTTCTCTAATTCATGATTCGGTTGAAGCATTCATGACTATAGCGGCATTCGGTGTTTTGAATTATGTAAAAAACGTAATAACAATGTTTCTCGTAACCTTGACCGAAATGAATGACTGAACAAAATAACTTTATGATAAACTACAGCGGGTGTCCGCGCCTTTTTTTGTGTGGAAAAATTGGTTTCCCATACAAACTTCCACCCCTTTTTTCACTCCCTTAATAAATGACTTCTTGGATAAAAACTATCATATATCTTAAGACTTAAGCCATCTCTTTACCAAATTTCATCGCAATTGCAACCAGGGGCGTTTTTTAAAATCACTTACGTGTACCTACCCCCCCTCTATAGGTAGACCGCAGGACATAGCCCTCTTGGCTCGGAAAATAAGAAAATTGGGCCGGCCCCAATTCATGAAGAATGAAAAAAAAAAAAAATGGTTGCCTGTAAAGTCGGTTTTACGGGCGAAGATTTTACGTGACAACGTCTTTTTCTCGGTAGAATATTTATTGATATGAATATAATTAAATTGCACAATAGGAACAAGGAATTGAATGAAAATAAGAATTGCACAAATTTTAACTATAGAAATATATTTTGTTTACTAAAACATTGTACATGTAAACTTAAACTTAACACGAGAGACTCATCGTAACGTTACCGAGCGTTACACTTTTTCATAAGTGACTCCCAGCCGCAACCTAATTTAAGACGTTGTCACGTCAAAAATGGTACATCATCATAGATGTCATCGAAGTACAAATTAGATTAGAATACGCCGCCGTCTTACATCAAAAGATAGGACAAAGCTTTCTGTTTGTGTTCACAATAGTAACTTAGTTAACCACTGCGCTTTGTAAAGTAGGACGGTTTGATTTAGTAGATATGGGACGCGTCCGTAGCCCGCAAATGCTTTAATCTTAGTCTTAGTTTGATTTTCTTACTTAAGTTAAAAATATTAAGATAATGTTTAAGAAGAAATCTAGAATAATGAAAAAAATCATTATTCTGACGATGCAGACCTGAAAAGGCTGCGAAACGTCAATAAATAAATAAAGTTTCGTGCATTAACCCGTAAAAACTAGTTTTATTTAAATCTAGAAGAGCTATATGTACGTATTATTTTTAAAATAATATCAAATCTAGCCAGGTTCTGTTAGGCTGTTGAAAAACTATAATTACAACTATCTGTGCGCACACGTAAAAAATACGAAACTAGTTTTTGGTTACTTTTACTGTCTGCTAGCTACGTGTTTAGTATCTAAGAAAAGTATAGAGCGTGATCTAACTCAGGTCACTCTCAATTTCAAAAGACGTGATCTCCCAAATACCACCCTAAAACCTGACGAAAGTCCTTCGTTTCTACTAAATAGTTATCTACTTAATATTATTAATGTGAAAGTTTTTATGTTTGTTACTCAATGACACAAAAACTGCTGAACGGATTTGGGTGCAGTTTGGCATACATATACTTTAGTACCTGAATTGAGACATAGCATACTTTTTATCCCGAAAAAAAAGAAGTCCGGTTTCTAAGGGATTCTCTAAAAACTAAAGTTAACGTGGACGAAGTCGTGGCAGCTAGTTAAACCCTAAACTCTTTGAAGCATTTATAATCAGGAGAATTATAAAAAAAATATAAAGGAAATAATAAAAAAAAAAGGAAAAGCTCGAGTCGGAGGGTTGCGTACAAACTTGTAGGTACACAGCATTAACTGACGTATCTTTTTTACGTTACTGTAAAGTGAGATTTTTACAAGCTTCAAGGGACTGTAGATTTGAGCTTATGGTTTAAATTTCATGTCGATACCTTTATGCGTTCCCGAGATAAAGTTTCTTACATGACAGACAGATAACTTTTTTTACGTATCTTAAAAGTTTAATTTTTTTCACAAATTCCAGGGACCGTAGACTTGAGTATATGGTTTTAATTTCGACTCGATACCTCCACACGTTCGCGAGATAAAGAGTTGCATGCTGAAAGACAGGCACGCGTACAGGCGGACAACAAAGTTATCCTACAAGGGTTCTGTTTTTCCCTTTTGAAGTGCGTGGACGTTGCGGAGCGCTTCGCAAATGTGAAATACCCATACTTAAAAAACTTATTTAATTAAATAAAACTAGTTTTTACGGGTTAATGCACGAAACTTTATTTATTTATTGAAATTGAAAAAACTAGTTTTATTTAATGAGTGATGTGCGTGAAAACCTAAGAAACAAATAACTTAGTTAATGTTTAATATACAAATCTAAATGAAAGAAATTCAAACTTTAAAAAATTGAGAATATATTGGAGCCTTTTAATCGAAAAGGAATCTTATCTTTACTGGCTGCAAGCTTATATTAAATCTTTGTTTTGCTTTCACGCTGCAAACAATTAAGTGACCAATGGCGCTCTTATAATTGCCGACTATCACTGTTCAAATGAGCGTAGCCACTCAACATCTGCTCTCACACCGGTCGCAATAGATTGATAGCACATCAAAAAGTTTTACTAATTCAACGTACCACAAAGTATACAAGGGGGAACGGGGAAAGTATACAAAGGGAGTCACGCGGTTAGTTAAATGCTATCACTGTCAATGCAAGTTTAATCCTTAATCATTATTTGCAGTTGAGGGCCAGTCACTAGCCTGTCCAGCGGTCCGCACGAGCAGCGGCTGGTTGGATTTGTTCCCTCTGCCTTGCAAGAAGCATGCCGAGTGCCGAAACGTTATGGGCAAGCAGCATCTCTGCTGCAAAGGCTTCTGCACCAAGGGCATAACCGTGCAGCAACGGTGAGTATCCTTCATTACACCCCGCTTATGCTTTATTTCGATAAGACTCTTACTTATAAAGTTTTGAATACTCGTATTAAAGATTGCAATCTTTCACTCTAGGTAAAAAAATCCATTTAGTACTTAGTTACATAAAAGCACCAAAGCGATAGAAAAGACACCAACGTCATACCTAGTTATGAACGACGTTGATGTCTTTTCTATCACCGCACCGTTGAAATATTATACAACTAGCTGTGTCCCGCGGTGTTACCCTTGGTTTATTCGGGATATTTTCCCGCAGTAAAACGTAGCCTATGTGTTAACTCAGGCTGTCAGCTAATTCCATACCAAATTTTATTTAAATCGCTCCAGCCGTTTAGACGTGAAGAAGTAACAAACATACACACTGCCAAACTTTCGCCTTTATAATCTTAGTGTGATAGGTTTATAGCCTCGTCAAAATAAGCTTAATTTACATTTTCGATTTGCGAGTGCCTATCAAAATAATTTACTTTAATAGCTATTCGCATTAAAAAACCTTTCCTCCCTCGCATGGAAAACTGAAATACCTTTTGATACATGAATTACAAATACTTACCAACTGATTGCATTAAGATACTGCAGATTTCTTTAATCCCTCATGTAAGTACCTAACTAGTTAGATCTTATCCATAAACGGACAGATTAAACTAATTTTTGCAATGCCTTTAGCAGCCAATGGTAGGATAACACACTCAAGAAAATTTTAAAATGCTGTTATTTAAATAAGTTGACATTTAAATAACAGCATTTTAAAATGTTCTTCCTCGTATAAATTGCATAAGTAATTGCAAGCAAATGTTATTGCCTTTCTATGTAATGAGTGAGATTGACTGGCGGTTTACGTTGTAACAAACTCCTTATTATAGTTACTTATTATAACTGCTTCGAAGTTAACTTTAGCGATATTTTAAACATCGGTGATTGTATTTTTTTTTTATATTTACCTTGTAATATATTTCTTCCATAAATGGGAAAGAAAGAAAAGCAAACAGAATATAAAGCTGCTAACTTTCCCGCGAAGATAGTAAACTTCTATCAACGAATTGAGTTTGCATAAACTATTTATATTAAAGAATTTGGGGCTAGCAAACCTTGGAGAATGGTTTCTTCACAATAACTGAGAAAAGGAATGCCAAATAAGTATTTCACTAAGGCATAACTCACGGCCGCACAGAGAGACAGATGTCAGTTTTTAATGCTTAAATTAAAGTGATTTCATTGCTATTGTTAAAAAAAGGAACAGTAGCAACTTTAATCATACTTACTTATTAATTCTTTTACTGTTATTATTGTCTGCACTTTACACGACACACTATTTTAGTAAGTAACTTTTAGGTACCAAGCTTCTACCAAATCAATAAGTAGTTAAGGTTCTTACGGTAATAATTATAATGCAGTTATCATCTCATTAGATCAGTTCAAGCCGTCATTAGTCATTAAAATCCGGATCGGTGGTTATTCAAACGAACGGATACAAGTTCGGTTAGTTATGCAAGTGTTATGTCGTTTCCTTTATTTGTTAAAAGTGAACGGTAATTGGGCGGGTTAAGGACACCCGCTACAGTATGGACATAAACATACAAGATAGGTATTCAGTTAATCGTGGGGCTTATGAATATTTCTAAACCTAAAGCGATATCAATTCGAAAAAAATATTTGTTAAGCTAATCAATTAATTTAATATGCCCAACCGCGTTTCCTGTGCTCCAGAGGCAATTTAAAACTTAAGTATTTTAAACTATACAATTACATTATAATATACTAACTACTTAGTAGCTTAATATGTTAATCATATAAAATTTTAATTACTTGAGTACTTACATAATTATGCAAAAATCTTACACTCCTCTGTGTGCAAAAGTAGTAACATTATAAAAACGAGGGAGCCTTACAGTAGTCGCGTATGATGTGTAACATTTGAAACCTCACCTTGTATTAGTAAATAAGAAATAAAACCTACTGTAAAAGGAATAAGCCATTTGAACATTATGTTCTAAAATCAAATCTAATAGCGCGCGCTTTCGCGACTTCCTGTTACACACTTCCGTCCCATTTCACGAAATCACTCCCACAAATTGCAGGAAAGCGAAAGGAAAGATGTTACACATCAATAACACTAATACAGAGGCAACTTAAGACCGACGCACGATAAATGTACCTATGCGTATAATAAATAGGTAGCCACATGCACTCGCACCTAACTAGCTAGGCAGTCATATCCTGTTTTGGTTGTAGAACCAACGAGCAGACCGTTAGCGTAGACGCCAGTAGCACAAGCACCAGCACAAGCACAAGCACAAGCACAAGCACCAGCACCACTACTTCAACCACCACTACCACTACAACTCCGAGTCCGACTACCAGTTCGACGACTACGACCACGACCACGACAACGACCACGCCGCGCCCGACTACGACTACGACGCAGCCTTCGCTACCCTTCCTCCAGCTGTTGCCAATCCAGAATCCGCTGGCAGCCACCGCCAAGAAGTCTGGCAAGACAAGTATGTTCCATTTTATTTAAAATACAATACAGATTATCGGGTTTCATCAGTGCTTTGCATTAGTAATTTAATTACTTAATATGGTTTAGTTGTTTTAGTATTATTAGTCTCTCATTCCAGCTTCGTCGTCCTTCCTTAAAGGATGATTTATGAGATAAAAACGAAACAAATATGTCAAAATTTTTTATGGAAACTTAGAACTTTACCTCAATAATGGAGGAACTTTTGAACATTTTTTAGTATACCAAGTACCTAAACACTTACCTACATTTCTCAAATAAAATTCTGATTCTGATTTAATTGTTCAACCTAATTAGTAAAGTTCAAAGTTTATACATTCGATTGAAGAATTTTCAATTTCGTGTTGAACTGACGGACGTCCGTATCCATAACAAGTGGTAAATACTAAGTACAAGAAACCTGTAATTTGTGTTCTCATCTCTTATCATAATAACTTCTTTTTAGACTTATTTCTTAATTAGTGGGTGTCCGCAACTTCGTCTGCTTCATTTAATATGGTTTTGCAAATTTCCAGACACACTTCCATGCCCTTAAATGATTATTTTTGGGACATAATTTATCCTATGTCCCTGGGTCACTGACGATATTTTGTAAACGAAAATCGATTTCGATCGAACGATAAATGCAAAGACCCAAGAATACATAAGGATTGTTTTCTCACATTGACCCGACCGGCATCGAACTTGTGATTGTGACCTCAAAACTTTTTACATTAAACGATATATAACAAATATGATGTAAGTACTCCAGTGATTAACACCCCCCCCCCCCCCCCCCCCCACGTGAATGTACTTAGAATTTTCATTAAACACAGTATTTTTTTCGAGAGGCCAGGTACTACATACATAATCTGTTCGAACAAAAAATATTCATTGCGTTGTGGTTGCAAGAATTAAGGTGTCGCTAAAACTGCATTTTTATAAGCGTTGAAGCCCTGCACGAGTGATTTTGAAAAGAAATGTGCATGATTATTTTATTCAATGGAAATCAATGGAAGAATTGGTTTCCCATTTCCCGACATCGACTTTGACCCCCTATTTCTCACATTTTAAATAATTTTTTGGCATGATACAATCCTATAACCGTCATCGGTTTCATCTTACGTATCAATAATATTTTAAACTCGAAATTAACTCTCTCTGTTAAGTTACGCTTAATGTTTTCTATCCTGAGTTTCTATCGTTATAAAATTAAGTGAAATTAAATAAAAAATATAAGTATCATACTTGCGTGTCTCGTAAATCCAATTCAAAATGGTATTATTCTTTTCGAGTACCTACCAATTCATACAGCTCTTTTTCTGTCTCAACATAAGTACCGAATTTATATTTAATCGAGCTATTTCTGTCTATGTTACCTCATTCTTATCAACGAACGACGAAGTTGCCACTCACTTATTAATAATAATACATGTTGCAAACGTAAAATGCAGTTCTTTAAACCTGGTATATTAAGTAATAGGTACACTACTTGCTATGTTGTAAGATAAGTAAGTAGGTGAGAATTAAAAGCAAGTAAGGTCAAATAATTGTATGATTGATATTGAACTAGGCACGTTGTTGTAGGCTCTGACATAATAGCTGACGTAACTTATTCACATACACGCAACTCTGCGACCGGGTACGAGTATAATACGGATTACTCGAGTGCAGACGCAGGCAAGGGGCAGAAGCTGGTTTGCCCGAAGGGACAGACACCACTGCTGCTGTTCCCCATCCCGTGCGAGAACAGCGCGCAGTGCCAGGCGAGCGTCGGGGCTGACCAAGTGTGCTGCAACAAGCTCTGCGTGAAGGGTGTGTCGCCGCCACGACCCAAGCCTTCACCGAAGAATCATCAACGTACGAATCTTAATTAATTGTGCCCATAGAATTAAACATATACATATATGCATAACTTTCAATTAACTAAGTTCGCAGAACAACAATAATATAAATACTGTGTGTGTTTGGCGAAGGGGCACCTACCAACAGTTGTCATTGATTCGGCCAAGTGGGTGGTGTTGTGCAGAATTCACATACTATGCTTCGTTGTGTTGACTTGACTCCTGGGAAAATTTCAACGGTTGTATTTGTGGAAATGAGCGTTAGTCCTATACTTTTGCTGAAGACTGGCACTGCACTGGCGTATTATTAAGTTTATCTTTCTCTCTTGGTTCAGCATGATTCAGTTTGGAACTAATTCATCTTTAAAGGCACTTGTGTCACTGACAGTTTATTGTAATCGGAGTCTTTAGCTTTCGTAGCATAACAATGTGCGGATCTATATTCAATAGTAATCATTTCCGAGACACCTTATCTTATCACTAAGATAAGAAAGGTAGGGCCTACCGGATTTCCCGCTCGAATTAGAGCGTCCTTAAAGTGAAGAAGCTTCCTCCCTCCTTACAGTCACGGTTAAATATATGTTTCTGACGATGAGTAAGGTTCCAGGGCTGCAGTGGTTGGGCATGAGGTTTCGGTAGGCAACGAGCGATTGATACTGTATAGTATCTCATAAGCTATGCCGGCTGCTTACCATCAGGCGGGCCATATGCATTTTTGTAAGGTATCCTTTTCTAACGTATTGTTTTTCTCTTTCATTGATAAGAAATATCTATCTATCATTGATAACATGTAATTTACTATTTCCTCAGCTCTCCTAGGGGTGATACCTCGCGAATGCCCAGCCGCTCCTTTAGGAGAGCTGCTATTCGAAGTGCAGTCGTGCAAGAGCGACGCGGACTGCTGGCCGCGAGTGTGCTGCCCGGACGGCACCCGCTCCTACTGCCGCACGGCGCGCGCGCGACTCGACCTTGTGCCTGGCGCCAGCCAAATCAATGGACGTTAGTACCTAATTTGTTCTTGATACTTTATCCCTTGAGTAATTCAACATACATTGTTTTTTAGTTTAAAGGGGCTTAATCGTGGAAGTTAAGCATCTCTCGCAGATTTTTTCTCGTGCTCCTCCATGGCTTTTCTTCGGAAGGCACGTTAAGCAGTTGATGCCGGCTGCACCCAGTCGCTAGCACCCTCCAATCCACACTGCGCTCGCTTGGTGGTCAGTCTCCCAATTCCACATCACTTGTAGATTTAAAGCTGGCGCTGTAACTTTCTTTTCGATAGCAACAGAAAAGAACACGTAATTTTGGTAGCCATTTAAACTTGACTGCAGACATTAAACTCGGAATTTGCCCCTAATAGTTAAGTAATTTATCATTTTGTGAAACTGACTAATGCTACGGCCACACTGCCGTGCTATCGCGAACAATTTCCGTTTTCACAACAAGTCGAGCCAAGCAATAGTCACATATCAGAACACGGCCAGAAAGGTGACTATTGCTCGGCCCCGACTTGTCATGAAAAGGGAAAATGTTCGCGATAGCGCAAGTGTGGCCGTAGCGTTATAAGTATCATCGTGAAAATATCTGTAGACTTTAGTCAAATTTGTTTTTTGCAGCCGTAAGAATGTTGGAGCAGTATCTGCAATGCACTGCGCCTCCCAAGCACGACCTGTTCCCGCAGCGCTGCAGCTCGAGCGTGGACTGCTTCCCGAACCTGTGCTGCGCAGAAGGCGGCAAGAAGCATTGTCGCCCACCGCAGCGAAGTCTGCTCGCACTCCTAGCTGGTGTAACTCAGGTACCCGCACACTTTTAAAGGTTCTTCTGTCAGTTATTTTTTATATTTTGCTCAATAACTTAGAATTTTTTAGCTTAACCTAGATTCTAAGTATTTAAAAAATAATATATTTACCTACATATTCTTGACGCCACAAAGTAATTAATGCCATCGTCTTTTCTTACAGCGAGTTGGATCTACTCTGGGAAGTTTACGCTTTGGAGCAGCTAATAATAATAAAGTATAATAAGTAACTAATTCATGGCCGGATTTAAGGCAGGGCAGGCGGGGCTGCGGCCCAAAGAAAAAAAATAACACTCAAACCCAGGGCCGGACCGTGAGTTTAGGGTGGCCTGGGATAAAAGTACTTAGGGCACCTAATTACTCAAAGTATAAAAAAAATGAGACAGTAAAGTATTTAATTTAAATTATATTATACAATCATTAATAAATGGACAAATTACAAAGAAACCTTTCTACAAAGTGCAAAAATGGCAAATTCTTTAATTTGCTCCTCCCATTATAGGGGTAATATAAATGGAGTTATATTCAACAATGCATTTTTAGGGCCCCTTGAATCCACTGGGCCCTGGGCTGAAGACCAAAAAGCCATATAGTAAATCCGGCCCTGCTCAAACCCGGCCCTGAACTAATTTAACGATGAGTTTTAAGGTGAAATGCAATTTTTTTTTAATTGAATTTAACATCTTAGTAGAATTTAAAGAGTAAGCTCTTTAAATTCTACTAAGATCCCCTACTTTGTAACGGGTGTATGTACATCAGACCAGTTGCGCAACCATCTCCTACCGGCACGTTAACTTTATTGACCGACATTATTGTTCTTGAGTAAAATCTTTCCGGGTGAGGGCGGCTACGTAAAACAAATAGGTATACCTACCTACTCTTCCTAAAAATAGTCTTTTCTTGGATCTTTAAATTCAGAGCAGTCATCTGCTCTGAATTTGCTAGCTGACGTCAGCTCAGCACTGCCACCAATCTACTCTAATGCATTCATTCATTCAGTCAGTACCCAGTACAAAATAAATAAACATTTTATTGGAGCTAAGCGGTGGCGCTGCTGGGCCTGGTGCCGTGATGGTAAGGTAATAGGTTCCCTATCAACATAATTGCCAAAAGTGAGAACGACATTTTTCTAATCTAGGTAAAGGATGAGCCATGCATATTTATCCAGTGCTGTGCATCATACACGCAGAGTAATCCTGCATGTGGTCATCTTCGACTGATATAATTCGTGATGGTGTTTTTTGGAATAGGTATTTTATTTTTTATCAAATAATGAAAAGTATGTATTACTATGGGCTATACCTATGTAAAGGGCAGATTTGCAACTCTCGGATTTAACTTATCTGCTAAATAAATTATTGTTATTAACCAATGAAAATACCTACATTAAAGCTTAACAATGGTTTGTTAATACTTTCGAAGTGAGAAATAATATCGCTTCATCATATTATTATTACAACACGTACAAGATGTCGTCAACATGCAAAATTAATATACATATTAAATTAAATAAACTCTTAGTTTAGTTCGTAATAAAATATCAGACGAATACATTTTATCCCAGCGTTAGAAATCAGCCCTTAGAATGATAAATTTATAACTAGGTACGGTGCGACCATGGAATAATTATTAATCGCAGATTGCAAATATAAGGTGATCGTATTTATGCCCGCACCGAATTTATTAGTATTATGCCGCCTCATTAATTCGTTGTATGCAATCAAGAAACCTTAAACCACAAAAATAAATTAAGATTAATTTCTGTGCCTCGCACCCTTCCATCAGCACCGTACGAGCCACATTTCGTAGTCTTTAGGGAAATGCGGCGCGTACGCTGCGGCCATTATTGCGACCACCTTTTTCAACCAGTTCCACCACGAGTCCAACGATGTGAGGTCATGTTGTTATCTATATGAGATTTAATTTTTCTTTTACTTTGAAGGGGAATCCAGAGAAACCGATAGAGATAATGTCACACGGTTAGACAAGAAGATTTCGTCAGATATTCTGAGGTGTATTATATACTTTTTATTAGTGACTACATGAATTGTTGATTTTGAATGTTTTATACTTTTGTACAGTAAACTATTGACTTACAAAACTTTGTTGCATTTTATTTTTGTCGTCTTCTACACCTTATTCTGTCAACTAGTTACTTCTCTTTCTCATGTCCAATATTGGTGGTAAGTATATAACTTAGTCAATTTCGAAAAAAGCAATTCTGTTAAATTGTTTTGAAAATTTATCTGGTTGTTATTTACAGTAAAGCTCCTTATTCGCGGGGGATATGTTTCAGAAATATGCCGCGAATACAGAATGGTAATTTATGGGATACGGCTAAAAAACTATTTTTAATAATTAATCAATTTAAGTTTTTAACAATATTGATTAATTATTATAATAAATAAATATTTCCAACACACACCAATTAGCCTAGCCCCAAAGTAAGCACGATAAGGCTTGTGTTATGGGCCTTATGGGATACTAGGGTAACTGATAGATTACATATTCGTATATTCATATAGAAATACATATTAAACATCCATGACTGGAGTACAAATGCTCGTATTCATCACACAAACATCTGCAAACGGCATATTTAGTTGCTAATTAGTTGCTGTTGTTTTTAGTGGTATTGAGCAACTAAATCGGGAATAGTGTAACTAATTAGCAACTAAATACCCAGTAGGTTAAATGTGCGCGTTGCGACCGTGGTCTGCTAGCTTAACATACATCGACTGCTGCGAAGTTTCAGTTATAAGATCTATTTCTCTTTTATAATTACTCCATCTGCCGATGCATTAAAAGAAGGGTATGGAATGGAATACTTTTTTTTAAGATTAGATCTGCGAATAAAGTATACAGGAATTCGGTCGCAATTTTTTAATCTGTGAATTTTGAAAATGCAAATAAAGAAAGTGTGAATAAGGAGCTTTTACTAGGTATAGGTATTAGGTGTCAAGTGGTCCCCCAAGGTCCACAGTGGAAAACATAGGTTTTGTATATATAAAGATTTAGCAGGATATTTATAAAAAAAATTGCCAGAAGCACCGAATGTGGGCTCTCAGACAAAACACAATTGCCTTTTTAAATACCGAGTAACTGGTTACTTTGACCTATAATGTGCACTTTTTTTTTTTCAAATAAAATTGTAGCTTCTCTTTGTGATGAATATGTTACGTTTATATCTTTCCATTGTGAACTTTAAAGTATAAGTTACAAAGTTATCATGTGAAAATAGGAAAAAATAATATTTAAGGGTTAATATATATTTTTTTTAATTTTGGGCCAAAGTTGGCCTTAACGAGGGTTACTTTAGCTTGTTGAGTTTTCTCTGTGAAGAAAACTCACTTTAAGCCATGTTGGGGTTAAGTAACCCTTGTAACAGATCACCATTAGCATACTGAGTACACAAATGGATGTTTTTGCCCTTTATAATTATATAATTTAGAAACAATAGTAAACTTACCGCAAACCACAATTTTGAGAAAGTTTGCGCATGAACTTGCGAGCTATTTCAGTTACAAAAAATCCCACGTTACAATGACAACTTGATACAGGAACAATGTCGGTAAAATAACACCACACCACGCGCCTATATGGCTATCTGTGATTTTCAACTGGAACTATTACGGTCACCCAAGAGATACTGATGAGGTGGCAAGTTCAATATTTTTCCTGATTTGGGACAAAGTTACCCGCCCGAGCTAAAGTAACCCTCACTTACGGTATTAGAATAGATTTTGAATAAGAACACTTCAGATTATTTTAAATATTTATTTGTCTTACTCCCTCAGTCCAGCTGAAATAGAAAAAAAGGAGATATTAATTTGCAGTAAAGATTATTTAAACTTTTGAATATTAAGATTTATCATGATAATTTTATAAAAAATTATTTCACATCTGTGATTTTTAAAAGAGGTTGAGCATTTCAGTTGTTGTACCTTACTTAAGTACTTAATTACACATGGTTCCAGTAAGTCAGCCTAATACCAGGTCCATAGATAATTTTACTTCCATGTGGTTACATAATATTACACATTGGTGTCGATTCTGACATGATTCTCTAAACTTAAAACTAAATTTAACATCAGTCTCTCCTTTTCATTTTGTATGGAGAATGACAAGGATACACTGTTATCAAATTTACGTTTAGGTTTAGAGAATCATGCCAGAATCGAAAATCGGCTTTAATTGATAGTTAATAACAAAATAAGAAACAAATAAAAAATAAGTACACCATCTCCTGGTTAAATTAAAATTCTATCCTTACACACCATGTATTGTTACAAATTAATTCCATCTGTATACTGGTTATAATTTAAGAACATAGTTCAGGAAACAGCAATGTGTCAGTCTTGACAAAAGAATGGCCAAACTGAACTTGGCCCAGCAGTTGACAATGGTGTTGATATGGTGTGATTCTCTAAACTTATTACTAAATTTAACATCAGTCTTTCGTTTTTATTCTATATGAAAAATGACAAGGATACACTGTAGTCAAATTTTAGTTTAGGTTTACAGAATCATTAGAAATCAACACCGTTGACACACTAATTTAGGTTAGCAATAACTTTACTATGAAATTTAAGAAAAAGAACACAGCAAAATAACTCTATTGTCAAGAAATACATTAGGGAATCAAAATTATCTATGGACTCTTTTAGTTTATTCACTCACTGTGACCATGAGAATTTGGGAAACCAGCAGTAGCAGTAACAATTTTTTGTTGCAAGTAGGTTATATAGGTAGGCTACATAAAACTGTTCCTTTATGGCTAGTTCAGAAAAAAAGTAAACCAAAGAACATTTTGCTAATATAAAAAAATAATAATGAAATATACAATTTTAACACTAGAAAAAAGAGGGCTATACTGTACTTCCAGGGCCCAAGTGGTGATACTTCACACTAGGTTAGGTTATTGTTGTGACCATAACGAGCATGGTCAAAAAAGTATGGAATAGTACTTGGATTACTTTCATTTACTTTACACAGAAGGGACCCAAAATGTTACTTAGCTGTTTTTTCAAAAATGCTACTTAATTATTTCTGTTTTAAACAAGCCATATTTTGAAAGATACTATTTAGAATATTTCTATTAAAATTGATCACAAACTTATTTACTTAATGGCAAACCATATTTAAATAGGTACCTATACATTTTTTTTATTTAAGAGACCTTTGATGGGACACTCATGACAGTGTTGAAAACTGCAAATTCCACAATGAATGTTAGTTCAATTGGCGGATGCCCCTCATAAGAAAAATCCTTAGCTACGCCAATGCTTAGAGAGAAGTTAGAGAAGCTAATAGGTATACAAAATACTCCGCTTCGATTCGATTCGAAACGAATTTTTCAGGGATATGACTTTTTATTTTTTTACCTTTTTGAATCCGATGTCGTTAGCGTACTCCCTAAAACACTGCCTGCAAATATTAAGACCATATTTGCGGATGAGTCCATGTCTATTTGAGCAGGCTCGGCTAAAATAAAAAAAAAGTACGAAGGGGTTAGGACCATGTTCAACACGTGTTCAATGTACTGCTGCAGTAAACTGGTAAATCTCTTATTATCGATTTAATATCATTTACTTACCACGATCTGGAACCTTGTCCATATCTACGAGGGTGAGAATACCAAATATTAGCGTGACCCATGATGAAATCTTTTATTTTTTGCTTCTGAAAGCCGATCAACACTGCCAATATGGCGTCTTGACAAATTAGAAAGAAAGAAACAGTGTGACCAGAATAAATTTTACGAAAATACCGAAGCACCTTAATAAAATACTGAAATAGAATACTGATTTTCACAGAGAAAATATACCATTAAAAATACTTCTTTTCAAGACAGATTTTATTCATTCATCAACCCTTTTCATAAATCCCAATCATAAATCTGTTTCTTTGTACCTACTTTTTTTTATTTTTATTTATGAAAATATGGGCTCACGTGCAACATTCGATACTGGTATACATTTTAAAAGAGATTTACTGAAACTGGTCATATTTTTCTATTTAACTATATTATTTACTATACATATATTAAAATAAGAAAGTTTACATGTTTTTTGTTTGTTACTCAATCACACAAAAACAACTGAATGAATTTTGGATGAACTATGCTATGCATATAGATATGGACCTGAATTGTGACATAGGATACCTTCCGGAAAATGTAAATTACCTGTCGGATTTTCAAAAGAAAAGTTAACTATGTGTAATGTACTTATCTAGTATAAATATAATATTATTTATTTATAACAAAGAAGCACACGCGCTCTATTATAGGACGATTTCAATACGTAAAGTTTTAGGGAAATTCCTGAATTCCTTAAAAGATTAAGCCAACAGAATTGCAGAAGAGAAAATCATTTCACTTAAATCGTCTTAGCTCATAAATGATTTGCTTGTCATGTCCTAGCTGTAACTTGCTGACCACTGATCCTAAATGAATTAAAGACTTCATCCGGAAAATCAACAGAACATTAATGCTCGCGGGACATCGCTACGGTGTTGCCATAACTTTTTATATAAAATATACCCGAAAATACTAACCTCCGCCAATATACGTACAAAATACTGACGCTCCAAAAAGGCGATAAAATATACCAAAAAAGTATTAAAATACAGATTTTGGTCACACTGAAAAAAAAGACATGATACAGAATGATTTCTTAAATTCTCCTGTAGCTTTTAGAAGGCAAATGATATATAAATCACACGGACTTACTGTTGCCATCTTTACTGTTGTCATAAAGGCTCTCCCATGAGGGACCTTTCATTCTATCGGAGAGTGACAAGGAAAAACTGGTAGCTTTCCAATTACAGCATTATAGCGCATTATGCGGCATAATGCTACGTTGAGTGTTTCAACTACAGCAACGCTTCGCACAATCGAGCACTCTCAAAAGTAATGCTTTGGTGTGATGCGTGCAATCGTACCAACTCAGAGACAGAAAATTAACAAGTGTTTTTTCTTTAAGTTGGCATTGATCAAAATGTTTTATTTATATGTTATCGTTAGTAGTGTTGGGTAGGACACGACTTGAAAAAGAGTTTGTAAGAGTAGCCTCTTTTTTGTACTGAGCCAGTACAATGTCCCACTTCAAATGAGGCGAGGCGTACTGAAGCTCGGCAATACATTTGAAGTGACGAGTACAAATATGACATTGAGGCGTACAGAAGCTCGACATTACGTTTGTGTGCACGAGTAGCACCTCCTCTACGCACTATCAATATTGCTGGATCCAGCATGCAGGACAGCGCTATACACGTAAAACAGATAGAGATACAGATGGATAGTGCGTAGAGGACTTAAATGAAATGTCATGCTTCGCTCTCTCTCTCAGACTTACGAAGAGTGAGTGAGTAACGAGACGCGACTATCGCGACATTTAATGTGAAGTAGTACATTTTAAAATTTTGAGCCGCTCTTACAATTTGGCGTCGTGTCCGGGACAAATGTACCGCCTCTTGTAAGTCCTACTCAACACTAATCGTTAGGAATATTATTTACTGTTGAAAAATTATTAAAACTTTCGTTTCATTGTTGTTTTTTTTAAATAATCAATGTTAATTCAAACTGTGTTAAAAAAATAAATATAATTATGGATGAAGATACAAACATTGACTTCTTTTTTCAACACTGAACTTAGCGCACTCTGCTGGTGCATTTGAAAACTAATTCACGTTCCAATTAAGCATCAGCATAATTCGGCATTGTGCGCCACTGAGTCGCATTATGCTCTGTAATTGGAAAACCACCACTGTTATTAAGTTCGCACATAAGGTATACGAATGGCCATGTGAAGTGCCGGCATTAACTTGACATTTAATAAAACTTCCTTCGCTTCTACCCTATATACAATATTAGTCTATGTTCGCTTCATTGCTCCCTTCGCTTTCTTCATACGTAGTATCGCTAACTAGTCTGTGCTTCCTTCTTACAGCTGGCTTTGCTGCTCTGCCTGCTTCCTTTTACGATACTTAAGCGGTGAAAGATATAGTGTGTGTTAACATATTAAATTCTTTTTCATAATTTATCGATATGGCCACAGTTTTGTTGGTGATTTAGATATCCTAAACCTCTAATTTACAGTTTTCACAAGTTGTCTCTTGACAAATGCTAGCTCAGATGCTTGTATTGCAACTAAAAATGTTGTTTTTAAGCTGTCGTGGCCGATATAACTTTTGTGCTCTGTATAATCAGAAGTCTATTAACTTGCTAGGAATAAAATAAACTATTAAAATTCTCTTGGTTGACCAATATAACCTCTAACCCAAGTTCAAAAGTCCAATTTCTTCAATGACAAAGAATTACATCAATATGAATATTATTAGCTACATTGTTTAAATTATCAAACTATTATTTTGTTTTCAGATATCAATTTAAAATGGGGTTTATATTTGGACTCCTAAAGAAGTTACTTAAGCTTGGTGTTTATTTCCTAATTTTTGCTACTCTCATAGTCGTAATACCAAATCTCCCACCGTATACATCATTCACAAAAATCACGTAAGAGTTTAATCTTTTAGAAATACTGGTAGCATACTATTTGTAGCAGTCACATAATAAAAGCTGGTCTGAATATAGCCTGTAACCTGGGATGTTGTAATTTTTTGTTTTATGTCAAACAGTATGAAATATATCATAATTTTTCATCTATTCAGTTTAGAGCCAGGGCAGCCACGCACAGGACCGTTAGCCCCTAACGGAGCACTTGATAATGCAGAAAAATTATATATTGACAAAGTATTAGGTCCAGAAGCATATCAGATGTATAAAGGAGAAATTTACACCAGTCTTGCTACTGGTGAAATAGTAAAATTGACACCAGGAGGACATGTTACATTTGTCACTAAAATTGGACAACCATGTAGTAAGTACTAGGAAATATTTTCTTTCTTTTAAATTCCACAAGATCAAGATTTAGTCTGTAACAAAAACAAATGTTCCTCATGTTAATGTTCAAAATATCATATCACATATCCCACCAGCCAAATTAAAAGAAAAAAAATGTTTATCTCAATTCCAAGCCAGCTTTTATAATTTTTTTATTGTTTTACTTATGGTTTATTCTATCCTTTTTTAGCTGGTATCAAACAAGAACATATTTGTGGACGACCCCTGGGTTTTGTGTTTGATGAGAAAAAAGATCAGATGTATGTGGCAGATGCATATCATGGGATTTGGAAAATTGACCTAAAAACAGACAAGAAACAACTTCTTGTATCACCTAATGTAGAAATTAAAGGACGCACTCCTAGACTATTTAATTTTGTTGCATTAGATAGTCTTGGCAATTTATACTGGACAGATTCTACTAGTGATTTTCAGTTGAAGGATGGAGCAATGTCAATGTTTTCTGATCCTAGTGGACGGTATGTACTTTTATAATATACTAGTGGCCTGCCCTCGCTTCGGTTCGGTGCAGATCTGTAGTGTAGACTAAAATGCCTCTACATATAATTATAAAAAAACTGAAAATGGTATATTTGCCTTTTTCAAACTTCTATTGACATCACGTCACTCAATTGTTTTGCCTTCCCAGAACCTAGAATGTAGTAAAAAACCATTTGTTTTACTCCATTTAAGAAAATTGCAAACTATCAGCAGATTCACTAAACAATAAATTGTTTGCCCACCTATAGACGTATGCCTTATTAAGACAACAATAAGTTGGTAAAAATTAAGGAGCCCCCCAGGGATTGAGGTTTTATTATTCACTTGAATTATCTTTACCTCATACAGACTGCAGTAACAACTACTCAATAAAATAATTTTTATTTTATTTTTAAGAGTATTCCAATATAATGCAGCTACCAACTCAAGTATAATTCTAATGGATAACCTTTGGTTTCCTAATGGAGTAGCAGTGTCTCCAGACAATACATTTTTGGTGGTAGCGGAAACATTTGCGAAAAGACTTCACAAATATTATATTAATGGCCCGAAAAAAGGAAAATCTGAAGTGTTTGTTTCTGGATTGCCAGGTAAAATTACTATTATAAAAAATAAAACAATTTAAATTTAATTTAATTTAATGGTGACTGTTATTATGTTAAAGATTAGTTTAACACTCATTTTTATTTTTAGTCCATTATATAGCGCTGCAGCAGCCCTGTTGTTGCTTTAGTATTCAAGCTGAGACAGGGACCTAGTTGGCCTATTTTTGTCTTGTTTTATTTATGTAATGACTGTGTTTAAGGCTAATAAATTTATTTCTATTCTATTCTATTCTATATAAAAACTGAATTTTGAATTACCTGAAAAGCTAAAAAATTGTGTAAATAAAATATGTAATAAGAACAGTTAACATACTACACCTTCATCAAAAATATTGATTACATCATTTACTCCTTTGATTTTTGCCCAATTGTGTACTTAGGTACATTATATGACAAATAAAAACTTAAAATATATTTTTTAAATTTAGTAATATTACCTCAATCATTGTTAAAATTAACTATTAAAGTTTCTCAGGTAACCCAAACTTCATAGTGTATATAGTTTGTTCATCTCGAAACAAGAAAATCAGGAAAAATGTTTGAAATATCCATTATTTATCAGTATAAAAACATTTGCATAAAGTTTAAACCAGTACCAAAGTTGTATGGTACAATCCTAAAATTTCAACAAGTACTTAACATTAATATGATGTATCTTATTTGGTCTAGTCTATGCTAATCGAAACATAATGCACTCATAGTAATACTATGATAGCAGAGAACTTCTGAAAAGGACAAACAATATAGGTGAGGTCCAAACTACAAATGGTGAGACAGGGACTGTACCCCAGCAGTGGGTACAATAAAAAACTGTTGATGATAATAACATAGGTTAAGGAAGGACACAAAATAAAAGTATTTTAAGTGCTTTATTTTCTTTTTACTTTTCAATAATTTGCCTTCTTATTTATAATTATTCAATGCATAACTAGGTTTATTAAATAACTGTTTGATCATGTATACCTGCAACATTCCAACTATCAGCATAAAACTGATTTGAAATCCTGACCAAACATCCACTATAAAAGTGTCTTCAAAAGCCATATAACTATCACGAGCCTTCATAGCCCCATGCATGTCTAAAAGCTTGCGTGCTTTTAAAACATGTTGCAAGGTAATTGTAAGTGAATCTGCTATTTTTGCAACTTCTATGTAGTATTTTGTGCCATTTTTGTCAACTCCGGCCCACTCAAGTATCTCTTCTTCTTTCACTTCTGCTGCTGGTTCTACAACACTTGCACCAGTTTCATGTTTATCTTCATTTTCTTTGTCTTCAATCACCACAGAAACATAAACTAATTTTGAATTCATCATGCTGTAAGAGTTATCCAAGCAGTAAACATAGTCGCCGTCCAATATCAGTTCCATGATTACTGAATTTTGAGGTTTTTTGTAATCTGATATAATTTTATCTTCTTTCGGATCTGTTAATTCGAAAATTATATCCAGATCACCGTGTTGGCCATCCAAGACTTGATAATATATTTCCAGCGTTTGGTTGGCTTTTGCCTTTTCAAAGAAACATGCTCTTGAACCAGCTTCTACTCTGTAATTGAAATTGCTTTCGTGCAGAATCTTTGCAGTATATTGCGAAAAAAATCCACTCGATATTATTAAAAATAAAAAGAGCATATTGTAGGTTGGTCACGTATACCCGGCAAGAAAATTCAGTGACTATAACTACTTAAAGTTTAACGTAGTGTGTGACGTAACTATTTGTTCAGGTGATTTTTTCTTTGTGTACTTACTGGCTAAGAGTACAATTGATAAACACAGGTACTCCAGACAACGTGCGTGCGCTGCCTGACGGCTCAGGCGTGTTGGTGGGACTCCCGATCGTTAACGATGAGAACAGTCCCGACCTCATCCACTCCTTGGCTGGAGCCCCTTACGCTAGAAAGTTCATTGCACGGATTCAACGGCTTGTCGAAATTCCGTTTGAATTCCTCAACCAGTATTATCCGCATTACGTCTTTGAGGATATTGTGTATAAAGTAAGTAAAATAATTCCTCGTTTAGTTATCTTGAAATTATAGTAAAATGAGATACCTATAAACCTTCATGGTCACTTATATTATAGTACTGAAGTAAAATAATTTTACTATTGTATTATTTTAGTGTTTAATGAAAATGTCTGTATAGCATGACTTTATTCCAATTTTTAAAATTAGTGTTAACAAAAAATGGTAATTATTTTTGTTTGCAGATTGGTCATTTTAACAGTTTGTCGGATCTAGTCTCGCACCCATCTGGTTTATTGCAAATCGATTGGAATGGAAATATTGTAGCTTCATATTTCAACAGCGACGGTAGTATAGAATTTGTAAGTGATGGCATTGTCGTTGGTGATAAGCTTTATCTGGGAAGACCTCATAGTCAAAATTTCATTGGAGCCGTACCAGCTCCTCCACTGTTGAAAAAAGCCTTCTCTGGGAAATCCGCTTCTTCAGCAAAAGTCGAAGCTAGTAAACCGACACCACAACCTCCAAAACCAACACATCCGCCTACAACACCGCCGCTCCCCAAGACAACTACAACACCCCCCAAGACAACTACAACACCCCCCAAGACAACTACATCACCCCCCAAGACAACTACATCACCCCCCAAGACAACTACATCACCCCCCAAGACAACTACAACACCCCCCAAGACAACTACACCACCTCCCAAGACAACTGCACCACCTCCCAAGACAACTGCACCACCTCCCAAGACAACTACACCACCCGCTCAACAAACAAAACCCACTGCAGAACCACCCAAGTCACAGGAAAGAAAGGATGTCCCTAAGCAGACGCAAGAACTTCCGAAAGTACAGCCGGCGCCAGCACAAAAAACAAAATCTGCCGATACAGCTAAAACTGCCCCGAAACCAAATGAAAATCAGGCGCCGAAACCCATACCAACACTGAAATCTGGAAGTGACGCCTCAGCTCAAAAAGCTACGAAGGAAAAAGTTAAACAATCCCAACAAAACATTCCAAAGTCTGATGAAAAGTCACCACCACAACAAATTCCCATTAAAGAAGACATACCTTCGGACACGATCAAACCAAATAAGGAAACATTGAGAGTCATTAAGAGGGAGGGACCGACTGAAATTCCAAACCCTAATTTATAAGAAGCCCGTAAGAAATGGTTGTGTGGTAGAGAGACATTAAAGTCAACAATATCATAACAATAAAATTTGAAGGTTGTTTAGACAGGTATTAATTATTATAATGTTTTACAAGTAAGGAATTTTATGTTTTTTAACGATTCCTAGTACTTGCAAAAGTACATTTTTAAACTCCTGATTAGCTAAGTACTTGACAAAGTACCTTTAAGAATTTACAAATTTAATTTTTAAATTACAACAAGTTGATTCTTATTGAATCGAACAAACTGAATTATTATGTAATGTGTCTAAATTATTAAAATCACATGTCATTTAGTATAATCATGGAAGAAAGATCATGACATTAATTTTACTAGTGATTTTTTTATATTTTACATGATAGTGAATCACTGTTTAGTGATCTTGTTATTAGTTTTAGCTGGTAACAATTGTTATATAACAGTCTTTATTGGTATTATTGTGATTGTAGTAATCAAAACATTCCTTGTTTTGTGATTTTGGCCGGAAGTAGATAGCGGCTACTAAATTATTTTAAATTTTAGATGGTGACAATGGAAACTTTTTACTCACTACAATTAGTGTAATTAAATTGGATATTGTTCAAAATACATTCCATGATAAAAAAATACAGACTAATGAGGAAGCAAAAGCAGTTACGTAGTAACATAATAGTGTAACTTATTTAAAAGAATTTAGTATTTATTTAACTAATATTGTGATCTCTACAATGTTCTTATCACGTAAAACTGCTATAGTAACAGTTACCTATTAGAGTGCAATGTCTAGACAATTACTATTTACATTTAGAAATCCATGTCTTAATGTTTGTGGTCCACGATTACTTCAATTAATTTTATTATAATTTGCTCTGTCGTTTATATTCGTAGCATAACCACATGTGGGTAGGTGTCTTAGATTAAATCAAAAAGGGAAGACACGGTACTCTCTTACTAACGTCAAATAAAAAATGTTCCGACAACTCCAATAACAACTCTCTCTCTCACACACACACACACATACCTATAAATAAACATTCAATCGAGCGAGCAAGACAGAACGATACGCTTCAATGCAGCACGAGCGAATCGGCGAGTTCGCGTCACTTGTCAACCGGGTGCAGATTCTCTTTGAACAAGAGAAGGGCGCGGCTCAAGTTGTATTGTTGTCCTTTTCTGGCTAACAAATATAAGCGAAAATAGCATTCACAACAAACGTGATTTTTGAGAAAATACGTTTTTAATATATTACAAATGATAAGTGATACCGTGGCATTTGTTATTTGTTCTTGAACTATTTGTGCAATTTTTAAAAGCATCGAAGACATTATTTTATCTTTGAAACACCTAATATCCGCAATATTGTTTTATGAGTACGCGCATACGGCGTGTTTATTTGCAATGCTATTCGTATTTGGTGTTTGTAAACATGATAACAGTCTGTCTTTTTTTTGTTTTATAATGAATCAAAAATACAGATTTATGTCAAGTTTGCAAATAGCAAACATTGAATTGCCGGCATCATATTGTGACTAAAGCGAATTGTATCCATGCACCTAAACTTAAGCGGAACACTTTTGAGACACGAGTGCCGTATCTTCCCTTTTTCATTCAATGTAAGGAGTATGTTTAGCAAGAAACCCAATATTTTATAACTTATTTGAAAATTTTGCTTGGTGGTGGAATATTAATTAATTGGGCCTTTTTTAAATTTACGAATTGTATAAGTTCCGTAAAATATAAATTGTTTTGATTTGTGTGAGGTAAAAATGTATACGCCCTCGTGCGTACGTACTTACGTCCTCTGGTAAAAATCTCAATAGACAGTATTTTGTGTTACGGAAAGTGTAAAATTTTATTCTTATTATTCTGTCGCTTGTTTAAATCTGTGCAATGATTAAAAGTAAATTTTAAAGTCATTTATGTTATGTTATAAAAGTTTTGATTTTGAAACTGAGCAATATATTTTATATACATATATATATATAAGCAATAAACACACTTTGTTAATTTTTCTTTTATTTTATATTAATACAATAATCTTACGACTAGTCTGGGTAGTCTCCGAGAGAGATTTAAAAATATTTGACGCTGATAGGCGACAGTATGTTCACCACCTCGTGTAATTTTGCTATTCGATACATAATTTAGTTGACCTAGGCTCGAAATACCACTATTTATAGTTGTTTGTTATAATTATAATAGTATATTGGTGCGCAAAAGCGGCGGTTTTGCCCAAGGGCGTCGCCAATGACTAGGGGGGAGCAATGAAATAGGTAAGGAAGTCAATTGATCGCACTTTGGCCGCTTTGCGGCTGCCCCCGTGTATAAAAAGGTGCATAAATAACTTTAATGTTATATTTTAATTTTACATTTATCTTGTTTGACAAAACTAAAAAAAATCGGAAAATTGTTTTATGCATTGCCTTCAAATGATTTCTCATAGCAGTCGTAGTTCTTCCTTTCCTTGAATATTCATTGTTACACAGCTTGCATTTAGCTCGTTCAGCATCTCAAACTGTGAACAAGTCCATAATATTTCACAAAAATTTGATTTACTCATGTTAATAAATCACTATTCAAACTCTAACTCAAAATTCACTTGTTTTGTTTACGAAAAGACCGGCGTGAACGGAATGACACTTCAAGTCAGATGGGTTCATATCAACTCAGCAATTCGAACGAGACTGCCACCATGCTATAGACAATTGGTGCCAATTTTGAACAAAAACTAAATATTCGCATTCGCGAATGTAGGTACCAGATATTCGCATACGTTATAGGCGTTTTGCAGACGACGGGGCGGGGCGGGCATTTTGTCCGCGAAGCAATAAAAACCGCGTCTGCCCGTTGATGTCTGTAGCTGCCCGCGCCGCGCACACAAAGCACACGACGGGCAGAGGCGGTCAGTTCAGGACGTTCGTTCTAGTTAATAGTCCATCACTAAAAAGCGCGTGGCGCGGACATGCCGCGCCGCCAGTGCCCGCCGATCACCTGCGGCACGGTCTTTTTGCCCTCTGTGTGCGTTTGTAATATAGGATTCACTTTGTGCTATCGTTCGCGGCGAAATTGACCCCCCGCCCCGACGTCTGCAAAGCGCCATAATGTTCAAAAAATGACATTCGTTACATCACTAAATCATACGTAGATTCATCGCACTCTTCTCCAAAAGAGGCTGGGTTCATATCGAACGCACTGCTAACTTTTAAAGCTCGTGCGTAATCAGGCAACTACCACGACAATATTAATTATGAAAAATGGCTGAGGACACAGTTAATGCCGAACTTACCGTCTAATTCTGTCGTGGTAGTCGACAACGCATCATATCACAATAAGCAATGGGACATCGCACTACTGCACCTCATCTGGACATCGTACAATACAGGCCAATCTCTTGTCCCGTCCGACGCTGTTAATCTCTATATCTTTTACTTTTATTCGTAAATATATTTATTTATAAAAATAAATACTTATATATCTTAAATCATCAAAGAAAACAATAGGGAAACAAACAACCTCGATTCACTAAAGTCTGAATTTTCTATCCCTTTATAATAAACAAAGAAGCTTGGGTCAGTTACGCAGTGTTTTGTTTGACAAAATACTCAGTTTATTATCATCATGGGGGGTATCAAATGTAGGCAGGGGTATCCGATAAAAGGAAGTAAACGCAGTTACAGTCTGTCAATAAAGTCAACTTTTCCCAATTACGTTTTTCCAGACAAAAAGCCCTAAGTGTGCTTTTATATAGTACACAAATTACACTGCAACTATAGGAGACAAGAAAAACGTGTAGTAATTACATTCATAAGTACAGTTTTTATTTAATAAATTAGTGATTACTTGTTATGACAGTTGCTGACACCGTTGACACGTGGAGGCTAAACAACGAGATGTAATCTGCTTTACTGGGCCAGTAATCTCTATATGCTTTAAGCATAAGTGTGCTCTATTGGCGGCTGTTGCTAAGGAGATTTGGGGCGGGGACTACTTGTGCCATTTTAAAAATGCAATAATGTTGGCGTATAACCTGTCAATATATTATACGCCAATGTTTTGTTATAAGGCGAATGTCTTCACCCCTCACTCTGGGTGTATTCCTAAATGTACATCAGTATACTGGCCAGTGGTAATGACGTCACGAATCCGACGCCATATTATACTGGTATGCTACCATATTTTTACCGGGAAAACGCATATGACGTATGACCGAGCGTAGGTACGTGAGATGCATTCTAATTTTGTTTCTTTTTTATTTAAAGAACAAAAATGGCATCCGATTAAAAAGAATTCCTTTAAATTGATGAGGTGAATAAAAATCTTCTTTATTTGCACTACTTTAATATTTCGTCGATTTATGACGTCAGGGCACTGGCCAGTATATTTCGGAACAATTCACCAGTATGGCGTCGATTCATGACGTCATTAGCACTGGCCAGTATACTGGTATATATTATGGAATACACCCTATTCACAAAGATGGAGATATATCATACACAAGATTAAGTTTAAATTTTATTTTAAAATGTTGTTGCAATGGGGCCTTTACAGTTATAGAAAAGACATAAACAAAATATCTACACACAATGGAATGTCGAAATTTCTACAACAAATTCGGGCTATTATAAATAACTTAAGGATACTTGGTAAAACAATGAAGTGAAAAAAAGGAGTTAAATTCCTAAAGTTGTCACATTATCAATATTTTGTGTTAATTCAATGGTGTTTAATAAATTATTTTCTATCTACATTAGCTTCTTTAGTTAACTACAATCATGGAATATAAAAAATGTGAGATATTCTTTAATTTAAAGCTCTACCTAAATTAAACTCACGGGGCAGCATATTCCATTTTCAACGATCACAGTGGAATAACCCAAATTCACAAACAGAATGTCTGTCTTCACTTAATTAACTAATATTATAACATTTAAATTGTTTAATTTTGCTGGGAATTAGCTCGGTTATAAAACGAGAAAACAGATATTTCTCGTTTTCTGACAGTTCGAGTCTTCATAAACTAATTTAAATAAAAAGGCGGAGGCTAAATGAACACTTGTTCCGCAGCTAAGGCATCTGCAAATGGTTTGACCACGCACCGCGTCGCGAAATAAAATATTAAACCGAACGTTATGGATATTGGGAGCGCGGGCAATGCCTTCTTGAGTATCGCTAGCAACAGCAACGTCAGGCAGAGACCCTGCGGAAAAACATAAATAATAAAATTATTATTTCCAACAAACACTAATCAACCTAGTCCCAAAGTAAGCACTGTAGGCTTATGTTATGGGATACTAGGGTAACGGATAGAATACATATACTGATACATATATAAGGATATGAATATAGAAATATATGTATATTAAACATCCATGACTGGAGTACAAATGCTCGTATTCATCACATAAACATCTGCCCCCACCGGGATTCGAACCCTCTTGAGTTGGCGACACCTTGAAACCCGGCGTATAAACCGATCGGCCACGGAGGTCGTCAAAAAATAATTGTATTATATATTTTTATACTTAAATCAATAAATTCCCGCATATGAAGACAGAAACACATGCTATGTATTAGGAAATATAGCTAGTAGATACTTACAATAAGAATAGCCACAAAACAAGCGAGGGTCGTATTCCAGTCACCGTAGGAACTAGCTTTGCCCACTAGCACACTATAAAATATGAAGTCACCCAAGCCGAGTTTCACACCCTCTGAAATTAAACAAAGTAAGATTATGTTAATCTCAGAATAATGAAAAGAGTGAGTAATGTTGTTTGTAATATATACATCGCTAGTATTAGGTGGGTTTTTTATGGTTATGGTTTGTACTTAATGTTATTGTTTTCCGTGGTGTACCATAAACTTTTTGGATTGTATTGTTAGTGGAGAAGCTCGATGATACAGTGGTTAACAAGTTCGGTCTGCAATCGTGGAAGCTAAGCAACGTTCGCAAAGGCCGATCAAAGATCATGATCATGGGTGACAAATATATTATCGAGCTCCTCCATGCTTCGGACGGCATATTACACCATTGGTCTTGTTAATTCAGTTTTTTACGTTTTTATCAGGCAGGCCAACATCTGTCTGTGTCAACGTATGAGGTTGTTAGAAGCAACCGTGTGCCGTCCACGTGTAGAGTGCGGGCGTGTCACTGCGGATGCAAGTGTTGCTGCAGGTAGTACCAGGTGTGTGCATAGACTCACTCTCCTCGTCGGCTAGGGGCGACGGGTGCGGGTGTGGTTGCGGTCGGTCGACACGCGTGGTGTATTGTGCGGGCGCGGTGCCGTCCACGCGTAGAGTGCGGGCAGGTCGCTGCGGGCCCGTTTGTTGACGGGCGTCGTTGGCACGCGCCTGCCACGCCGCGTCAAAACCTTCGTCGCCGCCGCCAGACTCGCGTACGTTACCCGCCTCGCTGTTACCTAAACAATTCAATGTTTTCCAATATTTACGATGATGATGATACAAACTTATAAGGGGCTGGGGAGGTAGCACATGTCGTACAATTAACGAAGTTAAGATATACCGGGGTGTTACATGCTGCATGCAGATAAACCATGCTACTTACATCACAATTCAGAATCGACATAATAAAAGATTTACAGTTAAGGTCAGTTACCGAATCCAAATCGAGATAATATCTGGAGTTGAATTGTACTTAACTTAGATACACAGGATGTAGGCTGTCTATGTTAAGGTAGAATACAAAACCGAAAGTGGAGATGCGATTATCGTACGGTTTTACGAGCATTGCTATAATAACATGCAAACGAAACAATTCAATTCATATACAAACGTTGATTATTTGGCCAATTTGTCATTCGTATTAGTAATATAGGCGTATCATTGCTTTCCTAGTCTAAAACGTAATGTTGCGCATTTTCTCTCGTTTAAGCAAGCATTTATAGGTAAGTACACAACGGCACAATCAAGGGAACGCAAGAAAAAAGGTAATAATTTTTTGGATCACCGGCACAACTTGGTATTATTTAATACTTCAAAATAAAATGTTGTATTAGTAGCATGAGCATTTATTTTTGTTATCTGGAGTACAACTGATTATTGTAATATAAAAAAAGCAAACGTGAGTTTCGTGGCACTCGGTGGTGCTCCGTTGGAGAATAAACATAAGTGTAATAGTAGGGGAGGCCACGATGCTAAATGGGAATTTACTCGAGCGTCGTGGAGACCTATTGAATTTTGAAGATCAGATGGTAGAAAGAAAAAAAAGGTTATATGATGCATACCCTTGCACCGGTGAAACAAGCGTCTAGAAGCTTTCAAAAATGTAAAAAAAATAATCACATGGAAATACTCGAGCGCGGCAGATATTGATATTGTATATGCCCTTTGTGTCTCTGATGACGGAAGAATGTTAATCTGCCGGTTTGCATGGTGGGATTAGCGGGTGGATTGAAAATGGGGAAAAAAAATTACTCGAGCGCGTCAGATGTTCAGAGGGGATGTTAAGTGAGCCTAAACGAAGCTCATATCCAAAAGCCTGACGATTCGGACGCGACGCACTCTCGTGACGGCTTCTTGAAAATGCAAAAAAAAATCGCCATATGGAAATACTAGAGCGCGTCAGATTTTCATACAGACGGTTCAGCTTGATGCCCTGGTCATGCTGATCCATAATCTGACGAATATTCGGAGGAATTATCTTAATCTGACGATTTAAAGAAAATTTTCTCCGTGATTTTTTTCAAATAATTGAATGTGATAAATAAAATTCATACAGAATATGCATCAAAAAAAAATTTACTGAAAATCTAATAAGGGTTAAATTTAAAGCAACTGAACTGATTTTAAAAATTCTCACCTTAAGAATCCTACATTATCCCTACTGAACATAAGCCATAGAGTATTTTCAAAAAAGTTAAGGTTCCGTATGAAAACTTCGATAACGTAACCCAGGGTGTGGAAAAAAATACCAAAAAATAACCTTATATCGCTTACGCTGCGGAAGTCATTGACTGTAGAGCAAAGTGATGTACTAAAGTTTTATAGAGGACAACAATATCTACAAAAAAAGGTCCGCGATAATACCATATGACTAACTATTACAATTATGTCACAACTAAATGTCCCTTGTGGTTTCACCCGCGTTAATTTGAGGATAAAGGTTATAGTGAGCCAAGCTTAAAAGATGGACATATTCTGTCGCGGACTTTTTATAGAACTTTTAAAGGGGAACAATCCCGCCATACGAGACTTTTGTGTAACTTTAATCATTTACGCAGCGCACACATCGGAAACTCACAAATTGAATATTTTTACCCGTTTCTGCAACAGTTTACTACGGTGATCCATTCCTTCTGGTCGCAGCATGATGTCATATAGCCTTAAGCCTTCCTCATTAAATGCACTATCTAACACAAAAGGTTTTTTCCAAATCGGACCATTACTTCCTGAGATTTGCGCGTTCAACCAAAAAAATGGTGCATTCGGTACAACAGGTCCTAAAGTATGCAACAATGTTCTCACTATCAGTTAAATAAATTTTCATGGAAGGTTTATAATTATATAAAGAAATTCATTGTGTATAATCAAGCCTGAGAACAAAAACTATAGTCTACCTACATTGCAGCTCTACACCGAAGCGAAGCGAGGGCGGGCCATTAGTAGAATATAAATTTGTTTAAGACATTGTTGTTTTGTTTGCGTCCCCCTAATTATGTCGGTTTGTAAACACAAAGAAAAGCGGTGCATATTAGAGAACAGACCATGCGGGTTGAGCGGTCGTAGTTCGCGCGAGCTCTGCTCACCTTCGCCCGCTGCGGCCGTAGTCGTGGACGCAGCTAGGCAGTACATCACCGTGGCTGAAATTTCATTCCAGTGTTTAATTTCCTATACTATTTTAGATTAAAACAAAAAGGGAAGATACGACACTCGCGGCTCAAAAGTGATCCGCTTAAATTGTGGTGCACGATCACAATTCGCTGTAGTCACAATTGGACATTCAAACACGCTGCATGTGCACTCAATATAACAATATTATTGTCAGCGTATATTCTGTGTTATGAAGATAAAACAATGCGTTCTATGCTTTTATAGAGAACACAAATAGTTCAAAATCAAATAACAAATGACTCGGCAACACCTCATTCGTCACCTGTAAAATATTTTTTCTCAATAATCACGGTTTGTCGTGAATGTTATTTACGTAATCGCCATTTTGTTATCAAGAAAAGGACAACAAAACAGCTCAGCCGTTCGCACTCGGAAGCGGATTCGCCGTTTCGCTCTCTCTGCGTTAAAGCGTACAGTTCTGTCTCGCTCGCTTGATTGAATGTTTATATACCGACGTGTGCGTGTGTGAGAGTTGGTTATGTAGTTGAGTCGGATCATATCTTATTTGATGCTAATATGAGCGTACCGTATCTGCCCTTTTTGTTTTAATCTAAGTACATTTTACATAATAAATGTTTAATGCCCTTACTGCTGTGGCACACACAGGCCTACCCTATAAATGGAGTAGGGAGATTGAGCCATGACACACCACGCGGGCCCAGTGCGGATTGGTGGCTGCTAACGACTCCAGATGCAGCTGGGACCAACGGCTTAGTGTGCCTTTTGAAGCATGGAGGAGCTCGAGATAATTAATATTTGGTCACCCATCCAATGACGACAAAAAAAGAAGAAAAGAAATAAAGTAGAAGAAGAAAGTAGCTTAATTCCAACAATTGCAATCGGACGCGCTAATGACTTTCGCCATTGAGCTCCTCAGTACAACTATTTTTACATTCATTGCAATTTCTAATTAGATTACCAATCAAAAGAGGTCTCCTTTTTAATAGACTTCATAAAGGAGGAGGTTAACAATTTTTCACTACCCTAGATTTTTTTTGTTGTCCACGCATGTCTATGAGATTTGTGAACTGACTTTGATGATTCTTATTTTGTTTGAATCAGTGTTTTAGTGCGATAGTCCCATATTATTTTTGATAGAGAATTAAAAGGATTTTTCGGGATTAAATTTAACAAATCCCGGGGTTTTTCGGGATTGATATAGTTTTTAAATAAGTCAGTAAAAATGTGCGTGAAACGAAACGCGCTTACTTTTATTTGACGTTTTGACGGCCATCTTGTTTACACAGCTGACTTCATTTATTTTTGCTAACGATCGGTACCAGATTATGTGTAAAAGTGTGTAAAAATTTCGCTTCACGTAGTACATTATTGATATTTTTCTTGTTAATTGGTGATAATCAATGAATTTATTAAAATACGACCAATGCAAAAATGTGTCTGAGTACTTTTTATTTGGTCTGAGTCTGAGTAAATATAGATGGCAAACAACGAGTTTTATTTTCTGTAGCTCTAAGAGGTTGTTTATGTTTTGCATCGACTTAAATGTTCTTTTCATTTTTGTTTAGGTTTAAGAAGTAAACAATGTCATTATTTAAAGAAACTATTGATGTCAACCATAAAAAGATGAAGATGTTTCGTCAGTGTGGAGTCATTTTTTAGTCAATAAAGCGGTTAGCTCAGCACAATGTACCTAAGAGGATTGACCAAAGGCCTACATACTCATCTATTTTCAAAACATTCCGTGAAAGTAGATTCAGCTAAAGCATCTTCCTCAACGAGCCAAAATAATGAAGGACCACCTATAGTCTGCTTTATAGTACTCGTATATCTAAACAAGTCTAAAATAGTTGATTTTTTTAAGTTTGTTGAAAATTAAATAATCAAACTAGGCAATTCTGTAAATAATTTATGAAATAGTTTCATGTTTGATGAATGAAGTGCCTAGTTTGTTTATTTTATCAGAAGAAAGTATAACATTGTTTTGTTTTTAAAAGATTTAACTGAAGATTTTAAATAAAATGTTGCATTTTATATGTTTTACTGTCTTTTTGTTACCACTTTCTATTACCAATACAATCCTGGGACTATCCCGGGATTAATTGTAGTTAATCCCGAAATCCTGGGATTCGAAAAATCAACCAAGGTCATATCCTCTAGACATAATGCAAGCCAAAAATTAAGAAAAAATTATACTATATGTTTTCTCTGAGAATATATCATTGTATTTGACTTTATCTTTTATTTTTTGTCCTTTTGTACACTAATGTTGTTGGCAAACATAACTTAACCTTTACCCAATTATTTTTGTAGAGCCCACTAAATCCATGTAGGGTAGACATTCTGTAAAACAATTTAATTATATTTTGCTTACATGAATATATGAGTGCAGGAAATATAGGCTCATTTCTTTCCTGTGCTGTTTCCACCAATATTCGTAATGGACCTTTCGGAGTTAATACTGCTACCAAGTCTGAAAATATACATTGCTTATCAGGTATTTTTTTTTAAATAGTTGAACAGTTATTGTCATTTTAGCTAAACATATTTTGTATACATATTATATTTACCCCAAATGGAAATCACAGCAAGTACAGCCCATGTGGTCCATTCTGGAAGATACTTGATGAACACAAGGGCCATCAAAGCAGCAATGAATATAAGGTATGCCTGTTGAAGCCGTAGGGGGCCTTTCCAATGAATAACAATCATGCCCATCACACCAAAGTTCCACATCACAAATGCTAAAGTGATATAATCCATTGGTATATTGTATGCTCTAAGTGCTTCTCTGAAACAATTAAAATTTACATAATAATATGTACTGAACTAAAATGCTATTATTTGATATTGTACAATTTGGATGGTTAAATCACAAAGAAATGCAAGGAGGATCAATATATTACCAACCAGTACCTACAAGTCAAACTAAACAAAACTTCAATAACCATAGTAAAAGCAGAATCTAGTTGATCAAAGCATTATTCCTAATTGATTAAACAATTTTTTTTTAGGTATTTTGACTATACTTGAGGATTGTTAGAATTTAAACTGAAGTTTGGAAATATTCAGCTTATTAATTATAAAGTTTTTTGAATAATTGAGTAGTATAATAAATGCAAGCAACTTACTCTATGTAGAGGTAAGAAAACAAGAAAAGCAGCATAAGTGATGACAATATAAGCCACCCATGTATAATTTTGTAACATCTTTTCTTATATAGGACTATTAACAGCACAGTCATGAGGGCAATCACACACAGTAAAATCATGGAGTTTGCTAAGGCATTCCATACTTTAGTTACAGCATATGGGCTCTCTTCGTGAAATGGAGTGTAAGCTCTGAAAAAGAAAACCCATTATATTAATAAACTAGTATCTTTATCAATGTTTTGGAAACCAATCAATTAAAAAAATCCAAAATTTTATTTTTTTACATGACATCCACTAATGAGTACAAAACTAACTCTGTAGAAAAGAGAGAAAAGATTGTATACCCCAAGTAATATTTGGTACAATAATTATGCTTTTATTTTATACTTACAAATAAACATCTTTGACAGAGTAAAAGTTTATTGAAGATATTGTAGCAACTACAACAATCATACACAGTGTGACAGGCACAAAGAGTTTAATCACATGTCTTGCCCCATATTTAAGTTCCAGCTCTTCTATCTGAGCCTCTGAATTGTTTGTAACTGGTGCTGAACTAGGCCCAGGGCCACTTGAAGACCCCTGGCCACTGTTTTCAGTTGGCTCCACACTCTGAAGATAAAACAAAAATAAGTACAAATGACAACTGGATATAATATCAAAAACTAGTTCATTTAATTACTCTGTATGTCTACATTTTACCATTCTACACTCAAAACAACACTGTAAGATGAGTCACTATCTGTTTATCCAATTAAAAGTGGGTTGATACCAACTAAAAAGTTGACGACTCATTGATAGTCAGTTTTCAGTAAAAATACAAAACTGTTCGCTTCAAGCAAACAAAAAACATACTGAAATTGATAAGTGTATCCTCTAGACGTAAACATACTGAGTAGATAAGATAATGTGTATTGGTGTTATTGTTTATTAAATTACTTTACCCCATAAGTTCGCTGAGTTTCCGACTTAGTTTTTCTTTTTCTAGCTATTCTCTCAGCGATTTCCCTATCTGGACGAGCTTCTGCGATGTGTCCGTCCATTATTAGCGCAGTGTTCTCAGTCGCTTCCTCGGTATCACTGCCAGTATCACTCATTCATGAAAGGTTTCAATATTCAGCATTTTGTGTATCAATTAAAACAGAAACATTGTTATTCGAAATAACAACGCATTGCTTTGTCACGATAAATATTTCTTCGGGTTACCTACCGCAAGACGTTGAAGTTCTCCCATTTTAGGAAAGGCAAAGGGAACAATGCCCATACAGCCTGGTTTTTAATTAAATGAATCTTCTTTTTGGTTTTACTTTTTACATTAGAATGTCGGTGTGACGCATTCTAATGTTTCTTGGAGTGTTTGGCACGAAATGTATCGAGTTGGCTTTTTCGATAAGCTTCTGTGAGGTAGTCAACACTACAATAAAATTCTCACGTCCACTTGACCGGAATAGCGTATATTTTAACGATTCCACTAATTCTTCAGTTACGCAGACAGTTGTTACACAAAACCACACCAATTTTATTTCACAATATCCACTATGAACGAATTTAAGAATAATTAAAATAAGACGCCAACCGCACTCGATGAAATCCCGCCAAAAAAAAAAACCCTACCGCAAGACGATGACGAAACGAATGACAGTGACAGACAGACTAGGCTTGTGAAAGAATTTTGATGTATCGATATATCTATTTTTTACGATATACCGATAATTTTGGCAATATATTTTAATATCCAATACATCAATTCAAAATAACCAATATCGAAATTGGTATCAAAAAAGATAATATTTTTTATTATTGGCATCACATTACGATGTAACTTAATAGGTAAGATGCATATTTAATATTTATGAAAATTTTATGATTAAAATGTTAAAAAAATATAAAAGAAATGTCACTGCAGCGTTATTATTTTACATAATGTTGTTTTTTAACAATTATTACGAATTAAAAATACTTGAAACAGAACGTATTTTAAAACACCAATCAGCGTTCAGTGACGTCACTCCTGTTATGACAACTTCTTTGAGGTTATGGTTGTTAAAGTAAATATTATTTTATGGGAATATTAATTGCGTTTTTATTTTAAATAAAAAGTTAAGTTGCGTTTATCAAAGCAGACTCCAGGAATTTACCAAGAGTTAGTGTTGACATGGTTATAACTTTTTTTGTCCAAAGTGCAGAGTTTTTAAGTGTAGAAATGAAAGGGACTAAATTACTACGGTCTGTAAAAATCGTAGTTGTTAAACTTCGTATTTTATTCAGCGGCTTCTACAAATCTTACGGCGATAATGCAATCGGCTATGTCCAAATTAAAAGAGATGAAGAATTATGTACAGTAAAAGGTCGAGTTCCCCAGAGCATAAACTACGTAAAAAGGTTATCGTGTTACAGTTATTTTAAATGAAACGTAAAGCTTGGTTCAGTCCTGCCAATGTGAAGATTGTGTAACATATTTTAAAGTTTATCTAATTTTCGACGTCATTCTCCAACTATAAAATTAAAAATATGTTACAGACAGGTTTTGTATTAGGTAGGTTACTAATGCGATTTTACGTACAAGCAGATTAATTAACCATATAACAAGTATATTCGCCGACTTACGTCAAAGTGATTTTCACACCATCATAATGGCCTTGGAGAATAATTGTTATTTCTCTTCGCAGCTTGAAACCACTTTTTTTTTCAGTTTTGGGTCAGAAGTTCCAGTCAAAAACAATTTATTTGGAAACTTTGTTGAAGTAGATTGGCACAAAACATCACGTCAACGAGTCAACACGACATTTTTTCCGAATATTAGTGGTATTGTTATAAAAAATATTTCGAAAGTCGAAAAAATATGCAAAAGTATGGAAATTTAAAGCCAGCGACGAACAAGTACGACCAGTGACAGACAGGAGTGACGTCATCGCAACCATATGTTCGTTTTCGCGCGAAAATTTAAATTATCAATTTAAAACCGCATTTTTTCTGATAAATCACAATGTTTTAATTTTTTAATATATCTGTGGTTTATTCTACATGGAATTCTTTAAAATGAAAACAAAAATAAAAATATTGCATCTTCCCTATTCGCTACAATTGGAAACCGTAAAAGAATGAGAAAAAAAGAACGAACAAGAACTGGCCGAAGAAAACTGGGAAAGCGCATGGGATATGCGCTTGACCTATGAAATCACCAAGGTAGTGGACAAGACCTGGATGCGCGTAGCGAGAAATCTGTTCGCATGGAAATAACATGAAGAAGCCTATACCCGATAATGAGTGAACCCGGGCTTATAAAGAAGAAGAAAATATTGTGCTGAATTTCAATCTAATCTAGTACGTGACTGGTGCCAATTCTGGCATGATTCTCTAAACTTAAAACTAAATTTAACATCAGTCTCTCCTTTTCATTTTGTATAGAGAATGCAAGGATATACTGCTGTCAAATTTAAGTTTAGGTTTAGAGAATCATGCTAAAATCAACACCACTGTCTAGTTCTAAAGTCTGTCTCAAGAAAGATGGCACCTGAGGGCGCTGTAGTCGCTATCAACGAAATATCGAAAATAAGCTATTACTTTAGAGATAATTTACGGCGGTTATTTGATACTTCATTCTTTATAATTTATGTTGTAGTATGGTGTTGTTATTACTGGGCTAGGCTGACCTAGATTTTTTCAGTTTCGACATCCCTGTGATAGAAACTCATCAGTTGTTTTTGAGATTTTCCTATTTCATGGAAGTCAAAGGGAATAATACCCATACAGCCTAGACTTTAGTTTTATTCGTCCTTTTTTAACATTTGTCGGTGTGACGTATTGTAATGTTTCTTGGAGTGTTTGGCACAAAATGTATCGAGATGGCTTTTTCGATAATAAATTTCGATCTTCTGTGAGGTAGTCAACACTACAATAAGATCTCACGTCCATTTGATCGGAATAGCGTATATTTTAAAGATTCCACTAATTGAAGTGAAACTTCTTTATCGGCGTTGGAAAAAAATTTACCGTCACATTTTTTTCGGTTACGCGTCACGTTTTTTGGTTACGCGCCATCTTTTTTTTAAAAGAGCACTATTTACCTCATCCGAACAATTGCTTCTTCTGTCAACTTAAAAAAAAAAAGTATCGACAGCAAATATTCGTGTTTCACACAAGGTAAGGTAAGGTAAGGTAAGGTAAGGTAAGGTAAGGTAAGGTAAGGTAAGGTAAGGTAAGGTAAGGTAAGGTAAGGTAAGGTAAGGTGTAGTTATACCCCTTTAGTGGGTGAGTTTTTGAAAAATCTTAGCGCACGCCTATATATATATTTCTGGAAAGTTGCATGTAGATCATTTTTCGAAAAAAATAAAGCCATAAAGAAGTTTCACTTCTTACGTGTGTACACTAGTACACGCACACATTTTTTTCTGCTGTTACGCAAACGGTTGTAACACAAAATCACACGAATTTTATTTCACAAGTCCACTATGAACGAATTTAAGAATAATTAAAATTAGACGCCAACCGCACACGATAAAATCCCGCCAAAAACTTGCATTCTTTTATATTGGGAAACGTAAAGACATGCAGCCATCGTCTAAATGTATTTTTTTTACATAAGAATGTGGGTGTGACGCGTACCGTTATCTGATCTTGTTGTGAAATTAACCATCCAGGTAATCACTCCCAAAAATTACTCGAAATCGGTCCAGCCGTTTAATAGCAGATCCATTACATAAACACGTACAGAATAAAGATATTTATGGGTGCCCGCCAAGTGCCCGCAGTAATACTATCAGTATATTATTCCCAGGACTCAGTAATTCTACACCAAGTTTTATCTGAATCGGTTCAGCCGTTTGTAATTTTTTTTCCCAAAGAACAAATGTCTAAGTATGCTTACATATTTTTTATAAATGAAAAACTTTATAGTAAATAAAAGATTTAATTTAATATCATCATTATTGAAATTCACACTTGGAAGAGGATGAATTGTATTTTGTGTAAGTGACATTGCAAGTAGTAAAGCAGGATGATATTTAATAAAATGATTTTATGTTTATAGATAAAGCCCTTCAGGTGTGCCTTCCTTCTTTCTGTAGAGGACACTTTCCTTAGACTTTTTGAAATCCTCATTGGTGACTTTCATACGCCTTTCCCTCAGCGCCATAAGACCAGCTTCAGTGCATATAGCCTGCAAAAAATTATTTTGTCATAAGTGCTAAATATGTTAATTAATGTATTTTATTTTATATTATTAATGATATTTAACGTAGGTACCTTTATATCGGCACCTGATAGGTCATCCTTGGACATAATAAGCTCAGACAAATTTACATCATCTGCCAATGTCATCCTTGATGTGTGAATAGTAAAGATTCTCCTCTTAGTTTTCTCATCAGGCAGTGGAAACTCGATTTTTCTATCTATACGCCCAGGTCGAATAAGAGCAGGATCTAGTGTCTCTATACGATTTGTAGCCATTATCACCTGAAAAGTGTAATATGAATTAATGATGATAAAACTTTTTCATATCATAGTTGAGGAAGAGGTTTATGTGATATGACATTGAAACTTTGCTTAGGTGATCAATTAGCCCCCTATGATTTATTTAATAACTGTGTATCTATTTGACTTAATGAGGCTGTACACACAAATTCTTAATGAAAAGGATTAATATATTAAAGATCAAACTTTCCCAAGTACTGTCCATGTTGACTGCAGTACTGATCACAAAGAAAGTTTGCATATTTTTGCCCTATTGTGTGTGTTGTGTTGTGTGAGCTATGGATTGTCTAATGAAAATCGCAAAATTCAAAATTGCCAACTTTGTAAAAGGTTTGGAAAAAAAAGATATTATTCCATAAGCTATCAGTATGACAGCAAGATGTATTTTTTTTTCTATGAGGTGTGGTCTACTTGATTGCATACAATTAATGTAATCTGCAGACACCTTTCACACCAAAAAAGGTATAAAACACTTAAAATGATTTGTGGCATGTTTAGCAAAAAATTTTTTTTTAGAATTCATGTTCACAAAACAAAAGCCGTAATCATTTATCACGTAGAAATTCTATTAAACATGCAACATACATGCTATTTATGCTATTTAGAAGGGCATTATTCAATTCGCGGTATATGAGGAAATACAAGGTCTGACAGTTTTGCTAGAATTTTGCCTTCTAGACTTCATTCCTCTACCCCAGAGTCAACCTAAATTATTACAGGAATACAATACAACACTATGCTTAGCATTTACTTGCAATCGTTATTACTTTTAGAAATTCAGTCTATGTTTAGTCCTAAGATCTTCTGTACCTTAACATCACCTCGAGAATCAAACCCATCAAGTTGGTTCAGTAACTCCAACATAGTCCTTTGAATTTCCCTTTCTCCTCCAGAATTGGAATCATACCTGAAAATAATACATAATGACTTAAATTTTAACTAACTTCTTACTTAGTTACAAAATTAGTTTTAATGTTTACAAATAATGGAGATTACCGTTTAGTTCCTACAGCATCAATTTCATCAATAAACACAATTGAAGGAGCATGCTCTTCAGCCACTCTAAACAACTCACGGACCAGCTTGGGACCATCACCCTATAATAAAATAATAAAAGCCTTTATTATTATTTTTAGTTATTGTTAATAAAACTGGTAGCTTTAATAAGAAAACTAATGTTGAATAACATCATTTAATAATAAAAAAGAATTCATTGTTTGCAATACATGGTCCTAAATGTTGTTTACAAAACCAGTTAACTTAACAGAAAATATAACTAAAACTTAAGCTAATTGTTAAATGGTTTTTTTTATGTTTATGCAGGCAAACAAGATGGCAATCCACCTGATGGTAAGTGGTTACTGCCACCCATGGACATTTCCAGCACCAAGGGCACCCCATATGTTGTCAGCTCTGAAGGAAAAGGTTTACCCGCCTTTTGAATAATATATTTTTATTCAAATCACTATTTATATGAATCAAACCATTTTAGGCAGCATAAATTAATAATAGATGAAAAGAGTTTTTAAGTGTAGAAATGAAAGGGACTAAATTACTACGGTCTGTAAAAATCGTAGTTGTTAAACTTCGTATTTTATTCAGCGGCTTCTACAAATCTTACGGCGATAATGCAATCGGCTATGTCCAAATTAAAAGAGATGAAGAATTATGTACAGTAAAAGGTCGAGTTCCCCAGAGCATAAACTACGTAAAAAGGTTATCGTGTTACAGTTATTTTAAATGAAACGTAAAGCTTGGTTCAGTCCTGCCAATGTGAAGATTGTGTAACATATTTTAAAGTTTATCTAATTTTCGACGTCATTCTCCAACTATAAAATTAAAAATATGTTACAGACAGGTTTTGTATTAGGTAGGTTACTAATGCGATTTTACGTACAAGCAGATTAATTAACCATATAACAAGTATATTCGCCGACTTACGTCAAAGTGATTTTCACACCATCATAATGGTCTTTGGAGAATAATTGTTATTTCTCTTCGCAGCTTGAAACCACTTTTTTTTTCAGTTTTGGGTCAGAAGTTCCAGTCAAAAACAATTTATTTGGAAACTTTGTTGAAGTAGATTGGCACAAAACATCACGTCAACGAGTCAACACGACATTTTTTCCGAATATTAGTGGTATTGTTATAAAAAATATTTCGAAAGTCGAAAAAATATGCAAAAGTATGGAAATTTAAAGCCAGCGACGAACAAGTACGACCAGTGACAGACAGGAGTGACGTCATCGCAACCATATGTTCGTTTTCGCGCGAAAATTTAAATTATCAATTTAAAACCGCATTTTTTCTGATAAATCACAATGTTTTAATTTTTTAATATATCTGTGGTTTATTCTACATGGAATTCTTTAAAATGAAAACAAAAATAAAAATATTGCATCTTCCCTATTCGCTACAATTGGAAACCGTAAAAGAATGAGAAAAAAAGAACGAACAAGAACTGGCCGAAGAAAACTGGGAAAGCGCATGGGATATGCGCTTGACCTATGAAATCACCAAGGTAGTGGACAAGACCTGGATGCGCGTAGCGAGAAATCTGTTCGCATGGAAATAACATGAAGAAGCCTATACCCGATAATGAGTGAACCCGGGCTTATAAAGAAGAAGAAAATATTGTGCTGAATTTCAATCTAATCTAGTACGTGACTGGTGCCAATTCTGGCATGATTCTCTAAACTTAAAACTAAATTTAACATCAGTCTCTCCTTTTCATTTTGTATAGAGAATGCAAGGATATACTGCTGTCAAATTTAAGTTTAGGTTTAGAGAATCATGCTAAAATCAACACCACTGTCTAGTTCTAAAGTCTGTCTCAAGAAAGATGGCACCTGAGGGCGCTGTAGTCGCTATCAACGAAATATCGAAAATAAGCTATTACTTTAGAGATAATTTACGGCGGTTATTTGATACTTCATTCTTTATAATTTATGTTGTAGTATGGTGTTGTTATTACTGGGCTAGGCTGACCTAGATTTTTTCAGTTTCGACATCCCTGTGATAGAAACTCATCAGTTGTTTTTGAGATTTTCCTATTTCATGGAAGTCAAAGGGAATAATACCCATACAGCCTAGACTTTAGTTTTATTCGTCCTTTTTTAACATTTGTCGGTGTGACGTATTGTAATGTTTCTTGGAGTGTTTGGCACAAAATGTATCGAGATGGCTTTTTCGATAATAAATTTCGATCTTCTGTGAGGTAGTCAACACTACAATAAGATCTCACGTCCATTTGATCGGAATAGCGTATATTTTAAAGATTCCACTAATTGAAGTGAAACTTCTTTATCGGCGTTGGAAAAAAATTTACCGTCACATTTTTTTCGGTTACGCGTCACGTTTTTTGGTTACGCGCCATCTTTTTTTTAAAAGAGCACTATTTACCTCATCCGAACTATTGCTTCTTCTGTCAACTTAAAAAAAAAAAGTATCGACAGCAAATATTCGTGTTTCACACAAGGTAAGGTAAGGTAAGGTAAGGTAAGGTAAGGTAAGGTAAGGTAAGGTAAGGTAAGGTAAGGTAAGGTGTAGTTATACCCCTTTAGTGGGTGAGTTTTTGAAAAATCTTAGCGCACGCCTATATATATATTTCTGGAAAGTTGCATGTAGATCATTTTTCGAAAAAAATAAAGCCATAAAGAAGTTTCACTTCTTACGTGTGTACACTAGTACACGCACACATTTTTTTCTGCTGTTACGCAAACGGTTGTAACACAAAATCACACGAATTTTATTTCACAAGTCCACTATGAACGAATTTAAGAATAATTAAAATTAGACGCCAACCGCACACGATAAAATCCCGCCAAAAACTTGCATTCTTTTATATTGGGAAACGTAAAGACATGCAGCCATCGTCTAAATGTATTTTTTTTACATAAGAATGTGGGTGTGACGCGTACCGTTATCTGATCTTGTTGTGAAATTAACCATCCAGGTAATCACTCCCAAAAATTACTCGAAATCGGTCCAGCCGTTTAATAGCAGATCCATTACATAAACACGTACAGAATAAAGATATTTATGGGTGCCCGCCAAGTGCCCGCAGTAATACTATCAGTATATTATTCCCAGGACTCAGTAATTCTACACCAAGTTTTATCTGAATCGGTTCAGCCGTTTGTAATTTTTTTTCCCAAAGAACAAATGTCTAAGTATGCTTACATATTTTTTATAAATGAAAAACTTTATAGTAAATAAAAGATTTAATTTAATATCATCATTATTGAAATTCACACTTGGAAGAGGATGAATTGTATTTTGTGTAAGTGACATTGCAAGTAGTAAAGCAGGATGATATTTAATAAAATGATTTTATGTTTATAGATAAAGCCCTTCAGGTGTGCCTTCCTTCTTTCTGTAGAGGACACTTTCCTTAGACTTTTTGAAATCCTCATTGGTGACTTTCATACGCCTTTCCCTCAGCGCCATAAGACCAGCTTCAGTGCATATAGCCTGCAAAAAATTATTTTGTCATAAGTGCTAAATATGTTAATTAATGTATTTTATTTTATATTATTAATGATATTTAACGTAGGTACCTTTATATCGGCACCTGATAGGTCATCCTTGGACATAATAAGCTCAGACAAATTTACATCATCTGCCAATGTCATCCTTGATGTGTGAATAGTAAAGATTCTCCTCTTAGTTTTCTCATCAGGCAGTGGAAACTCGATTTTTCTATCTATACGCCCAGGTCGAATAAGAGCAGGATCTAGTGTCTCTATACGATTTGTAGCCATTATCACCTGAAAAGTGTAATATGAATTAATGATGATAAAACTTTTTCATATCATAGTTGAGGAAGAGGTTTATGTGATATGACATTGAAACTTTGCTTAGGTGATCAATTAGCCCCCTATGATTTATTTAATAACTGTGTATCTATTTGACTTAATGAGGCTGTACACACAAATTCTTAATGAAAAGGATTAATATATTAAAGATCAAACTTTCCCAAGTACTGTCCATGTTGACTGCAGTACTGATCACAAAGAAAGTTTGCATATTTTTGCCCTATTGTGTGTGTTGTGTTGTGTGAGCTATGGATTGTCTAATGAAAATCGCAAAATTCAAAATTGCCAACTTTGTAAAAGGTTTGGAAAAAAAAGATATTATTCCATAAGCTATCAGTATGACAGCAAGATGTATTTTTTTTTCTATGAGGTGTGGTCTACTTGATTGCATACAATTAATGTAATCTGCAGACACCTTTCACACCAAAAAAGGTATAAAACACTTAAAATGATTTGTGGCATGTTTAGCAAAAAATTTTTTTTTAGAATTCATGTTCACAAAACAAAAGCCGTAATCATTTATCACGTAGAAATTCTATTAAACATGCAACATACATGCTATTTATGCTATTTAGAAGGGCATTATTCAATTCGCGGTATATGAGGAAATACAAGGTCTGACAGTTTTGCTAGAATTTTGCCTTCTAGACTTCATTCCTCTACCCCAGAGTCAACCTAAATTATTACAGGAATACAATACAACACTATGCTTAGCATTTACTTGCAATCGTTATTACTTTTAGAAATTCAGTCTATGTTTAGTCCTAAGATCTTCTGTACCTTAACATCACCTCGAGAATCAAACCCATCAAGTTGGTTCAGTAACTCCAACATAGTCCTTTGAATTTCCCTTTCTCCTCCAGAATTGGAATCATACCTGAAAATAATACATAATGACTTAAATTTTAACTAACTTCTTACTTAGTTACAAAATTAGTTTTAATGTTTACAAATAATGGAGATTACCGTTTAGTTCCTACAGCATCAATTTCATCAATAAACACAATTGAAGGAGCATGCTCTTCAGCCACTCTAAACAACTCACGGACCAGCTTGGGACCATCACCCTATAATAAAATAATAAAAGCCTTTATTATTATTTTTAGTTATTGTTAATAAAACTGGTAGCTTTAATAAGAAAACTAATGTTGAATAACATCATTTAATAATAAAAAAGAATTCATTGTTTGCAATACATGGTCCTAAATGTTGTTTACAAAACCAGTTAACTTAACAGAAAATATAACTAAAACTTAAGCTAATTGTTAAATGGTTTTTTTTATGTTTATGCAGGCAAACAAGATGGCAATCCACCTGATGGTAAGTGGTTACTGCCACCCATGGACATTTCCAGCACCAAGGGCACCCCATATGTTGTCAGCTCTGAAGGAAAAGGTTTACCCGCCTTTTGAATAATATATTTTTATTCAAATCACTATTTATATGAATCAAACCATTTTAGGCAGCATAAATTAATAATAGATGAAAAGATTTTTTTAGTCAGTCAGCAGCTGGGAAGCTTAACTTCCACAAATTGCAAACCAAGCATGCTAAACACTGGGCCATTGAGTTCTTCAAAAGTATGAAAAGCATAAAAATTAGCCTTTTATCACTATTAGTGATGTAACGAATGTCATTTTTTGAACATTCGCGAATGCGAATGCGGATGCGAATATGTGGTACCGACATTCGCGAATATTTAGTTTTTTTTTTAATTTGGCGCCAATTGTCTATGGCATGGTGGCAGTCTCGTTCCAATTGCCGAGTTCATATGAACTCATCCGACTGAAGTGTCATTCCGCTCGTACCAGTCTTTCCGTAAACAAAACAAGTGAATGTTGAGGTTAGTGATTGTGAGTGGTAATAGTGATTTATTAACATGATTATATCGAATTCTAGTGAAACATGGACTTATTTCACACTTTGCGATGCTGAACGAGCTTAATGCAAACTGTGTAACAATGAATATTCAAGGAAAGGCAGAACTACAACTTCTTCAAATTGTTTTTTTCTAATATTCAAATTCGCAAAACATTTGCAGAGTTTTTGCGAATGGGAAAATTCAAAAATTTGCGAATATTCGTTACATCACTAATCACTATCTCTTTGACATACGCAAAACATTCAGTATTGTTTGTTTTTCGTATCTTACAGAACTTCAACATACTTTCAGAAGTGGGTGTTAATAGTTGCGACACAGTTATTTTATCTAAAGTTATTATTATTATGCACATTTATAGTATTCACTGTCTTTGTTAAAAAAAAAATATTTCATGTAAATTTCATTTAATATTCAATTAGGTGAAAAATAGAATTCCACAGAAATGGAATATAAATTATAATAAAAAAAATGTTTCGAGTAGATCCAAATATGAATTTATATCTTTACCAAGTATTTCTGGATGAGTTCTGATCCAACAACGCGCAGGAATGTGGCAGAAGTTTGGTTTGCTACTGCTTTTGCCAACAATGTCTTGCCAGTGCCTGGAGGACCATACAAAATTACACCTTTTGGAGGCTTGATTCCCATTTCCTCATAATACTCAGGGTGAGTAAGAGGTAACTCTACAGATTCCTACAACAAAAATTGCATGCATAAAACATTTAATGTTTTTAAAAAAAAAGGAACTTTTTCTCAGAAAAGAAGTAGTAGTTACTTTTATTTCCTGAATTTGTGTATCCAGTCCTCCAATATCAGCATAAGTCTCTTGGGGTGCTTTTTCCAACTTCATCACTGACACCATTGGGTCTGTATCATCACCTAAAACTCCCACAACAGCATGTACCTACAAATAGACAATTAGTAAAAGTATGAGATTGATTTTTAAAATATAAATATCAACAGTGGAAAAGCAAAATTGCTTATATGCAACTTTGGTGCTGCTTAAAAATAACATTAAATAAAAACTGCAATTAAGCTCATTTTTAAGCATCACCAAAGTGTATGTATAAGCAATTTGGCTTTTGACACTGAATTTATTTGATTTGTTCTTTTCTTTTCATATAAATAACTTTCCTGACTGTATAGGTATGTTTTGGATTTTGTACCAAATCAATATTCTTTACGAAGAAGCAGTGATGCACCCTCCACAGAAGTGATGTGACAGAAAGTGGAGACACAAATGTATGCAATCTAAAATCTATACACCATAACTCAGGAAGTTTTCTTAAGTGTCATACACTCACAGAGATACTCTTCAGTACTTTAAATACAATGTAAAATACAAACCTTATGATTGAGAAGCACAGAGCAACCGGGTTCCAGCTGATCTTTGTCCACAAAGGACAATATGCTCACATAGTGTTCACTGCCCACAGATGTAGACACAATTGCATGGTTATCATCAATGATCTCCTCAAGATTGCCCACTGACATTGGCGTGCCTCTCAAATCATCCACCTAAGAATAACATTCATGTTTATCTCTCCAAATAATAAAATATGAAATAGAATAATAGATAATACCCAAATGCGCGATACGCAGAAAGGGTATTATGTTTTATTATTAACACTATCAAATGTGAGGTTTTGACAAACAAAAGTTAAATCTTAAATTGAAATTATATGAAAAATAAACGTACCTTGGATCTTTCTTCTTCAATTTTCTCTTCTTGAGGTTTGAGGCGTTCTTGATTGCGGATGAATTCTTCTTCCATCAAAAGGTAATCCTTGATTCGTTCTAATTTTAAGAGTTTCAATCGACATCTTGTGTGGGGGGTCACTTGAGGAAGCTTTAAAGCTGCATCTGGACCCTTAGCCTTGCGCTTCTTTTTGCCAACTCTGGTTGGAATTGGGGGCTCATACTTTTTCTTCTTGTCTTTGTCATCTTTCTTGTCTCCACCGCTTCCACCGCCCGATTGATTTTGACCCTTTACAAGAAAAAAATAGAAAGCTAGGGAATTAGCTGTTAGATCCAAGATATCTTTTATAAATAACGTGGCTCTATAGATATATTTGCTTAAAACTTTATATAATAATTTACCATTCTTTTCCTGGTACTCTGATAATAGTTTAAATTATTTAAAATCAGAACAAGGAGCGACGATTACCAAGCGAATTCTGAATTGTCAATTCAATTGTCATCCATCATCATGTCATCCACAGATAAATTAAAGGTATTACACCAACACTTCAATTGGCTATTTATTGTAATAATATTTATTGTATTGTTTATTATTTGTAATCCTGTTATAAGTCTCTCCTTTTCATTACTTATAAAGCATGACAAGGACAATAGTTTATTAATAGAAAATACGATTATCCAAGTGAAATGCCGGCATTAGGCAATGCTGAATATTGCACGCGATCATCAGTAGGCCTATTCGCTTATTGCTTTGGAGACAGATGGAAATGATAATCAATCACCGAGCTATTTAGGTTACTTTCCAATTACAGCATTAAAGCGCATTATGCGGCATAATGCTTAACGTTGAGTGTTCCAACTACAGCAACGCTTCGCACAATTGAGCACGCTCAAAAGTGATGCTTTCGTGTGATGCGTGCAATCGTACCAACTTAGAAACAGAAAATTAACAAGTGTTTTTTCTTTAAGTTGGCATTGATCGAAATGATTTTTTATATGTTATCGTTAGTAATATTATTTATTGTTGAAAAATTATTAAAGCTTTCGTTTCATTAAATAGTTTTTTTTAAATAATCAAAGTTCATTCAAACTGTTAAAAAATAAATATAAGTATGGATGAAGGTACAAACATTGACTTTTTTTTCAACACTGAACTTAGCGCACTCTGCTGGTGCATTTGAAAACTAATTCACGTTCCAATTAAGCATCAGCATAATTCGGCATTGTGCGCTACTGAGTCGCATTATGCTTTGTAATTGGAAAACCACCAATGACGGTACTGAAAGCAGAGCATGTAAAGTGCCAGCATACCGGCTTAATGTTTAATACACGTAGAAGTCTGTGTTTGTAATTTAAACTGTGCATAGAGAAAAGTAGGAGTTTTTGGTGGGATTTGATCGAGTGTGGTTGGCGTCTTATTTTAATTATTCTTAAATTCGTTCATAGTGGATATTGTGAAATAAAATTGGTGTGATTTTGTGTTACAACTGTCTGCGTAACTGAAGAATTAGTAGAATCGTCAAAATATACGCTATTCCGGTCAAGTGGACGTGAGAATTTTATTGTAGTATTGACTACCTCACAGAAGCTTATCGAAAAAGCCAGCTCGATACATTTCGTGCCAAACACTTCAAGAAACTTTAGAATGTGTGACACCGACATTCTAATGTAAAAAGAAAAACAGAAAAATTTAACTTAAGACTAGGCTGCATGGGAATTGTTCCCCTTGCCTTCCCTGAAAAGGGAGAATTTAACAAAAAAAAATAGAGAAAAGTAATATGTCTGTGGTGTAAATGTCGTCGTCGTGTAATACTGCTGTCAAAATTTAATAAAATTTTATTTTCGTGGATAAAATCTTTGGGAAATAGAAAACTGGAGTTAATTTATAGAAAAATAAATGCTGTTCCTTTAGTTAAAATGACACAGAGATTGTGTGTAAAGTAAAATTCAAACTAACGGTGTGTCAAAGAAATTTTAGGATTTCCTCAACTTCATATAGCTAAGTTTTCAAGATGGTTTTAGCAGATTTGGGTCGTAAAATTACCACAGCCTTACAATCCCTCAGTAGGGCTACTATTATTAATGAAGATGTAAGTATGTTTGACTAATTAAATCCTCAAAATAATAAAGTAGTGACTATTGGTTGCACATATGTTTATGCATGCTTTTTATTGTTTATCTTAGATAATTTGGTATGAAGAGGGTTCGACTGACCTTTTTACTTGTTTTAAGATTATCTAATGGATTACTTCACAGCCTAAACGGACTATAATAAATAATGAAATTGGATTTTATGTTTTTATAAAAAAGTTGACATGAATTTTTAACATACGTTATGACCTTTCCTTTTAATTGAATATGAATATATCAAAATTTTATAACAATTACTATAATAATATTAAAGATAAATAATATTTATGTATAATATGATTTACAAATTTATGATTTACTAACAATTGTTTTTCAGGTTTTGAATTCAATGCTCAAGCAAATTTGTGCTGCTCTATTAGAAGCTGATGTTAATATTCGCTTAGTTAAAAACCTTAGGGAAAATGTACGTGCTGTTATTGATTTTGATGAAATGGCTGGTGGTCTCAACAAGCGGAGAATGATACAATCTGCAGTTTTCAAAGAATTGGTGAAAGTAAGATATATTACTGTTACTTATATTGCTGCTATAAGAACTAATTAAATGTGTTAAATAATACTAAGTTATCAGAGTAGATTTTTTTTATTTTTTTATTTGATATGCTAAATTTATGCGGATGCTTCAATTCAATTAGTCAATCACTGACCTAATTGTGTAGGTAACTATTTTTGCAGTCAGTTGTCCCTTTCATTTCAAATTTAGGAAAGATATATATCACTTTGCCAATTTTCTTTAGCTTTGAATGGGAAAGTAAAAGAGAAAATAAGTAGTTACTTAATTAGGCCCATGGTGTCTGTAAAGGTTTTGCTGCATACTTTTAAGAGGGTTCTTACAAACCTACTTATCATACAAGAGCATGTGCAAATAATTCAATCGAAAACAACTTACACCCCACATATTTCCTTTATTTATAATTCCAGTTAGTTGACCCTGGTGTGAAGCCTTACCAACCAGTAAAAGGAAAACCCAATGTCATAATGTTTGTGGGCCTACAAGGATCAGGAAAAACTACAACATGCACCAAGCTAGCTTACCACTATCTCAGAAAAAACTGGAAGTCATGCTTAGTTTGTGCTGATACTTTCAGAGCCGGTGCTTATGACCAAGTCAAACAGAATTGTACAAAAGCTAGAATACCATTTTATGGAAGGTATGCTATACCCATTTAGGTTGTAAAAAAAATAGTATTAATTTTGCTTTATATTATTGAAGTTGAAAGCTGAGTGACAACAGTTTATGATTATTTTGCACTATTTAGTGTGTTTATGTTCTCATTACAATTTTAATTTCATACAACTTACCCTTCCTTGTTACTTATCATCACAACTTCTATAAATCGTCAATTTTATTTGTGGTAAGGTTTTTTTAATTTTATGAAAAAGTGCAATATCCATTTATATTTTTATTTATTTCAGTTACACAGAAGTAGATCCTGTTGTAATTGCAACCACTGGTGTTGAAATGTTTAAAAAGGAAGGCTTTGAAATGATTATTGTTGACACCAGTGGCCGGCACAAGCAAGAAGAATCACTCTTTGAAGAAATGTTGGCGGTTGCCAATGCAATAGTTAGTGTACCATTATAGTAATTTAATGTCTGTTACCCCTCAATTAATAACAAGTAGTGTGTTGTTTACTCTTTATTCCTTTAATTTTTAATATGGTATTGTTTTATGAAAATACACATAAAAGAATACAAAGAGAACAAACGGCTATAAAAAATTTGTGCTTATTAGCACACCTAGGAAGAGTAAAGCTGCATCCACTTTGTGGATGCCAAATCCTGAAAAATTTGTCTTGATAAGTGAGCCTCTGGATCCAAATGGTGGATGTATCTGATGTGTGCATTGTGCATTGAATGACATAAAATAGTGGAATACAAACCAATAGTCAAAATTCATTCTAAGATAAAAAAATTTAAAGTGTGTATTTCTGTCGGTTACCTTTTCACATTTAAAGTACTACAAATTTAAATGAAATTTGGTATATAGAAAGTTTGGACATTGGATAGTTTTTATCCCAGAAATCATACCTCTTAGGAGGTAAAATGGAGGATGAACTTGCTTGCACCCTATAGTTATTTAATACTAACAATAGACAGCAACTTCGTCCACGTTAACTTTAGTTTTTTGAGAATCTCTCCGAAAACATAATGGTAGCCAAATCGTTACGATTAGACTGTACCGTCCGAACGGTACCGATAAATCGTAGCGTGTATGTTATAAAACTGCACAGTTTCCTATACGTACGCCACGTACGATAAACTGTTCCGTTGGTACTGTACAGTCTGATCGTAACGATTTCTCGTAGTGTGTATGGCTACCATAACAAAAACTGCCCTCTGGGGCACAAAACTATTTCTTTACTAAATTTCATCTAAATCAGTTCAGCGGTTTAAGCATGAAGAAGTAACAGACAGACATACTATCGCATTTATAATATTAGAATTAATAGGATTGTAGAATAAAAAGGTTATGTTTTCTTATCAACAGAAACCTGACAATATTATTTTCGTCATGGACGCCACGATTGGTCAAGCTTGTGAGGCACAAGCTAGAGCCTTCAAGGAGAAAGTGGATATTGGTTCAGTTATTATCACTAAATTGGATGGCCATGCCAAAGGAGGTGGCGCATTGTCCGCGTGAGTATTGTATAGCATTTCTTAGGCTGTAAGGTAGCACCATCTCTTCGCATTGTATGTAACCCACGATTTCAAATTAATACCTTTACAAGTATTAGACATTTAAAAGAAGAAATAGCAATTATATCCATGCAGACCAGGCAGCAGACGAGCCTTGCTCTGCTGCCTGGTTGGTGTGTTTTTTTTTTCTAATAAAATTTCCTTTATATTTAAACATCTAGCAGTTAAATGGCTAAAATAAATATATATGTATTTTTTACATAAAGTAAAGTAGTTTTCCTGAAATAAAGTGCTTTGATTGTATTTAATTATTTCTTATAAGGTATGTTTGATTGCAGTGTAGCAGCTACTCAGAGTCCTATAATCTTTATTGGCACAGGAGAACATATTGATGATTTAGAGCCATTTAAGACAAAACCATTTATTAACAAACTATTGGGTATGGGTGACATAGAAGGATTATTAGACAAAGTGAATGAGCTCAAATTAGATGATAATGATGAGTTGTTAGAAAAATTGAAACATGGCCAGTTTACATTACGAGCTATGTATGAACAATTTCAGAACATTATGAAAATGGGACCGTTTTCGCAGATAATGGTGTGTTGACTTATTAATAATTGTTGAACTTATTATAACAAATTAGTTATTTATTATACAAGAGTGGAAAGTTCCTTTTTAACCGCGTGCTCGATTTGGATGACCGAGCAAGCGAAGGATTCTAAATTAGAATCCTGAGCGTCAGCGAGGGAAACAAACGAGCACAAGGTGAAAAATCTTTCCACTCGAGTGCAATACGTAACTTTTCATCCCACCTCAGCGAGGAAATGACAAAATGAAAAAGAAAACAATTTATAATGACAAAATATTTTTATTTCAATTAAAACACATTAAGATAATCTATAAATTGAAGAAAATAATAAGAAGTAGAAAATAATTAAGAAATATTAAATGTAACGTTGCTACAGTTACTTATGTTAAGTTTAATATTTTTGTTAGGTAATGTTATGTTGGTGTTTGTGAATTGTGCGCTGTTTTGTGGTAAACTACTCGTATCAGTAATTTTAAATAGTTGTGCCGATTCATTGGATTCTATTGGCGTAAATGTTGGCGAGAGAGGGCTATTGTTTCCAATCTTATGGGGGCTCATTTTAGATGTAGAAGGGCGAGACCAAGAATCTGACAGAGGTTCTTTCAGCGTTATGGCCTCCACGATACTATTACAAATTTTTGATTTACTTTGGATTGAATCCTCTATGTATCCCTCTACAACCGAATTAGACTTCCAGCCTCCATGGCGCTTAAGCGATAGAAGATCAGCCCCTGATTCGGCCAAAAGTGTGGCTGAGGTTCTTCTAAAACAGTGACCGGTGTATAACGGGGGTTCTAAAAGTCCGAGAAAAGTTGCTATTTCTCGTGGAATACTGCCAATTTTATTCTGACCCATAGGTTGTCGGATACACTTTCCGTTGCGATATTGTAGAAAAAATCGTTCAATTGGGGTGTTAGAAGGACGTAAAGCTTGATATTTCTGAACAATGTTTACATATTCCTTGCGAATAACGAAGTTGCGGTCTTTTTTTGTCTTGGTATTTAGTACATTAATTAATAGCAATTCATCAGAATTATGAGAATATTTTGATACGTTATTGACATTAAGTAGTGTAAGTTCATTTGTTCGACATGCTCCGGTTATACCAATAATAAGAACAACCTGTAACAAAAGAAGTATTTATAATCGTAAATAAATTAATCAAATTAAAAATATTGTAAGTACTATGTACAATTTTATCAACAACAAAAAATTACACGTATTGACTTACTTTTGCCGCTAAATATACGGAATCAGGTGCTTCATTAATAAACTTTGCAATTTCAGATGCTGTGAAAACCTTCGATTTTTTTGGTTATTAACCAGATGAGGCTCTTTTTAAAAATGCCACTAATTTATGATAGGTGTCGATATGAACGTCTTTCTTCATCTTAATTGTTAATTTTAGCATTGAATACGTACTCCATAGCGTGCTTGCTTTCTTGGTCTCAGATAATTCTATAAAATATGCCAGCAAAACGTTTTCGGAGAAAGTTTTTGCTCCTTTAGCTAGTCGCCACATGTTAAATATATCGTACTGTTTCAAATACTTCTCTCGTGATTGCTGAGGGAGAAGGCTCATTTGCGCATTATTAACTGTTTCAGTTAACTCAGTTGGCGTTAGATAAACTTCATCGTCGCTAATGTCACTCATTTTAGTTGATTTTTTTGTACAGTCTTTAGGTTATGTTAATTATATTAAGCAATAAAACGTGAAAAACTAGAATGGCGCGAAGCACGCAAATAAAACAAAGAAACCAAGAAGGTTCCAAATTTAAATTTTTTCACAATTTAAAAAGTTCTAATCATAAATTTGGCACCATAGAGGTTACATTAAATAGGTTTAATGACGTTTTGAATTTACAATTATATTGAGTACTCATTATATGTGATGTTCTAAATTCAAATCTACTTTGCCGCTCAAGCGAATAAAATAGAATTTTCCAGCCAGATTTCGAAGCGCAAAATTACACTTTCCGAGGTGGTGGGATGAAAAATATATTACTCAATATTACCTTTTCAACACATTTGCTCAAAAACTGCACTTACGAAGGTTGTATACATTGTTCGAAAATTCAAAATTCGGGCCATACGGCTGAGCGTGTGGTAAAAATTGATTACGCACGCTCGCATAATTACTATTTAGCGATTTACTTATTAGAAAAAAATTGCTTAATTAAATAATGTATAATGTTTTCTCGCAAATGTGTTGATAAACGTTGTATGACATTCGTGTGGTTTGGTATTACAAACTCGTGACTATGGTAAGCCCTACATTCGTCTACTCATTTGTAATACTCAATTTACCGCACTTGTATCATCTTCTTCTTCTTGTTGCTACGGGCGTTTCCGCAACTCGACGTCCTTATGGCGCCTGTTTTGCGTGAGGAGGGCGGTATGGCCGGAGTCACTCCAGCCAGCCCAGCTCCGCCAGGAACGCCCCCAAGGCCTTCACATTGGTGACTGCCTCTTGAAGGTTTCCCGGCGAGCCGAGGTATTTCGCCCGGTATTCGGCCGCTCCGTTGCATTCCAGCAGAACGTGAGTAGCTGTTTCTTCTGCCTCCATGCATCCTCTGCATAGGGGGCTGTCCGTGACATCTAAGTTGAAAAGATGTCTGTTAAAATGTGCATGTCCAGTGATAGCACCCGTTACCATGCGCAATTGGGTTTGCTTAGCTGTAGGAGAGTTTTGGAGAAGGCAGCGTTCACCCGTGGCAAAGCGAGCTTGGTCTGCCTGCACATATCCAGGTCGAGCCAGTATTGCTGGTGTAGTGCGGCAGTGTGCTCGCGGATTTTATTGACGAGACAGCTTACCGGTATTGGGACTATTGGTTCAGGACCTGTTGGGGTCGTATCAGATCCCTTCCGGGCCAGCTCATCCGCAGAGTCGTTTCCGCGTGATCCACTGTATCCCTTGATCCATTGGATGGTAATAGAATTGCTTGACCCTACCTTGTTTAAGGTTTAGTGGCATTCTTGTAGGAGGCTCGATTTGACTAAACAAGCATCTAGAGCTTGTAGGACTGATTTGCCGTCGGACAGTATTCGTATTTCCTGACCTGTTACCTTTCTTGAAAGGATCGCTGTTGCCGCCAGTGTGATGCCCATACATTCAGCTTGGAACACTGTGTTGTATGGGCTTAAGGGGAACGCGATGTGTATATTGAGGTCCTCAGAGAAAACACCCGCGCCCGTGCCCGATTAGGTTTTAGAGCCGTCGGTGTAGATCATGAGAGCCTTGTGTGTTACCTTTGGATCTTTGTCATCCAGTAGATGTATTCTGTACTTTTTGTCAAATATGAAGGCGGGTATTATTTTGTCACATGCAGCATCTATGAGCGGAGTGTTTACCCATTCCTTCAGTATACCGTTGAGATGCCTTGCTCTTTCGAACCTTACCAGTCCAAACTTTTGTAGTCTCAACGCTGTTTTAGCCGTTTCCTGTCTTATGTAGATATGGAGCGGTGTGATGTTTAAAATAACTTCCAGTGCTGCGGTTGGAGCTGTACTCATGCACCCGGTCACCGCGCTACATATCTGCCGCTGGAAGCTTTGTAGTTTGTTGTCACAAGTAGTCTGGATAGATCTCGGCTACCATACGATGGCGCCATAACTTACCATTGGTCGTATGACTGTAATATAACCATAGGAACAGTTTTGGTGCAAGACCCCAGCGCTTCCCTAACATTTGACGGCATTGCCAAAGTGTTACGCTGGCTGTCTTGATTTTGTCTTCCACATGGTTACTCCAGTTTAGCTTACTGTCAAGTATAAGGCCTAGATACTTTACCTCCTTCGACAGTCGTAGTGTGATACCAAACGGCTTCGGCAAGTTGAAAGCACCTACGTCACTTTTGGTTGTAAACATTACCAGCTCTGTTTTTGTTGGATTAACTGTGAGGTCGTATTTCCTGCACCAGCATTCAACCAGTTTCAAAGCACCTTGCATGGTGTTACAGGTAATGCTGGCGTGGGTGCCTAGGGTAAGTATAGTTATGTCATCTGCATACCCTATGGTGTAGTAGCGGTTCGAGTTTAGCTTGGTCAGCAGGTCGTCAACTACGAGGTTCCACAGAAGTGGCGAAAGAACCCCTCCTTGCGGACATCCTCGTGCCACCAGTGCTCCTCTGCTGTCCTCACCTTTTACCCGAACTTTTCTATTGCGAAGCATGTTAACTGTCCAGTCAATGATTTGTTGCTCCACTCCGTGTCTTCTGAGAGCAGACTCAATGCTGGTGAAGTTGGTCTTATCGAAGGCACCCTATATATCGATGAAGGTTCCGAGGCAGATAAGTTTATTTTGAAGTTCTTCTTCTATCTTACCGACTAACTGATGGAGAGCCGATTCAATAGATTTACCTGAACTGTAGGCATGTTGATGTTTATCTGTCACATAGCCTTTCCATTGTCTTAAGTAAGAAGGTTGTTAGGCTAATGGGCCTGAAGGATTTAGGGTTAGTATAGTCAGTTTTACACGGTTTGGGTATGAATACTACCTTGACCTCCCTCCACAGATGTGGAGTGTACCGATTAGCCAGACATGATCTTAATATACGAGTAGCCGCATCGACCACGTCCTGTCCGCCCCATTATAGTAGTGCTGGAAAGAAGCCGTCAGAGCCAGCAGATTTGACACTTTACTCCCTCAGGCGTAATTACCGTCTCTGCTAGTCTCCAGCATCCTTCTGTTGTACTTGGAGGTTCATCTTGCCAAGTCACCTGCTCTGTAAGCTGGCAGTCCGGAAAGTGGGTTTCTAGAAGGATAGCGTCGCAGTCAGCACGATTATGGGACAATGTGCCTTCAGGTCGACACAGGTTTCCCAGCACGCCAGGGCCTTGCTTGGCCAGCAATTTCCTTACCCGGTTTGCCTGGTTGGTGGAGCTTATCTCCTCGGTGAAGTTCCTCCAGGAGGCTGTTCTCCAGTATCTGATACGTTTTTTGTACTTAACTTTAGTAGCTTTGTAGTTGTCCCAGTCTGTGTCGTTGCATGTATTCATTGCTCTGTTAAGGCACTTCCTCACCTTTCCTCTCAATGTCTCGAGCTCCGGCCCCCCACCAGTGGTGTTTTCCGGATACTCTCGAGTTCGGGAGTCTAAGGGGGCAGGCCTCTTCGTAGCAACGCGTTATGCTGTCTGTCAAGTGTTTTACCTGTTGTTCTAGCTGCTCCGTGGTTTCAATTCTGCCCTTACCGGAGTTGTTTCTTAGAAGGTCCGCCAGTAGTTGTGCGTAGCGGTGTTTATCGGTTTTCCGGGGATACCTTTGGAGTGTAGAAGATAGAGTTCCTACCTGTAGTGTGAAGCTGATCCAGCGGTGATCTGAGCATGGTGCCTCATCGGAGACATACCAGCCAGATACAGCTGTTGCCGCTTTTGGTGTCGCGAGGGTCAGGTCTATGATAGTCTTGTACCGTCTGCCTACGAAGGTAGGTTCATTGCCTGTGTTGATTAACTCTAGGTTAGTAGTCAGGAGGAATTCAAATAATTGGTTACCTCTGTTGTTGCTTTGTTCCATTCCCCACACAGGGTGATGGGCATTGGAGTCTGTCGCGATGATCAGTTCTACGTTTTCCCGAGCACAGAAGCGGACCAGAGACGCAACGTTTTCTGGTGGGGCCCGCTCGCTGTCAGGCATATATGCAGAAGCTATGATCAGGTCACAACTGTTATTATCTTGGTTTAGGGTCAGTTTTACAGCGCAGAGATCTCTGGAACAGAAATTCATTAGGGGATTGTGTTCTGATGTTTTTGGAAATGTATATGCAGGACCTTACGTCGCTAGTAGTGGCTTGAACGAGCTTACCTCCTAAGCTGGAGAGTCCTCGCACCGTGCCACTCCTAATCCACGGCTCCTGGATTAGTGCGACTGCTGTGTTGTTGGTCTCACTTCGACAGCCGGTGACGAGGCACGCGGAACGACGGTGTCCGTGGGGCCAGCGCTAGATGTGGATGGTATTGGGGGCGCTGGTGTAACGGTTTGAGCCCCGAGTGGTGCTGAGGGGTCGGACGTCGGCAGAGTGTCGACGTACTTCCCCTTGGCGTCCCTGAACTTCAGGTACACCGACCCAAACATAAAGCTGAGTCGGCGTCCCCTAGCCAGGATCGCAGGCACAACGTCCTCAGGGATCGAAACCACAACGAATGTGGCGCCGATGGTAGGCTGCTGTTGGATGCCGTTAAGCAGCCAACGTTCGGGTTTCAGCTCTGGATTCCCGATCTGTAGGCATTTGCCTAGCAACGCCTGGTCGTGTTTCCAGAGCTTAGGCAGCACAAAACCACACCCGACTCTCTTGGGGATCTCGTCGTCCCGAAGGACAGCAAGCTCTCCCAGCTCCGAATCGTGGAGGTCTCGTACCACCTGTTGAAACCACCCAAACGTTGCGGTGTTGGTGCAAGTAAAGCGAAGGCACCCGTCCGCGTAGAGGGGTTTCCCGCAAAATGCTAGACCCTCCCTCATACAGGCCGGACGTTCCGTGTTCATCGCTGCCTGTAAAAAGGCTTCCTCGAGCTTCTCCTCAATTTGCTCCGCCGTCGGTCTCGAGATAAACCCGGTCTTCGACGTGACGGCGCATCTGATGAGAGCCGGGGAGGCCGCTGCAGCCGCGTAGGATTTTGGGGTGGTCTCGGTCGCCGTCGTCTTAGGCCGTTTGGATTCGCCTCGAGGAGACACTGTCTCATCGAGCCTAGTCCGCTTGGCCCCAGACTTCGTCTTTGCGGGTCCTTTCCTCTTTGGCTTTGGGTGGGGCAGCTTCCGACTCGGGCCCGGCTTCACCTGGGGTTGCTTGGGCAGCTGGCTGCCTTTCGCTCCCCCTGGCGTCCCTAAGGCCTTGTCTTCCGACTGGGCAATACGTTCACTAGAAGAGGCCGTCATACGGGAGACCCGTTTGAGCTGCCGTCTTTTTCGCGTCCGCTCCCTCTGCCTCTTCAAACGCACGAGGTCTGACCGGATGGCGCAGGGGTTCGAGTTTCCTCTACCTTCCTCGCTCCTTTCCGGGCCACGACCGTTCAGTTCTGCTCTAGCAGTTGTAATGTGTCCTCAATCTGAGGTATAGTGTTGCTTTTCTCAAGCTGGCATTCCGATTTCTCGGTCTGCGAGCGAGCAGCAGTACCCTCTGGTTTTCCATCGGGTGTTGGCGGAACGTTGAACCTTTTAGTGTCCATTGTTCGTGGTGTTAAAATTCATCCAGTCAGCTTCCCATCCTCCTTGGAGCCCGCACATTTGGGAGTGCCCATAGTGGTGCACTAGGACTACCGACTGGATATAGGAGCAGAGAGCTGGTGTCAGGTGCGACATCGGAAGCTTGAAGTGTGTGGCTGGGTTACCGGTTCAGAGTACCGCAGTTGTTCCACACACTCTTGCCTCGTCAGCATGACCCTAACCATCCAGAGCGGCAAGTCGCCCCGGACACCCCCACTCCTCGCTGCAGCCCTCTGACGGGACGCGTGACCGTTTCCCCTCTGGCGCTACCCAAAGGGGCTGCCGTTTCGGTTGAAATCCGGACCAAAGAGGGCATGTTGTGTCGCGAAGGTACTACCGCCGACCTCGCTTCACTCAACCCTCCAGGACTCCTTCATCCCCCCTTACGGCGCTCAACTGCGCAGGACTTAGCGCAGGAGAGGCTAATAGTCTACCGGGCCGCCTCCCATTTTCCCGGTAGAGCCGAAGGCCTTTGTTAGGGTCGGCCTTGGGGAGTGACAGGATCTAGGATGTGGGAGGGGTTAAACGATTAATTGGAGTTGGAAAGAAGGGAATACGGGTCACAGGAGGTGTCTCCCATGATGTTGGAGTGCATCAATGGGATAGCATCACTAAATTCAGCTACGAGGATCCCAGGGTAGATGTTAGTGTACGTTGCCTGTTAGCAGATCCAAGTATTACCGGGGTGAACGACGTGGACGTAAGAGTGACACTTGACGTACACTTGGGCTCACATCAGCCGCCCCTCCCCCCCAAACTATCCACTTGTATCATAAATAACTATTAATTATTATTTTACATTGTGAAACTGCTGATTTAAGATTTGCTTTTCATGGAGTAGCTTCGCAAAAACTATATATAATAATGTACTAAGATATTGTTTTATTCTCGTCTTGTTGAACACGAAACAAAAGAGGCCTAGTTTGCCAGCCACTAACTTAAATTTGCAGATAATAAAAATGCCTTCATTTATATTTCATGCTGATGAACTGATGATTCTTCACTCGGACGCCCTTGGTTAAAGATGTGAAGAGATAAACATTATAATGTACTGAAATATGTATATTGTTAGACTTTTTTTAATTATTCATTGTATTTGCATAATAACAATATTTCCTGCATATTAATGAAAAATTCTTTCAGGGGATGATTCCAGGATTTTCACAAGATCTGATGTCAAAAGGCAGTGAACAGGAGTCAATGGCCAGACTCAAACGTCTGATGACCATTATGGATTCCATGAATGAAGGGGAGTTGGACCATCGCGATGGCGCGAAGCTGTTCACCAAACAACCAACGCGTGTCACCAGGGTAGCCCAAGGAGCCGGTGTCACAGAAAGGGATGTCAAAGATTTGATAACTCAGTATACTAAATTCGCTGCAGTTGTAAAAAAGATGGGTGGTATCAAAGGTCTGTTCAAGGGCGGTGACATGGCTAAAAATGTTAATCAAACACAGATGGCTAAACTCAATCAACAAATGGCTAAAATGATGGATCCCCGTATCCTTCAGCAGATGGGTGGGATGTCTGGGCTTCACAATATGATGAGACAACTGCAGCAAGGATCAAGTGGCATGAATAGCCTCATGGGTGGGAAATGACAATAAAGTGTTTTAAGTTCATGTCACACGTGTAATTAATCTGTATCAATCAATAAATTATGTTGATATCATTTATCTTTTTTTGTCATATTTTTTCTTTTTGATTTTTACCTTGGTAGGTAATCTGGTGCTCGCGACCTGAAGTAACTAAATAACAGGGCCAAGTGTTGCAGTGCACACGAATACGAGCTTTAGCGCGGAGCTATGAAGGGGGGGGGGGGGGGGTTATGGGGCAATTAAATTTAATTATCGGGATGAAGTTTTGCGGTCGGTAGCTAGGAAATATATTTAAAAAATATGGTCAAACCTCTTTTTATTTGGTCAAACAAGATTCCGCGGATTCTTTTATTTGAAAGGTATCATTTTGATGCAAATTTTCAATCTGGCGGAAATTTGGAAATCATTTCTGGCAACCCTGCGTGCTACTGACATTTATGGGCGTTTTGGCGAGATTTCATCGAGTGCGATTGGTGCCTTATTTTAATAAAAAAATATATATAAAATTTTATTTGTTATTGTTTGTTTACAAATGTTTGGTTTTTGTTCTAGAATTAGCGGAGTGCTAAAAAAGGGTTCCAAGATTTTTTTGCAAACCGTACTTTTCAAGCTATATTTGACAGATGGTGGTCATTGGCTTTCCTATTCTTATTTGAATCGCACTCATACAGGTATAAGAATAGAGTGGGGAAGGCGGCTTTAAAAGTGTTCGTCTAGTAGAAAGAGAAAGAAGATGAGAGCCGGCTAGCCTTTCTCTCTGTAATCGCGAATGCGCATTGGATGAAAAACCTACGGATGAATACCGACCAATTACACGACTGCGCAGCAATACCGACCAATCACACGACTGCGCAGCGTCACAAGAGAGAGAGATAGGTACCTTTCCAATTACAGCATTAGGGTGCGGCCAGAGTGCACTCAGATTCAGATTCAGATTCCGAAAACAAGCGCTAGAAATAAACAGTGTAGTCGAAGGGTACGGCCAGAGTGCACTCCTGATTCAGATTCAGACTCAGAAAACAAAGCGCGAGAAAAAGCAGGCAACCTGCTTAGACTACACTGTTTATTTCTCGCGCTTGTTTTCGGAATCTGAATCTGAGTGCACTCTGGCCGCACCCTTATAGCGTATTATGCGGCATAATGCTTAATGTTGAGTGTTTCAACTACAGCAACGCTTCGCACAATCGAGCACTCTCAAAAGTAATGCTTTCGTGTGATGCGTGCAATCGTACCAACTCAGACAGAGAGACAGAAAATTAACAAGTGTTTTTTACTTTAAGTTGGCATTGATTGAAATGTTTTATTTATATTTATTATATAAATAAAACATAATAGATATTTAAGCTATGGCAGATTACTTTCGAATTTAGATTAAATAAATTTATTTTGACGTTTTGGTGGATATTTGATCCTTTTATTTAATTAAAAAAAACTGAAATTAATTTAGCGTACTATGTCCATTCAGTGAGCCCGATTCGGACCCCTAATTCCAAAGCCCACTGAAAAACTTTCTTCGGTCCATTTCGTCTTGCTCAGTCGCTCGGTCTGTCAATTCAAGCAAGTCATTCAGTCGTTAAAGGTAGCGTAAACTGCAAATCGAATTGACACTATATGTGCGCAACGCCGGGCTGCAGCAGTAGCTGGCAGTTACCGACTCGCAGTTGGGGGTGGAGGACCGGTACACGTAGGAGTCTTGACGGCGATGGTAGTGGACTGTAGGTTGCGATGGTATAAAACTCCCAGTGTTCTGTATCGAAGAGCATTCGGTGGGCGCTGTTAATGGATGGCCGGTCGAGGAGTCTTTAGGTCCAGAGTGAAAGAAGAAGGGACAAAGAGACAGCCTATCGTTCCGAACTATCAAATTCCAAGCAGTTTCTCAGTTCCACCGCTTGGCGCCGTGGCAATCGTTTTTATAGATTTCTCATTTTACATACTCTATTATTATAAAACTGTGGCTAATTCTAACAAAATGACAACAAAATCTTATATACATGATTTAGGACTAACCAATTCATGTGAAATTACACCTATAGATACATATTTTTTTAAATCAGGCTGTTTAGCCGTCTCACTGTTCACGTAAACTTTATAACTTAGTCTTAGTCTTAGTAGTACGGCGGGCTGTTTCCGCAACTCGACACCTAGTGCCTATTTTGCGTGGGGATTGGCATCAGTCCTGCCATCCCAGCTCCTCTAGAAAGCTCAGCAGTCCCCGAATGTTGCTGCAGGCCTCTACTATTGTCTTCGGGCTTCCCATTAGAGAAGTCCTTTGTCTTGCAACGCCCCTGCACTCCAGTAGGACATGGGCGCTCGTCTCATCCGCCTCCAGGCAGGCTCTGCACAGAGGGCTGTCAGAAATACCTATATTACAAAGGTGTTTGTTAAAGTAGCCGTGACCCGTGAGTATACCCACGATTTGTTTCAGGGCTTGTCTAGGTAGTCTGATTAACTTACGTGTTAGCTGCCGGTTTACCTTAGGAACGGCTTCCCTGGCTTGCCTGCAGTCCGTCAGTTTTGACCAGTAATCGTCGTGTTGTCGTTGAGAGCGCTCCCTTATCCAGGTTCGCAGCTGCCGATAGGGTATGGGTATAATTGGCTCCGGACCAATGGCCGTCCTGCTAGACCCCTCCCTGGCTAAGCAGTCCGCCGCATCGTTACCCCTTGAGCCGCTGTGTCCTTTAATCCACTGTAGGGTCAATCTATTGTCGTTAGCAATATTAGTCAACTTACTGTGGCATTCGTAAATTAAGCCTGATGTCATTATATTGTTGTCCAGTGCCTGTAGGACAGAAGCGCTGTCAGAGAGAATACGAATATGTTTTCCTCTTACCCCGCGACATTCTATCGCCTCAGCAGCTCTGATGATGCCCACACACTCTGCCTGGAAGACCGTGTTATAGGCACCCAAAGCTGTCGAGATGTGTATATTCAGGTCTTCGGAGAAGACACCCGAGCCCGTACCACAGTTGGTTTTTGAACCGTCTGTGTAGACCCTCAACTCCTTATGCAGACAACGGTCCGGGGTGTCCTCATAAAGTTGAATTTTGTATTTTTTGTCAAATACGTACGTCTTAGGAATAAGGTCGTTTACTGCTGCAAAGTACGGAAAGTGCCTGTGTATGTCTGCTAAGATGCTGGTGTGCGGGGAGTTGTTGTCTCTCCAATGCCCCAGCATGCTTAGGCGCGTGGCTGTACATGCAGCTTCCTGTTGTATAAACAAGTGGAGTGGTCTCACGTTAAGTATTGTCTCCAGTGCTGATGTGGGAGTGGTTTTCATGCAGCCGGTGATTGCACAGCATGCCCGCCTCTGGAGACGTCTTAACTTATTAATTGTCGTTACCTGGATTGTCTTGGTCCACCATACTACTGCTGCATAGCTGATGATGGGCCTAATTATGGTCGTGTATAGCCACTTAACAATGAGCGGTGATAGTCCCCAAGTTTTGCTAATCATTTTGCGACATTGCCAGAAAATGATGTTAGTCTTCGTTGTAGTTTTGTCTATGTGGGATCCCCAGTTCAGTTTGGAGTCTAGGGTTATTCCTAGATATTTTACCTCGTTGGAGAGCCTCAGTGTCGTGTTAAATAGTTTCGGTAGCCGATAGTCGCCTAATGATCTTTTATTCGTGAACATGACCAATTCCGTCTTCACTGGGTTCACCTTAAGGCCGTAGTCGTCACACCATTTTTCAACAACCCTCATTGCCCCTCGCATAACATCACAGGCGGTGCTCGCAAACTTACCTGGAATTATGATTGCAAGGTCGTCCGCGTAGCCCACCGTGTGGAAGTGAAGGTTGTTTAGTTTGTTAAGTCGTTTACAACTACATTCCATAGCAGAGGCGACAGTACTCCTCCTTGAGGGCATCCTTTAGTTGCCAATGCTCTGAGATGGTTGTCGTCTTGTAGTCTGATTAGTCTGTTACGGAGCATGTTACTTACCCAGTATATAATGGTCTCATCGACTCCGTGTTTGCCAAGTGCGTCTACTATGCTGGCGAAGCTTGTTTTGTCAAACGCGCCTTCTATGTCTATAAAGGTGCCCAGACATAGCTCTTTCCGTCTGAGACTATCCTCTATTTTACTTACGACTGCATGTAGTGCAGATTCTGTCGACTTGCCTGGACTATAGGCGTGTTGGTTCGGATGTAGTGGAACATTGACTAGTTGGTTGTCTCTCAGCTCTCTGTCGCACAGTCTTTCCAGGGTCTTTAGCAGAAATGATGAGAGACTTATTGGTCTGAAAGATTTCGCCTCGTTGTAGTCTGCCTTACCCGGTTTTGGTATAAAGATTACCTTGACCTCCCTCCAGAGCTTCGGGGTGTATCTAAATGCAAGACACGCTCTCAGGAGGGGCACCAGGATAAGGATTAGTGCTTCACCTGCCCATTGAAGCAGCGCCGGAAAGATGCCATCTGGTCCGGCTGCCTTGAATGGCTGGAAGCTGTTAATGGCCCACCTTAACTTATCTGTAGACACTGTCTTCAATGCAGTGTTCCAGGATTGTTCCGTGGGGGTCCAGCTAGTGTCATTCCAAGTATGTGTCGTGTGTATGATGCAGCCCGGAAAGTAGGTTTCAAGTAGTACCCTCTGTGCCTCCTCAGTTGTTTCTGTGAGGGAGCCATCAGCCTTCCGGAGCTGTGCTAGGTCTTGCTGCCTATCTTTAGATAGCAGTTTCCTTACCTTATTTGCCTTTGTGCATGAGTCTATATCTGAACAAAATTTTCTCCAAGACCCATTGCTCCAATGTCGGATGCGTCTCTTGTAAAGTGCCTTGGCATCTTTGTACGCATCCCAGTCCTGGTCGTCACATGTATTCATGGCCCTGTTAAAAAGTCTTCTTACCTTTTTCCTCAGTTTTTCCAGCTCGGGACCCCACCAAGACTGGCTGGCACCCGAGTTGGATGATGGTGTACTAAGAGGACAGGCTGTCTGATAGCTTGAGATTATAACTCTTGTTAATTCCTCAGCTGTTTCGTCTATCTTGTAAGTTTCGTCTAAACTACCAGACTGCAGATGTCGCAGTGACCGAGTTACCTGTCTGCGATACTGGCTTCTGTTTGTTTTGCTAGGTATGCGTCTAGGTGGCTGGGTGACACGCTGTACCGCGATGTTGAACCTAATCCACCTATGGTCAGAGCAGGATGCCTCTGGGGAAACGTGCCAGTCAGAGATCAGATCCGCTGCTCTTCTTGATGCTAGTGTAAGGTCGATGATGGATCTGCCCCTTCTTGTTACGAAAGTAGGTTCAGATCCTGTGTTTATTATATTAAGGTTAGTGGTAAATAGATAATCTACTAATTCCTCACCTCGTTTGTTGCTTTTCGTCATACCCCACAATTGATGGTGGGCGTTGGAGTCGGTGCCGATGATCAGCGCCTTGTCTGTTTGTTCGCAGTGTCTCACCAGCTCAGCCAGTTCCCCTGACGGAGCTTCCTCTCCTTCAGGCATGTAGGCAGAGGCAACTACCAGGAC